GGCTATCTCATCAGATTATTGGTCTGTGGTTTGTGGCTGTCCATCACAATTAGCAATGTCCAAGCTTTAGAAAGGAAATCTGTACATAATCAAGTTTGTACCCAACAAACCAGTGATTTATATTCCGAGAAGTTTCCATCAATGTTGGGAATACTACATCATGAGTGAGTGAGTGAGTTTGGTTTTTACGCCGTTTTTAGCAATATTCCAGCAATATCACGGCAGGGGACACCACAAATGAGCTTCACACATTGTGCCCATGTGGGGAATCGAACCCGGGTCTTCGGCGTGACGAGTGAACGCTTTAACCACTAGGCTACCCCACCGCCCACTACATCATGAAATGAAGTTAACAGGACAAACCACATCATAAATGCACTCTGGTCGTTCGTTGGTGAGTGAGTGAGGTTTTATTTCTCTATCAGCAATATTCCAGCAATATTTGGCTTCACACATTGTACCCATGAGGAGAATGGAACTTGGGACCCCAGGGTGACAAGCGAACGTTTCAACCACTAGGCTACCCTACAACCCCAAAGTTCTTTTGACTATTATAGGTTTCTTGGGACATTTTCTTATTTTGATGAGGAACAATACCAAACATTTAACTCAATTTTGCACGAAGCTGTGGACATTTACAACTTGATGTAATAAAAAACCCAACTCATAACCCTCCTCACTCATAAAAAAACAGGTCAGTTTGTTCTTTCTCTGTGGACATATATTAAAATACAGTTTCTGAAGGCACAGCAAATTGATCTACACCATGAAATCAAATTGAAGACTGTTACCCGGTGATTCAATTTCATTAAATCAGCCATGCAGTAAAAAACATATTTTGTATTCTTTTATTTTTACATATACATTACCTTTTTTCCAGCCTGAACTCATACTGGTTGAGATTGGAGATGAGAAACACATGAAAAAATATGGATGGTTTAACTTTAATTCCTACATGGAGGCAGGTATTGAAGATCACTTGTGTGAATGCACTAGTATTGTGTCAGTTTGATTCCTAATGTTCATGTTTTGCAGGGAAAATGGTGAATGTGTGAAACCATTCACACTGCATCCTCTGACATAATGCCCAAAAACGTAAACATCTGCATAAATACTGTATATTTACCATTACCAAATTAATTTCTGGAAAAACATAAATATCCCATGAGAATGATTCTGAGTAAATACTCAATGGTTCAAAACAGCCAGACATTACTTCGTAGTGCTATGCTTTAGGATGGAGGAGTGAAGGGATTTTATGTCTCTTTGATCAATATGTCAGAGTGCACTGAAAAAACCCAGTACCGTACGTAGATTCAGAAGGCATACAAAACATTAATACATTTAGAAGATATATGGGTGATCTCGTAGACAATGTATAATCAAATTAAAATTTAATGAGCTCATTGGTGATATGCTTTCAACAAAGAAGGAGACAATGTCAACTGCAGCAAGGATTATTTACAAACAGTTTGATAGGCATTCTTGAAAGTGGTGAGTAAATTCAAAAGCATGTACAGTCAAACACTGTTGTGTCACAGCTGAAGGGCCTTCGTATATATGTCAAGTTCTCCGAGGTTCGACACGATCTACAAATAAATGAATAATGGAAGAATACCTAATGACTGTTGTATCCAAAATCTGAATAACTTGCAACTCCTTATGGCAAAAAGAATACACATATTTCGCAGAGCAGATTTTAATACATATGATTCCGGGTTTTTCTCCAGATTCTGATAAGCATGTGAAGAACCGGTCTACTACAGAAGTGTACTGTGTCATCCTTCTTATCAGGATGCCATGTTATCCCTTGTATCACTTGCATTGTCATGTCATCCCTTGTATCATCATGTCATCCCTTGTATCGTCATGTCATCCCTTGTATCACTTGCATTGTCATGTCATCCCTTGTATCACTTGCATTGTCATGTCATCCCTTGTATCATCATGTCATCCCTTGTATCGTCATGTCATCCCTTGTATCACTTGCATTGTCATGTCATCCCTTGTATCATCATGTCATCCCTTGTATCGTCATGTCATTCCTTGTATCACTTGCATTGTCATGTCATCCCTTGTATCATCATGTCATTCCTTGTATCACTTGCATTGTCATGTCATCCCTTGGATCGTCATGTCATCCCTTGTATTGTCATGTCATCCCCTGTATCATCATGTAATTCCTTGTATCACTTGCATTGTCATGTTATTCCTTGTATCGTGATGTCATTCCTTGTATCGTCATGTCATTCCTTGTATCACTTGCATTGTCATGTCATCCTTAGTATCGTCATGTCATCCCTTATATAATCATGTCATCCCTTGTATCATCATGTCATCCCTTGTATCGTCATGTCATCCCTTGTATCGTCATGTCATTCCTTGTATTGTCATGTCATCCCTAGTATCGTCATGTCATCCCTTATATCATCATGTCATCCCTTGTATCATCATGTCATACCTTGTATGATCATGTCATTCCTTGTCTCGTCATGTCATTCCTTGTATCGTCATGTCATTCCTTGTATTGTCATGTCATCCCTTATATCGTCATGTCATCCCTTATATCATCATGTCATCCTTGTATCGTCATGTCATTCCTTGTATCGTCATGTCATTCCTTGTATTGTCATGTCATCCCTAGTATCGTCATGTCATCCCTTATATCATCATTCCTTGTATCACTTGCATTGTCATGTCATCCCTAGTATCGTCATGTCATCCCTTATATCATCATGTCATCCCTTGTATCATCATGTCATCCCTTGTATCGTCATGTCATTCCTTGTTTTGTCATGTCATCCCTAGTATCGTCATGTCATCCCTTATATCATCATGTCATCCCTTGTATCATCATGTCATCCCTTGTATCATCATGTCATTCCTTGTATCGTCATGTCATCCCTAGTATCGTCATGTCATCCCTTATATCATCATGTCATCCCTTGTATCATCATGTCATTTCTTGTATCATCATGTGATCCCTTGTATCATCATGTGATCCCTTGTATCATCATGTCATTCCTTGTATCGTCATGTCATCCCTTATATCGTCATGTCATTCCTTGTATCGTCATGTCATCCCTTATATCGTCATGTCATCCCTTGTATCATCATCCCTTGTATCACTTGCATTGTCATGTCATCCCTTGTATCATCATGTCATCCCTTGTATCGTCATGTCATCCCTTGTATCGTCGTGCCATATTATTTCAAAGTGTCACAAGCATGAGAGATCACAGAGAAAGAATGCTCATAAAACTTATTAACTTATGTATTTCACAATGTCAGTTAAACTTGTGTGTTTACAGACATGGAGTGAAATCACACCTCTAAAGTTGGTTTTGCCCAAGTCAGATGCCTGGGTGCATTTAGTGAAGTACAACTCTGTATAAACCAGACTTGCATGGGACCTAAAGTTTAGTCAGAATGAATGATATGTAACATTCAGCAAGAGTTATGCCCCTTGTTGTCACATGATGCGCTCACAAAATAAAACAATTTTATTTGACACCTTATACAAGTTTCCTGTATATGTCTGCAATGAATACAAAGAAAGTGAAAAGTATCCTTACATGCCTTTTATAAACTCCATTCACTTTCAATCAGTCTGGATGAAACAGATTTTACAACATGATAAATCAATGTAAGATCAGGACTGTTGATTCTGAGTCTAGAGTTTCCACTGATGTCCACTGGAACTAACACCAGACCAAATATCACAACATTTAAAAAACCCACCAAAACAATTCTCTGCTTCTTCATGCAAAAAACAAATTGATTTACAAATATGACTGTTCACAGAAAATCAATTCACATTTGTTCCAGTTGAACAGGGGCGGTGGGGTAGCCTAATGGTTAAAGCGTTGGCTCGTTACACTGAACACCCAGGTTCAAATCCCCACATGGGTACAATGTGTGAAGCCCATTTCTGGTGTCCCCAGCCGTTATGTTGCTGGAATATTGCTAAAAGCGGCATAAAACCAAACTCAGTCAGTCAGTCCAGTTAAACAGGCTTAACATCATCTGTTCATGGTTCAGAATGAAATACCATGTTTCAAACAAATATATATAATTCAATCATGAGTATTGCATCTTGTACTAGTTTTTCACATTTTTCATTATCTCAGAATTTGATCACAAAGATCAGTGAGTGAGTGAGTATACTTTTTACACCGCACTCAGCAATATTCCAGCTAAATGGCGACGGTCTGTAAACAATCGAGTCTGGACCAGACAATCCAGTGATCAACAGCATGAGCATCAATCTACGCAATTTGGAACCGATGACATGTGTCACCCAAGTCAGCGAGCCTGACCACCCGATCCTGTCAGTCTCCTCTTACGACAAGCATGGGTTACTGAAAATCAATATTCTAACCCGGATCTTCACTGGGTACAAAGATCAGTGGGAGAGGGGGATGGTTTAATGTCAATTTTAGCAATCTGCCTGCAGAGGACGCCAGAAATCAGCTTTACACATTGTACCCATGTTAGGAAATAAACCCAGTTATCCAGTGGTACGATCTATCATTTGGGCTACCCTACTACCCCTGAAGATCTGTAAGTATGTATGTAACAGATTAAATATTTTCTTGTCATAAAAATATCAAACTTGTCACATCATGATAAACAAATTTGTCATTTGATAACACATACCAAATTAATTTCAAACCTAAGAGTTTCTAGACAAATCCTGTTCACAGTCTTATAAACCAACAAATGTGACAACACCATCAAACACAACACACAATAAGTTACCTATCCATTGTCTCCCAACAGTTGTCTTCTGGCGTCATACATTAACATCAAGAAAAACATATTATCACTTAAACATACGATAAATTGGTGTAATAATTGGTACACCTACAGAATACCGGATACCTACCAGCCATATTGTTTAGTGTCACGTCACCCGAACCCAAACGCTAACCCTAACCCTAAACCTTACCCTATCCCTAACCCTAAACCTTACCCTAACCCTAAGTAAACTTGCGTGCTTTCAAAGATGGCGGAAGGTATCCGGTATTCTGTAGTCTTACCTAATAATCAATGCCATCGGAAATATTTTCTTGAGAAATAAGCTGCCCTAGTCACAGTACTCTTCACCTTCCATTAGTACTGACGTTGTACAGGTTTTCCATCCCCACAGATGACATTTACAATGGGATGAAATGAGTTGTAAGAGATAAACTTTGGGTATTCAAAGACTGTAAGAGGTACAATATGTATCAGGGATGGCTATTGTTCATTTGTTTTCTTATGCTGCCTTCAGCAATATTCCAGCTTTATGCCAGATTTAGATTAGATATATATTGACAGGTTTTAAGTTAATAAGACAAATTACAAATTTTAAGATAATATTGGTTTAATGCAGTTAATATCTTTCTCACATAATCCATGCAGATTTCGTCTTATTTATGTTGTACAAGACAGTTGAAATATTTCCCATTTTTCTAATAACCAATATATGACCTGATAGTGGAGTTATCTCCCCAAATGGTTCTATACAACAGTTACCCCCATACTTGATACAATACAGCAGTTATCTCCCATACTTGACTCAGTACAGCAGTTATCTCCCATACTTGATACAATACAGCAGTTACCTCCCATACTTGACTCATTTCACCAGATAGCTTTAATATTTGAATTCAACACAGCAGTGTTCTGAGCAGAACAAATGATTATGTTGAACCTAAACAAACTAGCATATCACTTATCTCCCTTACATGACAATACGGCAGTTATCTCCCCTACATCACAATACAAGATGAATATCACATACAGAACTCAAAACATCACTTATCTCCATGAGGTTCAAATCCCATTCATCACCTACAACTGACCAGCACATGGGACCCCACTCTCCCTTCAGGGAGATGTGTATGAAAGTATCGGGCACATTGCTTGTAGCCATTTTGATTCAGCAGTGATCCAACTGTACCCTGAAGAGGGCTGAAGTAGATGATGTGTGACGGCCATGAGACCCGTGTGCCTGAGAATTCAGTCTTCAGCCATCTCAATGGGTCGTGGAAAAACACCTCCGCTTCATCCGTGTAGTTGTCAAGCTGTTGTAGGTTGGGCTCACACGTGAGAAACCTCATGGAGATGTTGCGGTGGATGTAGCTGTAGGAGTAAGAAGTGAGCGAGGTGAACAGTGTGATACAAAATCTGCTGTGAGACTTCGTGGCTTATAAGATTTGCGGTGTTTGGTAATAACTTATAAATCCAATTCCGTTTTAAAAGCAAGCCATCATGTCATTTAAGATATTGACATAAAAAATCACATTTCTGTTTAGTTATGATCATAAAGGTCAAGGTGAAGGTCATCTGAACATCCAATTAAAAATCAATATACTTACAGGAACACACACGGGAACATGTTGTGTGACTGCTTGCCCAAACCTAAGCTGGTTTATTAGTCTTAGCCCATGGAGATACCATGTGGCAGTTAAACAGACATATAGTACTGACTACAAACCACCCAGTCATCAAGGCTGGGCAACAACAAGTAACATCTTTAAATATTTCTTTTAATGGTACCGGAGATCTAGCCACAAACCTTCTACTCTCCTGGCAAACAGTCTATCTATTAGACCACTCACTTGCCTTTAATAAGGGCCTGAGTTACATATTGTGAAAGACTCCCTTGCCTGTAATATGGGGTGGAATTACATTAACGACTTTCTCACCTGTAATATGGGATGGCGTTACATTAACAACTTTCTCACCTGTAATATGGGGTGGCGTTACATTAATAACTTTCTCACCTGTAATATTGGGTGGAATTACATTAACAACTTCCTCACCTGTAATATGGGGTGGCATTACATTAACAACTTTCTCACCTGTAACATGGGGTGGAATTACATTAACAACTTCCTCACCTGTAATATGGGATGGTGTTACATTAACAACATTCTCACCTGTAATAAGGGGTGGAATTCCATTAACGACTTTCTCACCTGTAATATTGGGTGGAATTACATTAACTGCTTTCTCACCTGTAATATGGGGTGGAATGACATGGCATCAGGAACAACACGTCCACGTTTTTCTCTATACTGGCATCATGGACGAATTTCATGACATCCACCGTTCCCCGCTGGTGAATGAGACAGAAATACAGAGCCATTGGAATGTTTGTCACGATCAGGATCAATACAATAATCTTGGCCTTTGACAGGTTGGCTCTGTGTTGCTGTACCCTCCTGACCTCTGGGTCAAGGTCAGCAGGTTTGGAGGGCGACGGTTGTTTCTCTGGCTGGAGCAGCGACTGGTTGTCTGTTGTGTCAGACATGCTGGTGCTGCTGTTAAAGCTTTCATTCAAATCCTCATCACCTCCGTGTTTAGTTTTCTTTGATTTTCGTTTTTTGAGGTTTGGCCGTTTGCATAGAGATTGAAAGTACACTCCACAGTAGTGCATGGAAATTGGAAGAATCGGCAGCAGAAAGCGGAACTCCTTGTGAGACAGGAAACTGAAACACAAAGATTACTTACATAAGTTTAATCATTTATAGACAGAGGTCACTGACTGGAATTGTAAATTTCATTGATAGAGGTCACAACATAGTCTTAATTATTTAGACAGAGGTTATGCACATCAGTTGTAAACTGTTCATTTACAGAGATCAATTATGTAAGGTACTGTAAAATATTCATTGACAAAGATCGGACATTGTTTTTTCACAAATTAATTGTTGGGGATGAAGATAAATACATGACAACCATCTGACAATGGTCCATCCCCCCTGCCAGGGTCGTCAGCAAGAGAAATGAACCCTCGACCCACTAGGCTAACCCTCCACCCTTAACGATTGGTGTTGTGTAGTCAGCAATGTTTCAACCCCGTCAATCACAATGTATTTCACATCAGAGTGTCGACAGGCAGGAAACATTTGTTGACAGAATCAGCAACAGCCAGAACCACCAACTTGATATGTCACGATTGAGTTGACTCAAAGTTAGAAGTTAGTCTACAATGTCTACAAGAACCAGCTATTTTTTAAATTTGGGAGTCATGATTCTCATGACGCTAAATACAAATCAAGACACTGTTTTTTTTATAAGCACTTGTCACACTTGTTTGCGGTCAAATACACTGTGACTTCAATGGACAGAAATACTTGCAGCTGATTGGTTGATGACAGTCATGTCAGTTACGCTTTATAACTGAAATCTTGCAACTGAATTTTCCAGTTTCTAATTCATGAAAGTTACTTCAACCTCATTTCTGTCTGAAACCTTAAAGGACCCGGTACATTTTACTTTAAACAGTGAAGTAAAGCTGGCATATTTTTCGATATTGCAAATACTCAGTCTGAATTTGGGGATCTTTGGTGAATTTATCCAGATATGGCAACACTTTTCAGAGTATTTCAGTATGTTACTAAATCTGGTACACATCATGGGAAGTCAGAATCAAAGGGTGAGTGAGTGAGTGAGTTTATTTTTACGCCGCTTTTAGCAATATTCCACGAAATGGACTTAACACATTGCGGCGGCTTGACTTGTAACTTACTAGGGCTACCCCACAGCCCCCAGAATCAAAGGAGTGAGTGAGTTTGGTTTTACGCTGCTTTTAGCAAAATTCTAGCAATATCATGGCAGGGGACACCAGAAATGGGCTTCACACATTGTCCCCATGTGGGGAATCGAACCCGGGCCCTCGGCGTGACAAGCCAATGCTTTAACCACTAGGCTACCTCACCACCCCAGGATCAAAGGAGATATTGAATATCCAACTATGGGTGATAATGGAACTCATTTCAACTGATAACATACCTGTATATAAATATTGTCCATAAAATGACAAAAAGCAACACTTTGTTTTTAGCCTTCCAAGCACCTAGTATGAAAGGAAGTATATGTGTTGCCATGACAACTGGATAGCCCTGTGTAAGGTACCAGTGCCACGGGTGTGAACCGTAGAATGCACTTCCTCCTTTGAGTACGTTGAACTGCAGGAACCGGAAGCTGTACAAATATCCAGCGATCGTAGAAGATGTGGTCTATCATTGTCGCAAAACCTAGCACACCTAGCCTGCAACAGAAGACAGAAGGCAATACAGATTTACAAGTACTGGTTGTGGTGATGATGGTGATGGTGATGATGGTGATGGCGATGATGGTGATGGTGATGGTGATGATGGTGATGATGATGATGGTGATGATGATGGTGATGACGATGATGGTGGTGATGACGTTGATGATGGTGATGACGGTGATGATGGTGATGGTGATGATGGTAAAGGCGATGATGGTGATGGTGATGATGATGGTGATGATGATGGTGATGACGATGATGATGGTGATGACGTTGATGATGGTGATGACGGTGATGATGGGAATGTCATTGTAGTAGTTATAATGTTCAGAGATGTAAAGATGTAAATAATTTCTTATCATGTTTAAAACAGCGCCTCAAAGATATATCACACCAAAACTGGCATCATGAGATAAACAGTTCAAGTTTCCTTACCCACTACGCTTCATTCAAGTTTTCACTGGAAAGGGAATCATATATCACGAACATCAGGAACAAACAACTAATAAGAGTCTACTTCAAATTTAGAGCTTCGCTAACAAACTTCAAGATAAACAAGCTAAGAACCAATAAAGATACAACGTCAATCAACCCCATCTGTGAACTTTGTAATCATAACCTTAATGAAGATGAGAACCATGTATTTTTTTGTTTAAGACAAGTATAATCAAGCCAGAACTCTATATCTACAGAAGCTACAATCAGTCTACAGAGGCCCACTAACCATTCAGGCAATTTTCATGTCACAAAATAGTAATGTACAGCATCCAACAACTATCTATCTCAATGAGATATTCAAAATAAGATCAATATGAAACTCAAATGTTTATGATCATGTAATTTAAATTGCATTTGTCAACTGTATCATAGGCCTTATGGCCCAAATACTACTGAATAAACTTCTCTCTTCTCTCTCTTCTCTAATAATGTTCATTTTTGTCATCGTTGTCAACGTCATCATCATCATCATCAACATCACTATCATACATCCCCTCCTCTTCCTCATCATCATTTTCATCAACAACACAGGGGATATCTCTTTACTGCATCAGATTAACAATTCATGTTCAGCTCCCTTAGGGTATTACAGAACCCAAACTGCCAGTTCAGTTAAAAATATGCATAAATTTACATCATCTCATCCCACTGGGTACCCATTTGCCACCAAAATATTGAAATGATAAGAGAAGAAACTACCAATAAAGTCTGTAAATGCTTGGGCTCAATCATTATATTACATATCAATTACTCTCAATATGGCAATACAACCATGCAACTGCAAGACAGCTATGTCACACGCAGCTCACCCTATTTGTATGTACTGTTTGATGAGCGTCGGCAACGATGCTCGATTCAGCTGAAGATGCCAACAGCACAGCAGAACCCACAGTATGGCCGCTGTGGGCCGCACAATCACTGACAGTGCAGCCAGCACCAAGAATTTACTCAGAGATGATGTTCTGCAAAACAGGCATACAGGATTCGTCAATCTTGAATCATGTTTAAACCCTTGAAAAGCTAAAATGACACACTGAATACAAGACATACTGTAGTTTTGATATGTGAAAATTAACGTGTTCGGTTTTAAAGGAAACATTTAGCAGCGTTCAACCAACTATAATCACTTTCAAAATGTAAACACAATAGGATTTATCTCTATTCTACAATGACATATGCACGCTGAATAAAACGTGTTTTAAATATGCACTCATTACCCTTGCGTAGCGTTTTGACACTACTCACAGTCAACCGGCTCTCAGAAGTGGTTATTAAAAACTTTTCACTTCTAATTTTTTAGTAACAGCCAATCAAAAACGAACATACTTAAATGTCATGGTAGAATGTTTATTTAACCATCAACAACATCCAAGGCTCACTAAATCCATTAAATGTTTTGTTAAGAGTATTTTTGTCTTGAATGTTTACATGTAAAGAAATGAAAGAAAAGTTATAAAGAACAAAACAATACTTGACTTGACTAGGGGTTATTTTCCAAATCAAACCTTGAAAAAATCAAAAGATATTTTTAAATTATTTTTTTTTATAAATCTAATTTCTTACTTTTCCTTTAAAGTTTAAAAAAAAAAGTTACACTATTCTGCCAAAAAAAACCACAAAACACTGATTAACAAAATAGCATCGCAAAACTAGGAACATTATATTATTCACTATGCTATTTCTTTGAAAAATTCTTTTATGTAAAAGATCACTATTAAAAACCAACAACTTCTTCTATCAAGAAAACATTATGAAAAATATGTTTAATCTAAAGTGTTCAGTATAAGTATAAACAACAAGGGCAGACAACTTACTGCGGGCTCTTTGGCCAGGGATAGTAATATAGTGCCATAGTAACCAGCACAGCTTCGGTGGAGTTAGTGAGTGTGCGTGTAGCACAGTATAGGGTGAACCATGACAGCGTCTGGCACAGCAGCGTCCACTGCGCTGTTGGGCGATCACACAGCATGCGGGACAGCCGATACAGATAGAGGTCACCACAGGCCGCTATAACGCCTTGCAACATCCTCGGTAACTTTATCTAGTTGGGAAAATACTCATAACATTAATTAAGATTAAATTTCCTGACCAGATTTTACTGGTGTTTCTAAAGCCTAATATTCTGCATTTTTAAATAATAAATACAACAAATATTGATAAATATTATTTCAAAGGTATATAAGTAAGAGATAATACTTGATACTTTCAGTTGACTGACTGAGTTTGGTTTTATACGCCGCTTTTAGCAATATTCCAGCAACATCACGGCGGGGGACACCAGAAATGGGCTTCACACATTGTACCCATGTGGGGATTCGAACCCGGGCCTTCGGCGTGACGAGCCAATGCTTTAACCATAAAGCTACCCCACTGCCCCTCTTTCAGTTGACATCTGGTTTGGATGAACCAAGCAATTCACCTTAAAAAAACATTTTCAATTTGATATTCAACACAACACAATTATAACAAGGGTAACTCAACATTCTGTCAAGGCAACCCAAACCTTTCTTTGAAATATTGCATCAATCATGATTCAATGATAACACATTGACATTTTATATGCATTTTGGTGTTAGGTGTACTCTTAAAGTTTCAGATTCAGCACTCTTCTTCTTTGAAGAAGTATTTAGTAAACAGATGGATGCCAGACATTGGAATGAAAAAATGAAACACCACTATCTGTGTCACCAATCTCTTTCAAATCAGATCTTTTGATCTTCCGTAATTCTTGGTGTGAAGATCAGGATGGTGAACACTGAGCTAACTCTGACCACTCTAACAAAATGAAGAAATGATCCAGTTAGATGACAGTTTTCTAAAATCATTGGACTTCATGTCCTTACAAATTTTATTTGGAATTTTGATTAAAAAAAAAACACAAAGGGACACGAATATGCCTTCTATGGCATCTATGGGTGTAGTCGCCATGGAGGGGGGCTGTTTGAAGATCATCACGCAAACAGATCATATTAGAGTATATATTGTTGACGTTTCATCGAAGAACATGAAGAAACAGACATTTGGCATCATCTCACCAGCATCACTCTGTTGTCCAGTCCGAAGATGTGGAGGAACTTGTACAGCAGGGCAAAGGAGAGAGGGTAGGTATAGCCACGAATACCCTCCCGCCATTCCCACGTCAAGTGGCCGTAGCTGAGGCGGTCAAGGAAAAGTCAAGACAAGACAGGACTTCAATTAGTACCCTTATCATTATAAATATCAATGTACTGTGTAAAGTCATGTACTGCGATATTGTGATGGTCTGATTGAAATAACCAAAGATTGGTTGCAGTGACTAAACGACCAAGCAGTCGATCATGTTTTCTAATAATCGAACACAAACAATTCTAGAACACTTGTTTTCATTAACAGTATTTTTCACTAGGTTGGTTTTGTCTGTTACATTTCAAAAGCACTACAAGCTTGTTCCAAGTCATGATTGAATTTATCTTAAAGACTCTAAGAAATGTATGTTCCTCCATACTAGTCATCCTTTAAAGATGTGAAATTTTGCTCCAAAAACCCCAAGAACTACATGTTTTTTCCTTATTTTTTTTTGTGCATTAACACATTTCATAAATGACGCTAACCAATTATTTTCGATGATTGATCGGTTGTAATGAACCAATCATCAATTATGAGATTTTAACCAATTCCCAACACTACTGCGATAAAGGAGTTCTATTGGATGTATTGTATCATGAGCCTTGTGTCATGATCGTACACTGTATTGCTGTATCATTACATCACTAGTACAAAGATATTCAATCCAGTCATGAATTGTAGCAATCCAATTCAATAAATCTCCTCTTGAGGCCAGCAAAGATTGCCGGTGGATTATTCTAACATGGAATTCCTGATGGACATAAGTTAGACAAATACTGTCTCTGAAAATGTGACCCGTGAAGATCCGGGATAGAATAGGTCTTCAGCAACCCATGTGTTTGCCACAAAAGGCGACTATGCTTGTCGTAAGAGGCGACTAACGGGATCGGGTGGTCAGTTTTGCTGACTTGGTTGACACATGCGCAGATCGATGCTCATGCTGTTGATCACTGGATTGTCTGGTCCAGACTTGATTATTTACAGACCGCCGCCATATAGCTGGGATATTGCGGAGTGAGGCGTAAAACTAAACTCACTCACTCTGAAAATGTATAATTTTGATGGAAGAAAATAATTCCATTCAACCTGCGAAGGAGCCCCAGTGTGTTAGGAGATTCAGAACCTGGGGAACTCTAGACTTACTTCATTTTGGGCTACAACATTGACGAAAGGGCTGGGCTGAAGGAAAAATATGCAGCTCAGGGACAGTGAGACAGACTAAACATAAGCAAGAAATGTGAATTGACCGACTGAGCCAAGGATACTGGAAGACCATGTTATGGGCCACCTCCAGGGATTGCCAGTATTCATCAGGAACAAAGAACGTCTGTATCAGCAGTGAGTTCGTGATGCGCAACGCCAGCAGCCCGAGGAATAGAGTCCTCTCAGACGCCATTATCTTCTTGACAATGTTGGGTCCCAGCACTTCATCATCAAACATGTGGCAGTCATCTTCCTCTCTTCCTTCATCCTCACTCTGAATCGGGGAGCTCTGGTTACTCTCTCGGACCCTTTGAAGGTCATCTTGTTTAGGTCGTAGCTTTCTTCTTCGGATGGTAGCAGCACTTTTGTTGTTTTTCGTCATCCTGTCAAGAAATACTGATATGTTAGCTTATTATGTCTGGTGATTTGTTCAATAACCTGAATCAAAGTAAATTTATTTCCATGAAGGTTTCAAGCAAAATGAACTGATAACATTCAGATTACATTTTTCAGAATTTGAAAATAGGCTAGGCACAAAGTATAGAGTTGGTAAATTTTTCATTTCTCATAAACGAGCAACTATGTGGAAAACTTCTAGTCATGTACACACTGTACAACTGTGTAAGATCTTGTAGAAGGATCTTTCTATCATCCATTATAATAATTACTGATTCATTATCAATTGTCCAGTCATATTGAAAAAGCCTTGATCTTGCACCATTTCAAATAGTAACCCTAACCCTATTAACTAAGACAGCACAATGTCAAATACAGTGAAACCCTTGTAATCAAACCAGTATATCTCCAATTACAATGAAACCATGATAATCAGGACAGCAGCATCTAAATTACAGCGAAACCATGATAATCTAGATAGTACCACTTACAACACAGTGGAACCCTGTTAATCAAGGCATTAATACTTCAAATACCAATAAAACCTGTACACCAGAACAGCACCACTTCAAACAGCGTTGAAACCCTGGTAGTCATTGTGGTAAAACTTCAAATAGAGTAGAACCCTGTCAAGGATAGAAATACTTTTTTTTCTAAGTGTGCCTTAGGGCACCAGACAAATATTTAGGTGTGCCTTAGAGAAATCAAGTATGCCCACATGTTTTTACAATAAATGACAATGATGATAATCATTTGAAATTTAGTGTTAAATAAAGAAATGGGTTTTTGAGCATTCAAATATGTATGGTATTATTCAGTTTAGTAAAAAATAATTGTTTGAGGGATTAAATGACTAAATGTGAGCTATGTCTCCAGAAAATTAGGCATGTCAAAAGGGCACAGAGAACATCTTTTAACCGTGTCATTTCAATATTTACCGTGCCATGGCACACTAATATATGGGGTATTTCGAACCCTGCCTGTTAACCAAAACAGCACTGGACTGCAGTCTCACTACAAATCAGATGTAGGACCACCAAAGCAACCATTCAAAAAGTAATGTATTCTCTTCTTGGCTGAAAGATGTGACAGAAGCAAGACAACATAAAATGTCTCAACATGGTATGGCTGCTTTGTTCTCCTTTCAGAACTGCCTGCCTAAGTTTGTTTTCAAGATATAGACGTCATATATGCAGCTCTGAACACTTTGCTGACACAAGGATTTGAATGTCTCCATACTGACTGATGAGAAAGTTCACTTGATGAATCAGAATAAATTATCTCAATGTAAAAAGTTTTACTCTAGAGTTACCAATGAAATCATTAGGATTATTACATTTCCTCAAACACAATCACATGTTCTAGGTATGGAACAATTTCTCCAAATGTCGTTGTTAGATAGCTATTAAGTACTTATTCATCAGGAAGTGAGGAAGATTTTCCAAACAAGCTCTGTCTGGGATTTACCAAACCCCAAATCCATCATATAAGTATTAAGAATAGAAATCAGATACAAAAAGACAACAGAAAGCATCCACTGTAACAAAAATGTGTATATATATATTTAAGAATTAATGCTGCTTTTTAAAAATCTGATAGCACTTGAATCAATGTGTATACATATTTAAAGAATACTATGCACAGTTGAATGCTTTATGACCTCCTGGCCCCATCACTTGTAGAATCATTATTTTTGTTGAAATCTGCATTTTTAATTGTTCTATTTTCTTCAGTGCAGTGTGTACCACCCTTTACCAGTCATTATTTTGGACAAAACACACCTAAGGTATATTTTCCCCAAAAATATTCAAAAACTAATAAAATAGATGAAATATGTAATATGTAATACAGTGGACTCTTTTTTATAACCATACAGTGTAAGTAAATGAATAAATTACGTGTTTAATTTGACATATATAGACATTGTATTATCCATGATATACACCTGCACACATTAATGACTGCATTGGAGAAACAAATATCAAAATTCAATGTTGTATGTATAATGCACATACCCCTCCACACAAATGTGTTTTTGAAGAATGAAAACATTTACTCGATAAAAGTCATCGTAAAAGCCTACAAGTGCAATCAATTTTGTAAGCTCTATTCAATTTTCGACATTTCTCTGGGACCCCAATTTTGTAACTTGGGACCCCTACCATTTGTTGGAGTCACACCATATACACATCTTTTTGACTCATTAGCCAAAGTTCCAATAGTGATTTAACTCGTATAATTCAATCTAAAAAGAAAGAAAAAAACAACATTTTTTTTCTTCTGAATAACATCTGAGATGAGTCTCTTCAAAACAAAATTCATTAATTTGTAATGATTATGTAAGCTTATCTTGTTTAGTGAACATGGGGAGTATGTTTTACACCTGCTTCTACCCAGCAGACAAGGAAGTGATTAGTTCCTATGGATTAAAGCTAGTAAATCACACTTTTTATAAACCTGTAAAGCAAATGCAAAAAGTCTGTTATCCTATCCAACGACCAAGGCTGCTATTGCTACTAAAATACATTCATTATACTATTCCAACGGAGACATTACAGGTAATCTTACTTATCATGCTATAGAATTGATCAGTTTGACACTGGGCACGACTTCATTGGGCGCATCAGAAACAAACACAGCCGTGGCAAAGGATCGTAGACGCTCAAGAAACTAGAAAGACGATCGGTCGTTCTGTCCCACTTCAAGAAAGCGAAGAATAATTCTGTTGCCTTCAGTCTCATCATCGACACCACTTCTCAGTAAAGTATTCCTTGAAAGACAGTTAAAGTTGTGTGATAATCATGGGCCTCTGGTTAACGTCTGAACAGGTAGTGACCTGTCACGTTTAACATTTATACATAGGCCAAGAAACACAAGGATTATTGATTTTTCACCTGCAGCATCGTTGGATACACCAATCCGGAAGTACCTACCAAAGGTACCTTTTAGTGCTGGAGAGCTAGCCAAGGGACGTAATCCACGATAAGGTGACGAGATTGTCCACCGGTATGAGATCGTTTAAATGTGTATCTTTACTCACTGACAGGGTTTCAAAACACTTTTCAAATCAGATAATACTCCTGTATCACTTCCCCCTATTTCATTCGTAAAAAACAGTCGTGTCCTATATTTTATTTAAAAAAGGCTAAAACGCATCGATAGATATAAACCAGGGAAAATAGAAACGGTAGAGTATCCCTGTATTTAAACTAAATATTACCACATACGAATGTGTTTGTAAATGTGATCTTTAGATGTTTCAAATCGTTTAGAACTAGGATATTTTTATATACAAAATGTAAAATATGACAGTAACCTTACCACCAATAGCCCTCATTTCTTTGAAAACATTTACGTATAATTTGACAAATATTTGAGTCATAACAGTTTTAAACTTGTATGGTACGAAATATGCTGAAATTAACTCTTTATCAATTTACTGATGATGTTTGTATCGTACGCAACTGACAAAAATGAATGTATGCGTTCTTGCATGCCTAGCTTGAATACTGTTGCATTTATTCTACAGCTATCGGCAAGTTGTTTTTCATAAATAGATAAAGTTTAATAACACATAAGAGCGAATTGTACATGGCGCCCGAAGCGACTTGGCCAGCCTTGCTCTGTCTTCAAAAAAAGAATATTTCGTTTTGTCAAAGCCATACCAGTCGTGGGTTTCACCAAAGTTATAAGTGTCTGAGACGTGCTTCATCTCTCACATAATGCTGACACACCATGACATAACAGGAATACAGTTTAAAACGGCTTTAAATCTCTCTCTCTCTTTCTTATACGGGACTTTATGTTTGTAAAATTAATTTCAGGCGTTTAGGTGAATGATTGTAGGAAAAGAAGTCCGCAGAAAAAAATAATCCGGAAAAAAGTCCTATTGTAATAAAAACCTATTTCTTCATCAACTTTGATGTCAAATATTTTAGACTTTTTTTTATAACACACACATATGGGTTATTAAATAGATAAATCGATCTTTTTCCTTTTTAATGACACTGATAAAAACACGAAGTACTCACATACAAAGGGTGATTAAAGGACGTATTCAATATTTAGATAGGTCTTTGATCTTTTAAATGACATAAATTTAGAAACATGGCGTGGCGTGGCGTGGCGTGGCGTGGCGTGGCGTGGCAGTAAACATTAGAATGAATACGAGTCAGTAGACATTAATATTCATCAATATTCTGTAGTAGAAATAAAGCTGAAAACCTCTGTAATGTAAACATGATCTGTCTATTTGTACATTTGTTGTATTTGCCGCACACCTAGGTGAATATCCGGCGTGAAACGATGTTGAACATACATTGAATAACTTGCATATGGTTGACCTTGGTATTGCCGTCTGGAACGTCACCCCAGTCTGATTGGTTGTGGTTTAACGCCACACTCAGCAACATTCCAGCTATATGGCGGCGGTATGTAAATAATCGAGTCTGGTCCAGACAATCCAGTGATCAACAGCATGAGCATCAATCTACGTAACTGGGATACGATGATGTGTCAACCAAGTCAGCGAGCCTGACCACCCGTTCCCGTTAGTTGACTCTTACGACAAGTATGAGTTTCTGAAGATCAATTCTAATCCGGATCTACGGGTCATCCCATTCTGAGCTACGTTGGCGGGCGCATGGTCTCAAGCAGAAACTCTTCCAAAGACCCTCTTTGGTGGACATGTCAAGGAACATTGTCATATATTTCCATATACCACTCGGAACATTGTTGACAACCAGTGCATGGTGTGGTCTTTATTGTGATTTTGTAGTTCAAAGTCTGCCGAACAACGACATGACGCAAAATGGCGTCAACATATCTCTGGTCATGCCGTCAAATGTCCATTCACATTAACCGAGTCAGTTCTCCTGTCATGTGTGATAACAGCCAACACTATGTGACTACCGTACCCGTATACTGAGCATGGTCAAGAATTGTTGCCCCGCTCGCTGCTACTTCGCCCACAGTGTCCTGCCATCTGCGACTCGGCAGCAAAATACTGATTCGTTTGTAAACGTCACGTGACGCCATTGGCGTACACCCCGTCCCGGGTGTTGCCGAGACCAACCCAATATGTGTCACTTTTTGTAAGCTGTGAGGTTACACCCTTCACAAGATGCTTTGGAGGGCTGCATAGAGCCAGATCTTATTGGTAGATACATTGTATGTAAATTCCTTCCTGATATTGTATGGGATTCTCTGTCGATGACAGAAGCAGATTTGCTGAGTGATGCTAGTGTAATTAGAACATCTTGTCCAGGTGGCCTGCCGCACCAGAATGTGTCGTTGCAACTATATCCGTTTGATCGTACCTGTCGAGAATTTTATAACGTTTTGACTTGCCAAACACTGGGGCAAATCAGAATACTGACGTCCCACAGTCTATAACGTACGTACCTATAATTTGCCTGCTCAAAGAAATACTGTCTTGGAGGCAGTTTTAAGGCGTTATACATAGGTCCGCTGGGATGATGAATTCCTATGAAGGCGCACACATTTTGGTTTCTCTCTGCACGTGCATCACGTACTTTTTATGCATCATGTGAACTCTCTGTTTCTTCTTCGAAACGAAGTCATGTATTTTATATGTCAGCAAATGATAAGCTCTACTTTTTAATTAATTAGTTCCCTTTGTACGTCTGCTGAACTTCACAACGTCTTTGTGCAACGAATGGTGCATTCCTCAACTGGTTTACTTTCTACTTTACAGCTCGGCGTCAGTATGTGAGAAACCCCAATTCTTCCAACCAGAAGTTGTTTTGTGGTGTTCCACAAGGTTCAGTCTTAGGGCCAGTCTTATTCACCTTGTTTACCGCTCCATTTGGAGGTTAGCTCAACATCATCTCAACATATCACCTCTATGCAGATGACGCACAATTTCAGGATGGTTTCATGGCAAATGGAATAGCCAAGCACAATTCCATCAAAACAATAGAGACCTGCACTGAAGATGTCAAATCATGGATGTGTGACAACTAGTGGTGGTCCGATTAATTGAAATAATCGAAGATTGGTCGTAGTGACTATACGACAACGTAGTGACTAGTAGTGACTTGGTCGTAGTGACTATATGACCAAGCAATCGATCATAATTTCTCATAATCGAACACAAACAATTTTGGAACACTTGTTTTCATTAACAATATTTTTCACATGGTTGGTTTTGTCTGTTACATTTCGTAAGCACTACAAGCTCGTTTCAAGTCATGATTGAATTTATCTTAAAGATTCCAAGAAATTTAGGTTCCTAACATACTAGTCATCCTTTAAAGATGTGAAATTTTGCCCAAAAAACCCCCAAGAACTACATTTTTTCCCCTTATTTTAATGTGCATTAACAAATTTCATAAATGACGCCAACCAATTATTTTCGATGATTGATCGGTAGTAATGAACCAATCATCAATTATGAGATTTTAACCAATTCCCAACACTAGTGACAACTGTCTTTGTTAAACGATGACAAGACCGAATCAATGATCATTGCACCTCCAAGACGACTTCAGTAAATTACTGTAGATCATCTTCAAGTTTGCAAGTCCACCATTTCGTTTTCCCCAACTGTGAAGAATTTGTGTAATTTATTTCAATGGTAAAACATGTTCTTAAGAAGGACAATGCTCAATAGTTTGTCGCCATTTTGAACCGAGTACCAGATGTATACACATGAGCGTTAATCAAACAACACCCACTTTTTTTTTAGATAAGTAGGATTTGGAGGATCTCAAGCTCTAAGTCGGTGTCCAAGAGAGATGTTCGACTGGGTTCATATCGGGGGTCGTGTCGTGCAGGCCACGGTGATATTTTGATGGCGTTGTTCTACAAGGGACTGTCGACAGCTCGAGAACGTGATTTAGTTTTGACATTCATGAATAACCCGTGAAGGTCCGGGTTAGAATATTGATCTTCAGTAAACCATGCTTGTCGTAAGAGGCGACTAACGGAATCGGGTGGTCAGGCTCGCTGACTTGGTTGACACGTCATCGGTTCCCAATTGCGCAGATCGATGCTCATATTGTTGATCACTGGACTGTCTGGTCCAGACTCGATTATTTACCGACCACCGCCATATAGCTGGAATATTGCTGAGTGTGGCGTAAATCTCAACAAATTCACTCACTCATTCATGAATATCGGATGACTGGCATGGGGATGTTATCAAAATGTGACCCGACGGCAGTACCCATCACTTCCATTTGAAAATGTTGAGTGTTTAGTGTCCCGAACCCCAGACCATCACTGAGCCACCAAACGGTGCAGCCACAGGGGCGTGTCACGCTTAGAAACAGCGTTAGAAAGACGTATAGGTATATAAACCCTACCCTAGTACTATATAAAAGGAAAAGGATGAAACGACGGAACCACCCCCTCCTCAATCTAAGTTAGATTTCACCACGTAAACTATTTTTAAGGCCACGTCGAGGCCTACCGATCAAAAGCGAGATGATTTCCCTACAAAATGAGCTATAAATGGTCACAATCGGATTATTATTTCAAAAGTTATACGCCACGACTCACCGAAAACAGCTACCACCGCAATTCCAAGCCAAAATCATGGATCACCCAAGACAGCGAAAACTCACCTTTTAAATTCGTTTATTAATTCCAGCCACGTTGAGAGCACCTATGTAGGGCTAGATTCGATCGGCAGCGCCATTCCACGGGTCTAAAAACTTATTGCAACATCTAAAACTCATTTCCTCGACAGTAAGCAGGCATTAACTCCAAAACCATCGGTAATCATACTCACCTGTCGGCCATAGATGGGTAGGGTCTATATACCTATATGTCTTTCTAACGCTGTTTCTAAGCGTGACACGCCCCTGTGGGTGCAGCTACATGGATCATAGCTAAATGCCTCGTTATGTTGTCTCCATACACAACAACGGCCGTTGGTAACATGTAGAAGATCTTTACCTCAGACTGTAGGTAGTCAATTCTTTGGGTTCCGTTGATGGCTTTATGTAAATACTTAGGTTATAAAAGTTGTCAGTAGGCCACAACCATAGTCACAGAGACACAACATAGACTGAAAATTTTGACATTTTGTCACTCGCCCACTGACTCAAGCACTCAGGCATGCACGCACGTGTCAACGAATACTTCTCAAATCATTCCAGACTTGAGAAGGACCCCTATTAAAAATATATTCTACAGGGTTTAGGAGACAGACTAGGACTTTAGTTAACAATAACATTAATTTATAATTAAAGCAGTAACTGGATGTGTAGGATTTTATTCTTGCAAGAATAATGACAGAAATGCATAAAATAGTAGAGAATCGTGTTGTTGCATCTAACATACTCACTAGAAATGTAAAGGTGTACCCTTTCATGAGCAGTAATATCATGTTGAGTTAAAGGCATGCATGGCAAATATGGCATTATTGCAGTCAATATTACAGGTAAATCAAGCACTGCCCAATGTTAGCACCTTTCGTAAACTTTTACAACCATTTCTTAACACTAAAAAATAAGTAATTTGTTTACCAAAATACATGCGAATCATTTGGCCTTAAACAAAATAATATTTGCTCAGTGGACATGCTAGTTGGTTTGGAAACATATCCTGTCTCTAAGTACATTTCTGTCTGCCAGACTGTTAATTCGTTGTTACTTTACCGATGATACATACCTCAACAACAGGTCGTAGTAAATTGTTGCACAAGCTTTGTTCCAATTTAGTGAGGTCACTAAAACAGGTTTTTTGAAAATATGAGAGAATTATATGCATGTATAGTAATAAGTTGGTATGATTTCTGAAAATGTGCATTTCAAACACAAAAGCCACTGAGCTAGTATAATTTCAAACTAACTCTCTTGAAAACAAAGCCCCATGACCCGATTGCACAAAGTGATCTTAGCCCAACAAAAATATGCCTGTATTCAGCGTTCAAAATGCCTGCCTGCCTGCCCGACCGCCCACAACAGGGTATTTTCAACACGGACTGCCAGATTCTCAAATTCACCTGCCCAACGGTCGGGTTAAAATTTAGACATGTATATATGAAGATATTTTGTGGGCAGGTAAGTTTTGGTCAGGGCTGGCAAGTTTTACATCTAACCAGCCCTGTGGTCTGGCTGAAAGTTTTGGGAGTTTCATGCCCTGCTGTATTTAAGTATTAGTGTTAAAACAGCCAAGGGTTGCTTTGTACAAGAGAACCCTTAACCCTAAATTTTCTTTGACACAGTCCAGTCCACAACGAGTCTATATAAATCTCCTTCTGCCTGAGCCAAAATTTAGCCAATTGAGCATAAGCCTTTAAAGTGACTCATCATTGCAGATGAAAAGACCAGGGGAGATAACTCCCAACAGATACAATACACAACTAAACAATGAAAGGTGCCTCATGTTACCTGTTTGGACCTGAGAATTGATTCTAGCACAAGCTATTTCAAAACATCCTATCTACCAAAATTTAAATTCTGCCATTATTTCAATGTGGTTTGCAAACAAAAACATATTTGATATTGGCATCAAACATAACAAGCCATGAAACAAAAAATACTTCTCTAATTATAATACTAAATAACCAATACTTACAGTGATATCTCAACTGCTGTAAATAATACCAGTAAGTTGCTGTGATGGCACAGAGAATATATGCTGAAACTACGTCTAATAGTCAATATATGGCACAAAAGCTTGAATAAAGTCACAACTAAGTCACATGCCCCTTTTCTTCAGATCATAAAACTACTGATATCCGATATTATTAACTGAATGCCATACATAATAAAATTCATGTTAAACCAGACTAGACTCATGTCAGAAACACATCACTATAGTACCATGTGTTGGTCAGTCCAAGTAAATATGACCAAAGCCATGGTGACCACACTTAAAAAACTATGAAGGTGAAGTTGAAATGCAGAATAACATTTTTTTGCTTCACTAAGATATTGATTTCGTCCATAGCCTTACAAATTTGGAAAAAATAATGATTTCAAAACAATCTTATTCCAGCTGTATCCTTCATCTAATTATAGTTTCAAAAAACCTCAATGCAGTCCTGTATCGGAAGGAAAAGAAAATAACATGTATCTTTCAAAAATCGACATTTTTCTCGTCATTGTCTGGGGCGGATCAAGGAGTTTGGGGTGCATATAAATCATGAAGCCCAAAGGTTAGGGGAAATGCCCCTCAAACGCCCCCAGCCCCCCTCGGGATCCGCCCCTCATTGTTTCTTCATTTTAAGGGGAAAACTGACAAAACAAGTGACAAAAACCATGAGACCTTAGATCAGTTCAATTAACAAGTGTAAGTGTAAGATCTTATAAAGCATGTGGTATTACTGGTAGACAGCTTCTGCATCTGCTTAAACAATCAAAATTCAACCTCATTTTGAGAAAATACTCTATTCTGAATCTGAGGTTTTAAATCACAATAACTACCTCTGAAACAGCTGATTTAATGGCTCCATTCCACCACTGTTAACATTTATCAAAATAAACCTCGGTGTATATATATAGCATAAAACAATCAATCATATTTGAATTGAATTGTAAGTTATTGGTTATTCAATCATGTAAATTTGTATGACATACTAGTGTTCTGAGTCACGTATTAACATTTCAACATATTGTAACTGATATGGTATTGCACATAAATAACAGGAAGTAAATATGAAACATTTCAGTCTGGACCAACCTTCCTATAAACGTCATCACCATTTTCACTGACAAAAGTTAATTAAACAACATCATAAATTAATTGTGCAATATAGAAAGAACTATCACTCCTTCACAGAAAAAATACAGAATAATCTACAATGACCAGAACCATCGAGAGTTTACATATTTGTCAGGTGTTTGGTGCCATCTGTCCGAAGAATATTGAAATGTAAGTTTTATCTTAAACACACGTCACCTTTTACAAGAGACACATGGGCCATCTGCTTAGGTTCTCTATATTTCTCTCTGTTTCCCCATCTCCCATCCACCCTGAAATTTCATTCAGACGTAAGATAAAAGGTTTTCTAATCTCAGTTTCCCTGCTTCTGCTGTGGAAATTCATGCCCTATTGTGATAAATAGGAACACCTCCTCTTGAACAGTCCTAGAACCAACCAGGTCTGCTTGATCTGTCTTTATCAATATTTATTAAAAAATACTTCTGAAGCAAAGTAAATTCATAAACTAATTTAAAGACTATTACCAAGTTATCTAAATTTTAAAATCCCATAAAATACGTTACACCATTAGTAAATATTTTCTTATTCTTATTCGGTTATTACACTCCCCCAAAATTTAGGAGATGAAAAACATAAAAGAAAATATGGATGGCCTTAGTGCACTTAGTTGTCTTCTTGCATATGTTTGGAGATTTTATGAGTGCTTCAATTGATGATCAAGCTGTTGTGTGCATTTGTGTTCATGGGTGAGTTTAGTTTTATGCTGCTTTTACCAATATTCCAGCAATAGCACGGTTGGCACACCAGAAATAGGCTTCACACATTGTACCCAAGTGGGGAATCGAACCCGGGTCTTCAGTGTGATGAGCAAACACCTTAACCCCTAGGCTACCCCACCACCCCTAGTGCTCATGAACTACAGGTTACTGAATAAAGCTCTCGCAATTATTATATTCTTTTACCTTAGAAGTTCATCTCAACAAAAAAATTAAAATCAACAACTGGAATTGGTGTGATTTTGAAGCTGCATGAGAAAAGTCATGCAGGAAAAGACATTTTGGAAAACCACAGGATTCAAACCTGGACCACTAGAGGGGCAAGCTAACTCTGTTTACTGAACAGTTCTAACACTGGCAAGCATAAAGCACAAAGCAGTTTGTCTGCAAATACAAAGTTTTTCTATTACACAAAACAGCTGAAAAAATCGACTGGCTTAGAAATATAAGATGACTGAAACCGGATGATTCTAAATGTACCAATATGGAATCAGATGTTTGAGATTCATGTATACAAGAAATATATAAATACATACATGTATTTGATATGCCCATGTTAATACCATAGATATGGAATACAATAGCAGTACTGGGTATTTGTCACGTTACCCTGTTTGGTTAATACAGGACTAGAAAATAAACAAAGAAACAGTCAAACCTTCAACTGTGCATTGTGTATGACAATTGTGACATTTTACATTACAATCCGATCTTAGTCCTCATTATCGCTACTCCAACAGTATGAGAACATCACTTCTCAGGTGACATCAACACAACCTTTAGCAATTTGACTGACCAATGAAATGACTAATACGAGGTCAACATTAGCCAATCAGACAGCTGTTCTCAAGCCTTACACCGCTGGTTTCAAAATGGTGACTTCCAGTCCAGAAATGAGAAAGTTCTTGATTCAAAATTTGAAAAATTACCAAAAGTAAATTGGGTTACATCTAATAAATGGTCAAGATTGTATGAAAGTCTGTTCTTCAAATCTTTATTCCACTGAAATAGGCCAGAGAAAATGTCTAGTTTTCGGAATCAGAAACTGTTATCAGACTTTCACTTTGGCATACTCATGAGTGACACTCCAATTCTTCCTGACCTGACCTGACCTGACCTGTAACAGGATGTTCTCAGATCTCTGTGGAGCAATAAAACTAAGATCTGATTTAGATGACAGATTCAAACATGGGGACTGTTCCATGAGTATTAATTTGGCAGAATTCCTGAGGCTGAAACATGTTTGTGTATTAAAGGGAGATAACCACAACCATACACTACTTCAAATGTTACAAGATGATATGAAATATTGACAAATCCTCCTTGACAAATGTTTGACATATCATCTCAAATAATAACATTTCAAAAAGACTAACAGCAAATATGTATGAATAATTCAGCCCAAATACCAAATTCATACAATATATTCAGAAAGTATATGCAATTCTCATCTTTAGAATGCCTAGGTATTGAACAATTGCCTTCCACAGCGACATACGGAAGTACTCCGAAGTCTCCACCTACAGAAACTCTGACAAATGTCGCCAATAAAACTAAAAACAAATTTTTTTTTACTTTCCTTAAACAATATGACATGGTATAATTGATAATGCAAAAGTAATTTTAGAATGATTAGCTAATACGATAACAAAAGTTTTATGTTTGTAAGAACAAAACAATGAGGTCTCCGCTGTAAGACAATTTGATTGAAGGAAGGGTCAGATTACTGCAGCTATATTTATGTAATCTACAGAAGTTTCTTTGATAGGCAACGTGCTTGTTCCTGACATTAATCTCGCTAGTACAAGCGTGCTGCAGCAATGTATGCAGTCCCTAGCTTCTTCTTGAAGCCGTGAGAGTGGACGACAACTTCGATCTCGTACTTGCCCATCTGGCAATCCGTCTTGCCATCCTTGTCCAGTAGAAGACACAGAGTGTATACCGCGATCTCAAACTCTGGACTGGTTCCCAGGAAGCAACTGCACATCGGCTTACTCTTGATCCCCTTCCAGGAGAACTGGAGAGCTATAAGACGTGGGATTTCGTCATCAGTGAGCTGAAACGGAAAGTCAGGGAGTTTTACTTCATTTTGGGGAATATTCCAGCAATATCACATCTGGGAACACCAGAAACAGGCTTTACACAACTAACCCGTCTTGGGATTCAAACTCAGGCCTTTGGTGAACAAGCAAACACTTTAACCACAAGGCAAACTAAATGCTATTAAAAGTAAACCCCATATCTTATGACATAGAACTTTAGAGAGTTGTAGAGCTATGATTGATTTGTAAAATGAGGCCTAATGTTCTTTGACTTCTTTTGTGTATTCAAAGGTCAGACATAGAGTTGCGGAAGTTGGAGAAAGGTTTGTGAAGTCAGGCCTCTATGCCCATCCCTTTGCTCTCACCGTCTCCCTCCTGAAGAATCCGTGGTAGTTGATGTTGCCAGCCTTCTCCTGTAGATAGAACTGGATCCAGTTGTGCAGGCCGATGAACTCATCACCTCGGCCTTCACCAACAAACACATGCTCAAAACTGCATGAGTCAGGACCTCTGAAATTGTATACACACAGCACTGTACTACGGAGCACAGAACACAAATATATCCTCATAGTTAAATGTTTTGGATGTAAACGCCATACCTCTAAGAAATGGCATGATATACACATTCATTTTGGAAATTTTGGAAATTCCAATCAATTTTGAAACCAAAGAACAAGAATATTTCTTCAAACTTACCCTTTTGGATGTCAATGCCATATCTCTAAGAAATGACAAGGGATTTAAAATATCCATGACAATATAAAAATGCTGCATTATGTTGTTTGCGTTTGGAAAGCCATGATCATGTTTGTTTTTAGGATCCAGAATTCACAAATGCCGGTTTGAATGCTGTGCTCACTTGTACCAGGAATTTTGAAACCTTGATGCTGATTCATTCAGTATTTCACGTGATGCAACATACTACAGAGGTTACAAAGATTTTCATGCACAGATGTAATACTTTATCATACTGAAATGAAAGATTTGACTTTTTATGGTTTGTGTGTAAGGATAGAACTGGATAATGACAAACATAGAGGATGAACAGATTGTTTATTCAGGTGATGCGATTTTTTGATACAGATTCTTGTATCGTTGTCTAGCAGGCATGAAACAGTTAGAAATCAGGGTGTTATATATACAGTATATAATCAACAAAAACAACAACAAGATACTGTAAATGTATTATATATTGCGCAGGTTTTATTTTCGTGCTTTTCGCGCAAAATATTTTACTGCAAAAAAAATTTCACAGCGAATAACCCTTTCATTCATTCACTCAAATTTGAAAAAAATGTTTTACCGGGAATCTTAAAATGACGACTGATAGTAGCATAAAGAATCATACTTAACTGTCGCTATAATGGATTTCCCAAATCATGTCCCAACATGTTCTATCCAACCGTAGTGACAGATGGTTTGATTCAAAACGGATTACCATGAAACGACTCGGGAAAAAATAAAACAGGAGTATTTTATTTATTCATTAAGATTTTATTTATATTTATTCCTGCATATCACAAAATGAAATCACAAAGTCTGGAAGTCCAGGTGTCTTAGAGGTAGGTGCTTTCTTTAGCCACATTCGCAATGCCATCGTCAGATCGTCAGAATTCGGAACATGAGACTGATGTGTTTTTCATCTCATTATATAGTATACTAGTACCATCACGATATCTCACTTCCTAAGTACTTAATACTTCCGTAAGTAAACGTATTACTTTATATATCGCGCAGGTAGGGATTTCCTGTGAGTAAGCAATACACGCGGCCTGACAGGTTAAGCCACTTTGGTTGTATTCATTGATATTAGTGGCGGCCTAAGAGACAGCTGGCAGTTCCGGAAATTACTGATTGCGCGAATAATTGACCGCGCGGTGTATAGTCCGTTTGGCTCAAAAGCCGACCGAGGAATTGCAAACTGTCATTAAAATATTGACACAGTTCACTGTTTGTTACGAGGGAGGAGTGCAGAGAAAGGGACAGCCAGGTGTTCGAGAACGGATGGAGACAGCACAGCACAGGTTAATGAATAAATAACTTTGTCTGTGAACGTGCTTCTCGAACACCTGGCTGTCCCTTTCTCTGCACTCCTCCCTCGTAACAAACAGTGAACTGTGTCAATATTTTAATGACAGTTTATTAAACAACTTTTTTATTTTTAGGACAAAAATTCTGCAAAAACCTCACAGATTGGGTATGATGTTTTGATTATGATCAGCGTTTCATTGAGTATGTTATGTTTATTAGTTTTCGAGTTCGATTGCAATTCATCGGTCCGCTTTTGAGCCAAACGGACTGTAGTCTAAATTGTACTTCAGCGAAATTTGCACCAAGCGAAAAAAAGTATGTTAACAGTAATTGAGAAAACCAGTGAAGAGATGACAAGGGATTACATCTAGAAGTTGTTCATGCATTAAGTTTGTCCTTATCTGACTCTCCACTTTCAAAAACTGCCACTGAAAAAGTTAAAGGATAGAGCTGTTTGAGTAATGACACATGAAACATGTCTGTATGTTTGCATGGCAACAGGAGATCAGTTTACCTTCCTCCTCGCCTGTGGTACATCTTGAACCAGATGTCATGGAGAAGCTTCTTGAAGCCATCGTCATCTTCTGGAGCCTTGCCTCTCTCCACCAGCATCCTGTGGGCCTCCTGCATCACCGGCGTCTCCGTGATGAGATTCAGGAACTCCCAGTTCTCTTTCCGCTCCTCCCATGTCACAACCTCCACCTCCCCACGCTCCAGCTCGTAGTTGTCCAGCAGGTCCCTGAAGGCTGTAACACAATACATGTACAACAATACAACATTAAACTACAACAGGGGGGTACAACACGACGCCTGACTTGACACTTCAGTACAAGAGAGTACAACAGTACACAGCAACAAGGTACAACATTAAACTACTACAGAATACAACACTACACCTGAATTGACACTTCATTACAGGAGAATCCAACAGTACTAAGAATCGAAATACAACATCAAATAACAACAGGGTACAACTCTATACCTGAACTGATGCTTCAGTGCAAGAGAGTACAACAGTACACTCTAACGAAGTACAACATATTAAACTACAACAGAGTACAACTCTATGCCTGAACTGACGCTTCAGTGCAAGAGAGTACAACAGTACACTCCAATGAAGTACAACATATTCAACTACATCAGAGTACAACTCTATGCCTGAACTGACACTTCAGTGCAAGAGAGTACAACAGTACAACACTAAGCTACAACATTGTTCATGACTACTGTGATTCAACAGCTGCCTTACATTACAAACAACAGAGTACAACCTTATACAGCAACAGTACAATACTGAATTATAATTGTACAACACTATTACAGAACAAAATCACATTAAAAACAGTTAAAAACTGCATTACAACATTACACTACAACAAAACACAACCTAACACAGCAACAGGACAATTCTGCATTCTACTGATGGACCTAGGTCTCAAAAGTTTACAAAATGTCTGATTACAAATTGTTTTTCAGGGTTCTGACAAATATCATTGAATTCAGCTGAAGCTTTATCTTCACTCAAACATAATAAGAGACAAATTAAAGGATGGCATTCATTGAAAGAAACACAGACAGGGACCACTCATAATTTATGGCTAGGGGATGGGGTGATGATGATTTTTATGGAGAAGCATGTAGAATGTGAATGACACCCCCCCCCCCCCTATTTTTTGTGTACAAAATAAGTGACCCCCTGCATGTCATGTACAAAATCAATGACCCCCTCCCCCCCTCCTTCCCATAATTTCTAAGCTTAATTTTAAAATATTTTTATGTGACCCCACCTTAAAATCATATCTTCCTCCTCCTCTCTCCACACACACGCACGCACACACCACCAAAAGCCATAAATAATTAACAGTCCCTTAGCAGCTTGAAGTGTAAGTACTAGTAGTGTTCCGATTCATTGAAATAATCGAAGATTGGTCGCAGTGACCAAACGACCAAGCAATCGATCACATTTTCTCATAATCGAACATAAACGATTTTGGAACTACTGTTTTAGTCTTTGAAATACTTGACAATGGAACATATCTTAGAAGTTGTCAGGGCCTGAAAACATGTTTATTTCTTAGAAAACTCACTCCACTAACTGAAAAGTCATGACTGAATATTTCTCTAAGACTCCAGGAAGTTTATGTTCATGATATATTAGTCATCACTTTAATGTAGCAAGTTGCAACATACTTTTCTGCAGTAACAACCTGGATAGGAAAATCTGAAAAATGACGCTAACCAATTTTTTTCGATGATTGTTCGTTGGTAATGAAGCAATCATCAATTATGAGATTTCAACCATTCCCAACACTAGTAAGTACAGAGTGTTATTGTTATCAAACAATATCATATAACAAACAATAGGTGTGGGTAGTACTGTGGGTACTTGGGTCCTACTTGGGATCCACTGGACCTACTCTGCCTTATAACAAAGTTCAGTACTAAACTACAGCTCTGGATGTTCTACTATTACCTTACAACAGAGTAGCACAGTACCATGTTAAAGTTGTATCTGCATTTCAGACAGGTTTATGTACAAACCTTTCAATGTATCTGGTGTACATGATTCAACAGATAAAAACCCAGGGTTCGAAATATGCCATGTATTAGCGTGCCATGGCACAGTAAATTTTGAAATGGCATGGATAAAAAATGTTCTCGGTGCCCTTATGGCACACCTAATTTTGTAGAGACAAAACTCACCTTTAGTCATTTAATCCCCCAAACAAAACACTTACGCAAATGACAAACAAGTAAAAACATTTATTGACTTTATCGCCCAGGAAATCACTGGAATTATGATGGATGTAAAGACATCTGGTTGTTTTTCCATTTAGAGTGATGGGAGTACTGATAGTTCAGTTATTGAAGAGAAATTGTGTATGTTAGATATATTGAACAAGTGAACCTGTCACAAAAGTCTTAGCTATTAAAGGTGTTGGGAAAGCAGAACAAATGCATATGAAGCTTAAAAAAGCCATCTTAAACAGAAGACATATCAGTGATAACAGAAAACAGGTTACATTTGTTGTTTACTTGCAATAAATTTCAAAAGATCATCATCACTGCTACAGTTATTTCTTCTAAAAACATGTGGGCACACTTGATTTCTGAAAGGCACATCTAAAATATTTGTCTGGTGCCCTAAGGCACACCTAGAATAAAAAGTATTTCTATCCCTGAAACCTCAGCTTTCGCAAACGATGTACTGAGAATAAGATGTTTTTACCTTTGTATGTTGGTCTTGAGAAGATTTCTTCTTCATCAAACCATGAGATCAGCTTGTCCCTGGCAAAGTCCTTGTTCACACGACGACTGCTCGTAACATATCCTGCAAGAAAAGAATCAACCCATCTGGGTTAGAAATTGGTCTTCAGCAACCCATGCTTGTCGTAAGCGACGACAAACAGAACCACGTTGTCAGGCTTGCTGACTTGGTTGACACATCGGTTGTATCCCAATTGCATAGATCGATGCTCATGCTGTTGATCACTGGGTTGTCCAGAGTCGATTATTTACAGATTTCCATTATATAGCTGGAATATTGCTGAGTGCAACGTTCAGCAACAAACAAAAGAATTCAAGAATGAATATGGTTCGATTCACCAAATACATGTGTAAATCACAAAAGTCCCACTAGACATTATTCAAATATTTATAGACCATGGTGAACCAGTTATTCATGATCACTGGAATTGAATGTTTACAAATATGTTACTAAAATCTTTTTTCACTTGAATTTTGGTGTTATCAAAATGAGATTTACAAAACAGAATTTATCCAACAGAGGAAGTATAATAGTCAACTCTTCTGTATATTTGACCACTGGTCATTGTTGTGACACAAAACCAGTGTCAACAGGTGCAAACACATCAAATAATATATTTTGTAATTATTTAACGCAATGTTATGAAGAGTACATCAGGTGGTGATGTGGTCTAGACTGACTGACTGAGTTTGGTTTTACGCCGCTTTTAGCAATATTCCAGCAACATCACGGCGGGATGTGGTCTAGAGTACATGGAAAATATTCATATATTCATATTTGTTTCCATGATCGTGATGATATTCATGATATGTATTACATACCCCTCATAGATGGATTGATTCTTTGAAGCTTATTATCTGGACGATCAAATAATTGACTTCATGAGCATCAATGTACACAACTGGTTATTAGTGGGTAACCATGGTAACAGCAACATGCATCAGCCAAGTCAGCAAGCCTGGCCACCTGATGCTGCTAGTGTTACCACAAGTATAAGTTGTAAGCTGCTGAAGATGAATTCTAACCCGGATTTTCAAGGAGATGGAATGAGCACTGTATATAATCTGCCACCTTGGTTTATGTTCTATTCAACCATATAGGGACAATCCTGTTCTAAATAATAGTAAGGGACCATTCATAATTTATGGCTAGGGGGGATGGTGATGATTTTTATGAGAATGACCCCACCCACCCACCCCTAAAATCTATGTACAAAATAAGTAACCCCTTGCATGTCATGTACAAAATCAATCAACCCCCACCCGTCAATGCAATTTCTAAGTATAATTATAAACATATTTTTATGTACAAAATAGCTTACCCCCTAGTATGTGCAGCACAAAATTGCTGACCCCTCCTGGCTCCCCAGAACAAAATGGGTGACACCCCCACCACCCCCTAGCCATAAATTATGAACGGTCCCTAAATACCTTGATATGTACCCATCAAAAAAGAAATAGATCATATCAGAAATTTCCACAAGTATAGTTGATTCAATAATCGTGCCAAGATGTTCACTGAAAGAAAACCAATGAGAAAATGTGCCCTTGACACTCACCCTGAAGGTCAACCTCATACTGTTGTCCTGGGTAACACTTATTGTCGTCCATTTCCCATAGTTTGGATATCGCTTCGGATAAATCACCATCTGCATCAAACCTGGCATCAAAGTAGAAAAAAAGATCATGAAACAACCAACCAACAAACAAACAAGTCAACAAGTCAACAAGTCAACAGACCAACCAAACAAACAACCAGCCAACCAACAAAAAAACCCAGACCAACCAACAAAAAACAGACCAACAAAAACAAACAAACAGACCAACCAGTCAACAGACCAACCAAACGAACAACCAGCCAACCAACAAAAAACCCCAGACCAACCAACAAAAAACAGACCAACCAACAACAAAAAACAGACCAACCAACAACAAAACAGACCAACAAAAACAAACAAACAGACCGACCAGTCATTCAATCCAGGACAGTTCAGATGATGAAACACAACCATTCAAACTAAGTTGCAGAACACCTGATATTTTCATATTTTAAGAGTGTCTTATGAGAAAACCCAAAGATTATCATGTCTATCAAAACATCAATAATACTTTCTCCAGGTTTCAGTAGCAAAATGTTTAAATACCAAGTCTTTAGTAAAGAAACTGGAAAACTTAAATGCACATCTTCAGCACACGTATTGTTAAGTTTTATGTACCAAATGAAGAGTTGCAACAGGTTTCCAGCACATCTGGTAGATTGATTTCATTACTGTACCAGGCTCCAATTTCTTAGCAAGAGGGGGTAAGTATTGGACTAGATATTCTGCAAGCATCTAGGCATTGGAAAATATGTGCCAGTGCTCTCTTACATAGAAACGGTATTGAAATGGCAAGCAATATCAGCAGAATTTATTCGAAATGCTGTCATTTGAGAAATAATGAAAAATTAATCATTCAGATTTGGAGGAACGTAGGGATTTGAATAGAGTGTGATGGATGGAAACGACACGTGTCAGACTATTATAATATGCACATCTGTATCTCATTTACAAAATAATGACAAATTGATAATTCAAAATTGCTGATGGGAACTGTTTTAGAAGGGTGTGCAATAGCTGGATAAGATTATCACCTCATGCAGAGCATGATTAACTGCATATCTATACAAATATAATTTTGGCTACCTGAGACAATATAGAAAGCTATATTTTCACGGCTTCTATAAAGGTTACACTACACTAAATCAGTATCGCTTGATCGTTGAGCCGGTCCGTATGTAAACAAGTCAAGAGAGACAGAGACATGTGACAGCTGTGATTGGATGAAATAGTGTAAGATGTTTGTTTTTTAAAAGCATATCCAACCAGTAATTAAAACTGACCACAATTTTAAGTATTCAGTGCTGTCATTTTCATTACCATGACTTATGCTTATTGTGTGTACAGATATTTTCCAGTAGGTGACATTTGGTGCGGAACTGGGGTTGATGTGTTCCGTTCCGTTTCCGTTCCGTTGTGTACATGGAATGGCTGTTGATAGCTTGTCTATTTTAAAAAAAAATTATAAGGTTACTATAGAAGTCTATGGGAAAACATTTGGTGGTGTGTAACCTAAACGCACCATAGCATGATAAGTCAACTGGTTTGTGACGTCATTAAACTCTGACGTCATTTCATTGCTCTGCTCTGGGGGTAGCCAGAGTGCATACACATTGTTATTCACCGACTTGTTGAAAAAGGTCAATATTCTACAGATGGCATTGTGGATATCTCTGGTGTATAAACGCATTAGAAGTAAGATACATATGATCTTAGTTGTTTGGTTTGGGTTGCCGGCGAAAGGCGATATGGTTGACTGGAGTCGGACGACACCCTTTCTCAGTTCGCTGTGACCCAGGAAATCATCCGACATCGCCCACTGTCAGAATTGCTAACTCAGTTTCAGCAAAGAAAGTTGTAACTTCAGGCGTGAAACAACTGCGATATTTACTGCTACATCAATATATTAACAATACATACGCGCTCTCGTCCTGATAGTAAGCCATGTTGAGGCTGCAACTGTGTTCCGCTTCGTTGCTTCCGTGTCGATTCACCACCTCGGTGCATTAAGGGGTCAACGCAAACTCCATGCACCGCGAGAGGTAATATGATACATCAGGTATATAGGCATGCGGAAAGGAACGGCGCTGTTGTGAGTTGCCAGTAGTCCCGGCGTGTCTTTAGACTTGCTTCCAACTTTCATTCGTATTTTGGGCGAGTTGTCCCCCCTTAAACACCCAAAAAAAATTCTTTGCAGGTAAATATGAAATTGATAAACACAAATGTGCGTGTGCGCATAATCAACACGTTTTCAGGATATTTAATAAAATTAAATAATAATGTTTCCTGGTTTTAGAATCATTCAGTCATTGTAATGAAACACAAAAGACCATGACCTGAATTTTACAGAACTTTTTTCTTTGATGTCATGACAAAAAAGATTCAGTCTGCGTCATAAGTTAATTTAAGGCTGATAGCCAGTGATCTAAACATAAAACCATATTAGAAGTTACACAGTAAGTTGAAAACAGAGTGTGTTGATATTTTATGCATCCACCAGCTGTTCTTATAATAATAGCACCCAGAAATATTCCACCTACACGACGGCGGTATGTAAATAATCGAGTCTGGACAAGACAATCCAGTGATGTATGAATACGGATGGATTTAACAGCTGGTTGAATGTGTGACTACAGAATGAGTATTACATGCCTTTACGATTTTATTTTCCAAAATGAATATACACATATATTTGATAACCCAGGGTTTTCCGTATAAAGACTACCAACATTTATGTAATGACTAAGGTGAAATCACATGTATCACATGTGCTTCGTTGTGGTTCAGGACTGAAGTCCTAGAAACTCTCAGGAGTCAAGCTGCCAAACAGGGTCACCCATCCAAGGACTCTAGATCTCCACGCCCAACGTCAACTGATTTGTGACCTTGGCCTAGATTTTCGAAGCCCTCTTAGCGCTAAGATAGTCGTAAGTGCCATACATTAACATACGACTATCTTAGCGCTAAGGGAGCTTCGAAAATCTAGGCCCTGAGCTCTATGCACAGGACCACACTGCAATCAACCAGTACCTAGATTTTCGAAGCTCTTAGCGCTAAGATAGTCGTAAGTTAATGTTAATGTATGGCACTTACGACTATCTTAGCGCTAAGAGAGCTTCGAAAATCTAGGCCCAGGCCTCCGTTCCTCAAAGCAATCGTAGCGCTACGACAGTCGTTAGTCTATGTAAAGCATGGGAGTTACGATCAACTTAGCGCTACGATCGCTTTGAGGAACGGGGTCCAGGACGACACAGTGGAGATGAACCCCGCCCAGACTCATTCATATCGTGTATTTATCATCCTTTAAAAGGGAGCTAACTCAACCATACTTGAAGTGACATTTTTCTCTAAAAAATATGATAAAAACTCTGTTTATAGTGATATGATGGACTTTGGTGCATGCCAATAACATTATTGACACTTATCTCTATGACAGTCAGAGTGCTGTATGGGCGCGGTCTTTCCGAATGGTTAATTGGTTAACCCAGAAACCATTAACCGATATATATGGTCTCGGGTTTATCAAAGGTTCGTATACACTATCTCCAAATACACACATAGGTCAATGAACGATGCCGTCTTTACTGATAAAAACAAACGAAATAACCCTGACAGTTAACACCTGTTTAGCCTACATGTATGAGAGTGAGTGAGTGAGTATGGTTTAATGCCGCTTTGGGCAATGCTCAAACAACATAACCGTTGGCAACACCAGAAATGAGTGAATGGGTGAGTTTAGTTTTACACCACACTCAGCAATATTCCTGCTATATATGTCGGCGATGTGTGAATAATCGAGTCTGGACCAGGCAATCCAGTGATCAACAGCATGAGCATCGGTCTACGCAATTGGGATACGATGACATGTGTCAACCAAGTAACCGAGACTGACCACCAGACCGTTAGTCCCCTCTTACGACAAGCATGGGTTAGTGAAGATCAATTCTAACCTGAAGCTACACCAGAAATTGGCTTCACACATTGCACACATGTGAGAAATGGAAACCAGGCCTACAGATCAGAAAACCCTTAACCCCTATAGGATATTCATCCCCACATCCCATTAATCCCGCCCCAATCCCTTTGAGGCATACTTATTATGACTGACTGAGTATGGTTTTACGCCGCTTTTAGCTATATTCCAGCAACAGCACAGCGGGGAACACCAGAAATGGGCTTCACACATTGTACCCATGTGGGGATTCGAACCCGGGTCTTCGGCGTGACGAGCCAACGCTTTAACCACTAGGCTACCCCACCGCCCCTACTTATTATGAAGACTGCAAAGGAAAAACGCAAAGCTGTATCATTAGATAGTATTCAACAAAAATAACCATTGTTTGACAAAGTTTGCTAACAAATGCAAATTACATTCAGAAGCATGTATGGTGTTTTTCAGTGTGACCTTTAAAAAACAAAAGGGCATATTCAGCCCGACCCATATTTTTCTGAAAGAAAAACTGTATCCCCGCTTGAAATTGTATCCACTGGCAACAACATACAATTTAGCTATGGGGTAAATGGCTCTTTTAGTGATTATACGATTTATACTAGTCTGTCTCACAGTCCCTGAACCACATTAATCTCCCTACTGCCAAGCCCTCTCTGCAGCGCTAAAGCCCTAAATACAGCAAGTCTAGATTTCCTCAGGTTCTGAATCTCTGGCCTCCCTAGGGCTCCTTTTCAATATAAATGGGCTTGTTTGTTATTATCAAAATTATATATATTCAGAGACTAAGCCTTAGTCTAGATTTATACTTGTGTTGCACCATACCAACTTAGGACATGGACACCATCACCGAGTACATTCTCTTAACAACAATATGTTAATTAAGTGCAACAATGATAGGGCCATTATACATTAGCTGAACACACTGTGATTACAATAAGTATGGTCAGACAGCCGGAATCTATTTCTTTACTAATAGCACCCTGTGAATCCCCAGGGTCTCCGTCCCTCACGGACCAGTCCAGTTCCCACTATATATGCTGATCATGACATCCTGAGGCAGACCACCCCCATATTCTCCCCAAAGGAGCGGCAAGCGGAAGAGAGGTGTTGGCGTGGCGTCGCGTTTGTAGGTTTTGTCTGTGTCCCAGTCCCCAAACCATATTGTTTTCCTTTCCGTTCCTCCTAATGAAGCATGTCTGGATTTTCACCATTTTGAAATTCCGAATCTCCAATTCGGGTTCCTTCTCATTGTAAATATAGTTGTTTGTTTGTTTGTTTGTGTAAACTCACATATTTTTGGAGACTAGGCGATATAGTCAAGCTTCTTGTGTATATTTCTTTCTGGCCACTACGTTCCCATATCGTGCGGTTCGGAAAATAGCTGTCATATTTAACAGGGTCAATTGAGGCAGAGGTCAAAATGTGAGTCTTTTGGGGAGGGTCTTAAAGATAATACACATATCATTTATCACCGGCACTGTGTGTTTGCGTGCGTACGTGCGCGCGCGTGTTTTAATTAATGACAGGTCCTTCAGGATTAATTTCATTAAAAAATGGAATAAAATTGATTTTTATTAAAAAGTTCTACGTAAATATTTGAAGATATTTTCTTAATGCTAGTTTGTTTTTACATTTTATTATGTGTCGAAGTAAAGGCATATGTTACCACACAGTTATCAGGGTGTTCAAGAACATACCCGTAATTCGAAATAACTCTACTGAGTAGACCTGCATACCAACGAAGGGATAGTGAGTGCAAGTCTAGTTTCTATGTAGTTTATTGAGTAGCTACGCAGCTGCTGATTGGATCATATTTGACCGGAAGTTCATATATCCAATCGTGGGAACAGTTAGATGAGAAGGCACACAGCAAGCAGCATGGCGACCTTTGGTTATTTATCTAAAGACGTTCTGACCGGTTTTGACAACTACAAGGTATCGTTGACTTCTAAGTTTGAATTAACTTAAGTAATTTTCATAGAGATTCGTATCTATTTATTTGAATTGAAAAATGTATGATCTGAGTGTCAGTCAGCCCGTTGAGGGTGATCACCACCTCAATACGTGATACGTTTGCCAAACTACGGCCACTGCCCAGTGTACACATTTCTGACACGGTTTGCTCACGATTACTTGATAGGTCGTTCAGATGACATGTTTTTGCGGGATAAGACCACATGTTTTAGATATGTAAGAATGTAGTTCACCGAGGTCAGATTGATTGTCATGTTAATTAGCTCTGGATTTAACTGGCTAACCCTAAAAATCGGGAGTGCGCCCGGTTAAGTGCATTCTAGTAAAGTGCATTTTAGTTGAAGTTCTAATAGTAATAAAACAGGCGATGCTTGGTGGATTTAGAAAAAAAACTCAGTTAAAGGTTTTATGCAGTGATTGTTGTAATTTTGCTGACTGAAAAACAACATTCTCTAATATATTCTCCCCTTTTCAACACAAAGTCCCAATCCCTGAATCTGATCTGAATATGTAATGTACTATTATGTAGTCATTCAAATGAATATGATAACCATCATGAATCTTAATGAATTGAATATTTTATTTGTGAATATGATGAATAAATATTTCACTTGCACCTTTAGGGATTGTAATTTCTTTAGCACATATGCTAAGTTAATTAATCTATCATCCTAGCCCGAACTAAACAGCTAAAGCCTGATGAAGTTGGCACTTGTTTCTCATCAATGACCAGTTCTGCATTTTCAAAAACTGTGCCAAACCTTTTGGTTCAAAGGAGTCATTCTGCTTAGGGGCAGTGGGGTAGCTTAGTGGTAAAAGTGTCTGCTCGTCATGCCAAAGACTCAGGTTTGATTCCCCACATGGGTACAATGTGGGAAGCCCATTTCTGGTGCCCCCTGCGGTGATATTGCTGGAATATTGCTAAAAGCAGTGAAAAACTAAAATCGCTCACTTATTCTGCTTAACGTCCTAGTAGTATTACATGTGATTGAAACTACAGAGTATTGCTAATGAAACAAAGTAATCTGTTTAAAGCATGATGAAAGATAATCAAATGTTATTTTCATGATTTGTTGCTACTTATATCAGTATGATCGATCGAACTGTAATAAATAGGAATGGCATGGATGAACAATTTTCAGTGTGCCCTGGCGGAATGACTAAAATTATATAAATAATATTCACTGTCATTGAATTTATGAAAAATATTTGACCAACTCAGATGATTAAAATCCAATTTCTGCACCCCATCAAACTGTTTATCAGTCAGACTCTCAATCTCAGAGTTTAACATGGGTGTGGCCATTTTGAATGCCAGTGAGCATAACAGGAAAGCGCATTTTGGATGATAACATTGTTTGAGGGTGAGTTTATGTGTCTAGGACAAAGGAAGCTGAACTATTGTTACAGTCATGACAGTCTTCAGGAAATCCTACTTTCTATTTCTGGTTTGCATGATGTTTACTGATTTATTGCACATTAAATTGAAATGACATGATTCTTGTGATGTTTTCAGTTTAATATGTCATCAAAAGGTATGGGCACAAAGGCACACCTAAATTTCCAGTCTGATGCCCAGTGCCACCCCTACAAAAATGCATTTCTATCCCTGTTGTTTATCCAGAGTATTGTTAATGAAAACGGGGGCGGTGGGGTAGCCTAGTGGTTAAAGCGTTGGCTCGTCACGCCGAAGACCCGGGTTCGATTCCCCACATGGGCACAATGTGTTAAGCCCATTTCTGGTGTCCCCCGCCGTGATATTGCTGGAATATTGCTAAAAGCGGGCATAAAACTAAACTCAGTCAGTCAGTGTTAATGAAACCAAGTTATCGAACTAGTATGCATTCTATCTAAAGCATGATGATGATTTCTGTCTACTGTTACCTGTATGATCAAAGTACTATAACATTCTGGACATGATTCAAGTATTCAGCATGTTATTAATAACCTATGAGATATGATGTGTCACAGATTGTATGTCCTGAGTAAGTGGACTGTGAGCCTTTGAGAAATTACTTTAGAAATTATCATAGTTATTGAGGGACATGTATTCCAGAACTGTGATTTGCAAATAAGTAATAGTAATAGTCCGCCTATATGGCGCTCATATCCAGGCACATTGCCTGCTCACGGCGTTACGTACATTACTATCCCCGGTCATAGGACACTATCGTACTTTCCGATACTTCGTCAACTCCCTGGGGAGTATACAGCCATGCTGCCTGTTAGGCGCAACGAACTAAACACTCACATTGTCAGCACATCCTCACGGGTACCCATTTTACAGCTGGGTGAACTAAGACAATGTGGATCTAAGTATCTTGTCCTAGGATACTACGCAAATGTGCCCACCTCGGGACCCGAACCTAGGTGCCTCCAAGTGGGTTATTCCATACATTACCATGATATTCTGTGATCTTTTTATCTGATAAACATGAGAAAATTTATCAAAATGCATGTCCGCAATTACATATTTGCTTGCTGTTGAACACTACAGTCAGCAATATTCCACATTGGACTGCAGCCTCTGAAACATAAGCAGTGAGTGAGTGAGTTTAGTTTTACTCCGCACTCAGCAATATTTCAGCTACACGAAGGCGGTCTGTAAATAATGGAGTCTTGACAATCCAGTGATCAACATCATGAGCATTGATCTTCACGGTTGGGATAGGATGACATGTGTCAACCAATCAGTGAGTCTGACCACCCGATCCTGTTAGTTGCCTCTTACGACAAGCATGGGTTGCTGAAGATCAATTTTAACCAGGATCTTCACGGGTTAAAAAAGTATATGAAGCCTGAACCAGCCAGTCCTATAAATCCATAGTCTGGATGCAATGACCAGACTATCAAACAAATGACCAAGCCTGACCTCTTAATCCCTTTGGTTGTCTGTTACCACCAGCAAAGTTGTTAGGGACCTCGGGTCTTTCACAAATACATAAGTACAATCACTTTACTGTTTGATCAAAGTCACAAAATCCTCTTAAAACTTTCTTAGATGTCAGGAACAATGGATGGCATCATCTTCAGTTATTTAGGACAATGAGTTAGTATGACGTCATGTTGCCATGGGCAGTTTTTGTAAACAATACACAGGATGAAAACAATGGAACAATGAACAAAATATAGACTCCTCAATGAGATTTAGTGAAGATAATTTCACTGCTATCCTATAACATACCCTGGTACAATGGTAATGCTATTATCAGATTAGGTTAAGATGGTTAAACCACTCTAACCTATTTGGTTCCTGCTTTACATATTCTGTTCTTTGCATATTCTGTTCCCCATTGTGTGATAAACAGCGCAGGGCTCCAGATAATTTTTCAACATCAGGAGTACGTACTCCTTATTTTTTTAATATAGGAGTGCTGGAAAATCTTAAGAGTACTGAATGGAATTTAATGGCATATCAGTAACCTTGTGTTTTGTGTCTTATATGTGCCACAACATTGCTAGTCTTGTGTAAACAGGTCAATAAACAATAAAACAATACTTTTTCAGATACATACGTCTGTAAATGATTCTAGGACCGTTGTCGTCGTGCATATCTGCTACGTTTTCCAAATTATTTCCTACCGTATTGTGCATATTTTTTAGCCGTACATACGCCGATACGGCCCTTATCTGGAGCCCCGACAGCGTCTTCAAAAATTGTTCATGGTTGACATTGATAAGGACAAGGTGTGGAGATTGCATCACAATAATCACTGATCACATGCTGATAGCCACCATTAGCATGAGCAACCCATCCTTGTCGTAAGAGGCAACAAACGTGATCAGGTGGTCAGGTTCGCTGACTTTGTTGACATTATTATCGTATCCCAATTGTGTAGATTGATGCTCATTATGTTAATCACTGGATTGTCTGGTCCAGACTCTATTATTTACAGACTGCTGCCATATAGCTGGAATATTGGTGACTGCAGCCTTTCACAACAAACCCAATCAAACTCACTCACTAATGGTGTCACGCACACCTCTGCCCTCTCCTGTCTTCAAAACCCGAACAATGTAATACAGTTGCCATGGTTACAGCACTGTTTCACAATGAATAACAGGGCTGCAGTGAACAGACTGAGAGACATATACATTACATACCATGAATATTACTTATTAGTAACAATGTAAAGTATGAATATTGGGGTAGCACTAGGGCTGATGCCTGCAAGGTTTCAGCTGCGTATTTGGGTGAAACGAATCCCCTTCAGGAGTTCAATTCTTTATTCATGATCACTAGAATTGAATTTATCATTTTTTAAAAAGGAGTGTTTTTACTTGGGCGAGAGTGAGTTGAGTTTTACACCGCACTCAGCAATATTCCATCTATATGGCGGCGGTCTGTAAATATATAAACAAGATACACAAGTAGAAAATGTGCAAGCCGTGAAGGTTAATAGTCAACACTCTCACATATTTAATTTCACAATTGATTACACGGGGTCCTGGTTATTGCCATGTTAAATTAACACTGGCGACATGATGAAAACATGTCACATGAATATTTTTTTTTGTATTATTTCACTGAATACATGTGTATTGAATAATGCATCAGCTGCTTATATGTTATTGGTTTTGTTACCCAATATTCATGATATGAATCATATTCACCTCATAGTGGAAACGTGGCAGCACTAATTAGCATATTGCCACAATGTCGCCGGTAGCCTATTGTTTTGGCTGATAGTGATAGTATCATATGGGGCCTTGGCAAACTGACACTGGTTATGCTTCTGCATGGCTTGCATATCATACTATATATTCATTTCTGCATATCTCGCTTTCATAAACAGCTGACGCGTTCAATTTGAAAAACTCTCTTATTTAGTCGGATTACCATGAGTAACAAATTGAAGTCATGAAGAGATAGGGATGATTTCACTAAAATCGTGAGTGAATCGTAACAGCTGTAATGAATAACTCTGAATTATAACCCACTGCTAATCTGACTGTTGTTTGTTTTCCAGTACAGTGCTGTAGATACAAGTCCTGTAGCCAACTACATCTGTCACCCCTTCTGGAACTGGGTAGTGCAGGTGAGTAGTGGTGTACAGACAGACAGACAGACAGACAGACAGTGAAGCCTCATTAATCCGGACGGTTGCGTTTCTCAGCAAATTCGTCTGGATTGCAAATCGTCCCGGACTACTGAATCAAGACCCAAGTTCAAGCAAGAGTTGCTTCCCTTACTATTACAAAAACGACACGACTCTGGATAAAACAAATGAGCATTTTATGTAAAGCTTATAAGACGATGAATAGCAAGCACAACAATAAATGATAGTCATAGCAAAACGTTTTTCATAGTTGTTTGTGTTCGTTTAACCTTCCTTATTGAATTCATCACATCAATAATTTTACCGAGTGACATATAATCGCGACATATTCTTCAGCACTTACAACATCCGTGTCTGATCACGTCCTTCCTCAGCACAGGGGAGGTAATGTCTAACAAGCGATCTCTTGTAGTATACCTTGATGGTCACATTTAGCAAAGTTAGTGAAGCACACTTGTGACTTGCAGCGATGTCGAGAAGCAAAATCACTTCAAGGCCACATGACTGCATCTGTCAAAGTACATTAACCAATCACAAAACAGCTCACATGTCATCCACGCCTTAATAATGTGGTGTCAATCAAACTGTAAATGTACAGCATCTTCAGTCGGGAACTTTTAATGTCTAATTAAGACAACCCTTAATTGACATTTCTCAAAAGTTAACAAGAGTTCACAAGTGTTTATTGTTTGAGGCCAGTTAATAAACATTGCCGGGAGGTGTTGTTACAGTTCGTGAACATGACTTACAGCATCCAGACTGTGAAGCAAGTTACTTTATATTTTACTTATTGGTTACAGCTACTTACCGTCCGGTTCCGTAAACCGAATTTCCGGATTATCGACGCAAATTAAATAGGCATTGATTGGTAACAAGCTGAAATCGTCCGGGAGGCGAGACATCCGGATTATCGGGGTCCGGATTAACGGGTCTTCACTGTACATACATACAGACATACACATGTACATACATACAGACAGACAGACACGTACATATATACATACATAGACAGACACAGACAGACAGACACATACATACATACACAGACAGACAGACAGACAGGCATACACACGTACATACATACATACATGCATGCATGCATGCATTTATATAGCGCTAGTTTCTTGCGTGTGCTGGCAAGTGCTCGAGATGAGTCTGGAAAGAGATTGTTTAGGTATGGTAGGCAGCACTAAACAAGTAGGTTTTCAGCTGTGACGTGAATTTTGGTAGATTATCTTGCGATCTGAGGTGTGTAGGTAGACCGTTCCACATTACTGGACCGGCTTTTGTGAATGAACGGTTGCCAAATGTCTTTGTTCGGGTGGTTGATACCTCCAGGAAATACTGGGAACCAGATCGTAAGGATCTGGGAGGGTAGTGTTTTTTAAGAAGATTTGAAAGGTAGCTGGGGCAAGTCCATTCACACACTTGAACACTAACAACAGTATTTTGTACTGGATCCTGTATCTGACTGGCAGCCAGTGTAGGCTGTGGAGTACAGGGGTGATGTGGTCGTAGTTCTGTTGACGGGTTATCACCCTTGCTGCAGTGTTCTGCACAAGTTGAAGTTTGCCAAATAGATGCTCAGATGTTCCAAACAGCAGCGAGTTGCAGTAATGAACAAGTGAATAGTGCAGGTGTGGTGGATAGTATGGTGATTGTGCAGGACTAGTGGATAGTGCAGGTGTAGTGGATAGTGCAGGTATAGTGGATAGTGCGGATGATAGTGCAGGTGTAGTGGTGTAGTGGATAGTGCAGGTGTGTAGTGGATAGTGCAGGTGTGTAGTGGATAGTGCAGGTGTAGTGGATAGTGCAGGTGTAGTGGTTAGTGCGGGTGTGTAGTGGTGTAGTGGATAGTGCGAGTGTGTAGTGGATAGTGCAGGTGTAGTGGATAGTGCGAGTGTGTAGTGGATAGTGCAGGTGTAGTGGATAGTGTGGGTGTGTAGTGGATAGTGCAGGTGTAGTGGATAGTGCGGGTGTGTAGTGGTGTAGTGGATAGTGCAGGTGTGTAGTGGTGTAGTGGATAGTGCAGGTATAGTGGATAGTGCGGATTATAGTGCAGGTGTAGTGGATAGTGCGGGTGTGTAGTGGATAGTGCAGGTATAGTGGATAGTGCGAATTATAGTGCAGGTGTAGTGGATAGTGCAGGTGTGTAGTGGTGTAGTGGATAGTGCAGGTGTAGTGTGTAGTGTGGATGATAGTGCAGGTGTGTAGTGGATAGTGCAAGTATAGTGGATAGTTCGGATGATAGTGCAGGTGTAGTGGTTATTGTAGGTGGGTACTGATGTAATGGATAGTGCAGGTGAGTAGTGATGTAGTGGATAGTGCGGGTGAGTAGTGATGTGGATAGTGCAGGTGTAGTGTAGACTGCAGTTGAGTTCTGATGTAGTGGATAGTGCAGGTGTAGTGGATAATGCATCTGCCTGGAGAAGAGGAGTTTGGCGGTTCTCCCTCCACCAGCTCCATCTTTGAAACAAAAGTGACAAAACCCTTTTCACATCTGTAAGAAATCTGTGCTAAAAGCAGAGTGGGTTGTACGGTTGCAACTAAATCATGAACATGTGTTTGTGAATCACTATCAGATAGTGATGAGAACCAGGTTTTGTGAATCACTGTCAGATAGAGATGATACCAGGTTTTGTGAATCCCTGTCAGATAGTGATGATACCAGGTTTTGTGAATCACTGTCAGATAGAGATGATACCAGGTTTTGTGAATCACTGTCAGATAGTGATGATACCAGGTTTTGTGAATCACTGTCAGATAGAGATGATACCAGGTTTTGTGAATCACTGTCAGATAGAGATGATACCAGGTTTTGTGAATCACTGTCAGATAGTGATGATACCAGGTTTTGTGAATCACTGTCAGATAGTGATGATACCAGGTTTTGTGAAAAGGTCAGCCTATCAATTGTTGACCTGGAAAAAATACCTGAGAACATATGGTCCAAGTTAAATAGGGACTTGTAATGGACATCAATTTGGTCATTGATGCGTCAAATTTGGAAATGTCCTCTACATGTTGGCCTTAAGACGTTTTGAAAGACATTAAACGATATATGCTGTGACCCTGACACTCAGTATCAGAAGACTGTTTGACCTAGAGTCAGTATAATGATTGGTCTAAAGGGAGTATCCATGTAAGAATGTAGCATATTGTCTCATTGGGTGTGCCCCTTAAAGAGACAGTCCTCACTAGTACAAGCAGCTGCATACAAATACACAGTGTACCAGTAAAATAATCTTAAACATTAAACACTATTTCACCTGAACAGAATTTCAAACCCTTTTCGTTTTCTTTTCTTTTCACATTCCAATAAATATACAAATAAGATGACCTAGCAACATGCATATTTAAGCTCCCATACGTCATGATACATTATACCTGTAAAGATATGTACCCGTGAAGATCCGGGGTAGAATAGTCTTCAGCAACCCATGCTTGCTACAAAACACGACTATGCTTGTCGTAAGAGGCTACTAACAGGATCATGTGGTCAGGCTCGCTGACTTGGTTGACACATGTCATTGTATCCCAATTGCGCAGATTGATGCTCATGCTGTTGATCACTGGATTGTCTGGTCCAGACTCGATTATTTACAGACTGCCACCATATAGCTGGAATATTGCTGAGTGCGGCGTAAAACTAAATTCACTCACTCCCTCACTGTAAAGATATGGGTTGGAATTTGTCTCCATAACCATGCTTGTCTTAAGTGACGACTGATGGGATCAGGTGGTCAGGCTTGATGACTTGGAAGATGCATGTCAACACATCCCAATTGCATAGATCAGTACTCATGATATCCATCATTGCATTTCTCCAGGCTTGATTATTTAAGTGCCGCTGTCATATATAGAGAATACTACACGAGGTCTCATTACATACGAATTATATGAAACGAGTGTCCTTCCTATGGTATCTGACCGAGCGAAAGCGAGGTCTGATAACATAGGAAGGTCACAAGTTTCGTATAATTCGTATGTAATGAGACCGAGTGTGGTATTTTATTTATTACCCACGTCTTACATGCATTAAATTGACAAAATAGTTGATTTTGTTATGTTTTTGGTTTCAAACCGAAACCGGTTTCATAAAGAGGTTGCGGAAGAGTTTTGTACTTTAGTACAATATTTGCATGACGTCACAGTGTAATGACGTCACTGCATTGGTAACGGACGTCACGATGCATGTCAGTTGTCAGGCCTTAAAAAAAAAACTTGTGGTTTCGATTTCCCGACCGACCCTAAATATTCCCGCTGAGCCTAACAATTTTACTCACCACATAATGAATTAAATTTATTTTCTGACACATGAGTAATGTAAAAATATTTTGCAAAAAAAACCCAACCCCTACCTACCTACCCTAGTTCTGAAATGTAGGAAATCGGAACCACACCATTTATTTTTTTGGGCCTCATCGCCTCGTACAGCCTCCTACAGTAAACTGCTCCGTAGCACCTCGTTTCTTGGGTTTCCAGTTGCTTCATTCGGCTAACATCACTGGTGGAAACATTGCGCTTATGTTTTTCGACGGATATAATGTCTCAGTTCAACTCACAATTAAACAGCGACACGGCAACGTTCGCAATGTTTACATTCCCACAATGCATTTAAGTTGTAGAATGAATGAATTCACGTGTTTGATATGAATGAAAAAATAGTTACGTCAGAATGTGACCTAATTGAGAGGTCATCGGTTATCCAATGAAATCGTTAGAATCTCAGGTCAAGTCGTTACGACACAGGCCTACGCGATACAACACTCGTGTGACGTACGAGATTAGTATGCAGCTACCCATACGTTGACCACGTGGGTAATAAAGCTGGAAAAGTGTTGAGTGCAACATTTAACAACAAACAAAACAAACAAACAAACCAAATCAGTATGTTATTAGCTAACATTAAGTTAGATATCAAGGGTATACCAAAATAAAAGTACCGTATATTACTGTAGATAAGCTGAATTTTGAAGACCCAAAAAGCAGCCTGAAGAAGGGGATTGGCTTATCTACGGGTAACACTTTCGTCAAACCAGAAATAAAACGACAACGTATCATTTTGAGGGGGTTCAGCTTATGTACGAAACAAACCATTTTGATACTGATTTTAAGGGTCAAGTTAAGGGGTCGGCTTATATATGGTTATATGTGTTTTCCAGTGTTTATATTTCTTTGAAGACAACCGTGGCTGCAAACATATCCAGTTTTTATGCATAGTTTACTCAGTTGATGATGGTGATGATGATGATGATGATGATGATGATGATGTTTCCAGTTCTACCCACTATGGATCGCCCCGAACGTGCTGACACTGTCCGGATTCCTCCTTCTCCTACTCAGCTTCTTCGTCATGACGTACTACGACCCCGACTTCTATGCCTCCAGTCGAGACTACCCGGACTATGGCGTCATACCCAACTGGGTGTGGCTCATGGGTGCCGTCAACAACTTCATGTCACATAATCTGGGTAGGTGATGTTCAGTGTGGAAGTAATACACAGTAAGGGTGGATTTTATAAAACTAGGACTGAGTGAGTGAGTTTAGTTTCACACTGCTTTTAGCAATATTCCAACAATATCACAACGGGGACACCAGTAATTAATGTGTAATGTGGCGGCGCATGGTCCTGTGCTCAAATCTCAGGTCACAAATCAGTGAAGTTAAGCAGCGTCAGGCTCGGAGAGTCCTTGGATGGGTGACCGTGTTTGGCAGCTTGACTCCTGAGAGTTTCTAGGACTTGAGTCATGCCCCACAATGAAGCACATGTGACACATGTGATCTCACCTTAGGCAAGTGAGTTTGTTCAAAATTGTCTCTGTTCACCCAGCAGGAAAATGGGTACCCGGTGGAAAAAGTCATATGACTATAACCTTCTAGCGCCTAACAGACAGCTTGGGTTATCCGGGATAATAATGTGCTGTGCCTTGATTGTTAGCTCTATGAGCATACCTAGTGTGGATTTTGGCACTGTATAAATGGACACATTATTATTATTATTAATGGGCTTCACGAATTGGACTAATGTGGGGGAATCAAACCATTTTCTTTCGGCGTGACGAGCGAACGCTTTAGCCACTAGGCTGACCCCCTGCTGACAGCTAAATAAGTACATTCGGAGAAACAAAAGTGATATGATACAATGGTTGAAACTTGACAAGGGAAGCCAGTAGTTTATTGGCACTGACTGACTTTGACATTGACAAAAAGAAGCCATGGGTAAATCAGGTGTAAGCGGTACTGGTAGTTATTGAAACATTGGTAAAAATGGACACAGGGAGGGCAAGGGAAGTAACTGCACTGAATGATGATCGCATGGTATTCCTCATGAACAGTGTGTGAAATAGCCACTGGCCTGCTAGCCCATGGCTAGTAAAAATCAAATCAGGCGAGTAAATCTCCACTTTCATGGGGTCATTTTTTTTAAATGACTTGTAAGTCAAAATACACTTTTAAATCATGCAAAGTTTTGGCCTGATAAATTATTGTATTTTACCTCTTTGTAATCTCTTGCTAAGTTTCTTCTTTCAGATTTTGGGCTGGTGCATAATTTTGTGGGCTAGAAACTTTCACGCATAGCTAGCCCGACTGGCAGGCAAAATTTGGAAACTATTTCGCACACTGCTCATGAAGAACAATTTTATGCACTCTGCTTAAAATGAGATCTTTTGCAATGTATCGAAACCTTGGAGGATGACGATCTGTAGGTATTTAACAGAAGGAAGTGTCAGGGTGTCCTTGAGTGAACTTAAGTTGCCAAGCCTAAATGTACTGGGCCTAGATTTTCGAAGCACTCTTAGCACTAAGATAGTTGTAAGTTAATGTTAATGTATGGCACTTACGATTATCGTAACGCTAAGAGAGCTTCGAAAATCTAGGCCCTGATTCTTTAGTCAGTTTGTATGATCATCTACAGATGTTAGGTTGTTGGGGTAGCGTCTGCTAGTCAGGTTCAATTCTCAGCTTGGGGACAATGTGAGAAGCCCATTTTTAGTGTCCCTAGCTGGGATATTGCTGGAATATTGCTAAACATAATAAAAGCAGTGTAAAACTATTAGGGCTGGGACGATACACTATGTCACGATATGATACATATCGCGATATTTTACCTGCGATACGATACGTATCGCGATACATACACCTTGAAAGAATGACACGGTATCAAGATTATCGATGCACCAGTCGACGATACGATAGCTGAATCAAACTTAAATGTATTGCGATACATCGGTGAATCATCCCAGCCCTAAAAACTGTACTCACTCGCATCATCAGATGTCATCAGTTTCACTTCTTTGTCAATTTGATTTTGAAATGTAGATCTGTTCCTCCCCCCCTCTTTGTCAATTTGACTTTGAAATGTAGATCTGCCCGCCGCCTCCCCCCCCAGCACATAGTTACATCAGGCTAGTGCATTGGTTTTAAAATGTATCTCTGTTCACCAAGCAATGAATGGGTACCAGGCAGGATGAGATTGTAACATGACTGTCAGAATGATGATGATGATGATTACGACGACTAGTCATCCATGTGTCTAAGGATAGTCAAAGACCTTTGTTTAAAGTTTTGGATAAACAGACCCCTTCAAATGTTTTGGTTTTGGTTTTCAGTAATCAATTTGAATAAATTTTAAATAATTTAGTTGATATTCCCAGATGGTACAGATGGCAAACAGGCCCGACGTACAGGCACCAGCTCACCACTCGGAGAGCTGTTCGATCACGGATTGGATAGCATGGGTGCACTCTTCATTCCGGTGGCTCTCTACTCTATATTTGGGCGCAGTGAGATGAGTGTGGATGTGTTCCGTTGCTACTACATCTTACTGGGGATCATGACTTGTTTTCTATTGTCTCACTGGGAGAAGTACAACACCGGTATCCTCTTCCTCCCCTGGGGGTACGACATCAGCCAGATTGTAAGTACTTCTTCCATGCCATTCTTGTTTGTTGTTTTGTTGTTTTGTTGTTTAACACCGCACTCAGCAATATTCCAGCAAACTATGGCGGCGGTTTGTAGATAATAGTCTGGACCAGACAATCCAGTGATCAACAGTATGAACATGATGAACATCGATCTGCACAGAAGGAATACGATAAGTCAGCAAGCCTGACCACCCGGTCCTGTTAGTCGCCTCTTACGACAAGCATGGTTGCTGTAGATCAATTCTAACCCAGATTAGACTAACAACTAGTCTCTGAAATGAACATATTTTACAGAAAAAAGCTCATAGTGAAAAAAATAAAATATAATGAAAAGAAGCCCTGAGACTTTCTTCATTTCCTGAAGCTGTGGAAATCTAGACTTGCCACATTTTCTAGACTTGTGTGGGTTTTCTTGGATATATTTGCTTCAGGGTCTGTATGACAGACTAAACCCAGATCTTCACGGGTATCAGGATCTGGGCATCACAACTGCTGCAGTTTGACAAATCTAGGGTTTCATGAAACTGATAAATGTGTACGTTGTTTGAGACTTTCATCAATTTGGGCTTCCCTCCTTCGTCAACATAACTCATAATTGCTCTGGACCGCCTCCGTGGTGTAGTGGTTAGAGCGTCCGCACGGAGAGCGGAAGGTCGCGGGTTCGATCCCCAACTGCGTCATACCAAAAGCTTGTAGCTTGACTTGGATTTTGGACAAGTGGTTAAAATCAGAGACACCAAATAAAACTGGAACAATTTCTCAAGTGTCCACTAATATTTTCTCAGGAAGTAAGTGTTTGTATGTTTACTTTAACTTCTTGTTATGGCTAGAAAGTAGAAAAGTTTTGGCATTGAAAGAACATGGAAAAGGATCAATTCAATGTATTGGAATTACCATGTTTCTATTGCTTGCTTTTCTTCAATATTTCTTATTATGGAATAATTAGTGTGTGTTCTTTGTGTTTCAGGCTATGACGTTTGTGTACCTAATAACATATTTTGGAACGTATGAGATATGGAAGTTCACAGTTCCTGTTATTGATTGGACAGCAGCCGAGTGTGTCGTGATGCTGTGCTACAGTGAGTGTTTTATTGTATATCTTATCCATACCTGACCTGTCTCTCAGTCGGACGTGTCTGTAGTGCGAGTGTTGTTTGAGTGGACTCTGCTGCAGATCAGTGTAGTGTTGATCAGTACAGTGATTGTTGTAATTGTGGCATTATTGCGGGAATATCTGTAATATTGCTGACTATATTCCTTGTGATATATCTGTAATATTGCTAATATTGCTAACTATATTCTGACGCTTATATGCCTTGTGATACTGCAGCTGCAACTATTGCCATGTAATAATGCTAACTAACTATATGCCTTGTGAATAGCTGCAATATTGCTGCTGCAGTATTGCTGCTAACTATATGCCTTGTGAATAGCTGCAGCCTATTGCTGCAGTATTGTTAACAATATTCCTTGTCTAACAATATTGCTGACTATTTGTGAATAGCTGCAATATGCTGACTGTATATATATCTGCATTGTTGACTATATTCCTTGTCATATTGCAATGACTGACTATATGCTTGTGATATATGCAGTTTGTGACTATATTCCTTGTCAATAGCTGCAATATTGCTGACTGTATAGCTGACTGTATGCCTTGTGATATATCTGCAGTATGCCTTGTGATATAGCTGCAGTATTGCTGACTATATTCCTTGTCATATAGCTGCAATATTGCTGACTATATGCCTTGTGATATATCTGCAGTATTGCTGACTATATTCCTTGTCATATAGCTGCAATATTGCTGACTATATTCCTTGTGATATAGCTGCAATATTGCTGACTGTATGCCTTGTGATATATCTGCATATAGCTGCATATTGCTGACTATATTCTGCTTGTGACATATAGCTGCAATATATAGCTGCAATATTGCTGACTATATGCCTTGTGATATATCTGCAGTATTGCTGACTATATTCCTTGTCATACAGCTGCAATATTGCTGACTATATGCTGCTGACTATATTCCTTGTGATATATAGCTGCAATATTGCTGACTATATTCCTTGTATTGCTGACTATATTCCATGTCATATATATCTGCATATCAGTATTGCTGACTATATTCCTTGTGATATATCTGCATTGCTATATTCCTTGATGCCTTGTGATATATCTGCAGTATTGCTGACTATATTCTTGTGATATATCTGCCCAACTATGTTCCTTGTGATATATCTGTAATATGGCTGACTATATTCCTTGTGATATAGCTGCAGTATTGCCAACTATGTTCCTTGTGATATATCTGTAATATGGCTGACTATATTCCTTGTGATATATCTGCAGTATTGCCAACTATGTTCCTTGTCATATATCTGCAGTATTGCTGACTATATTCCTTGTGATATAGCTGCAGTATTGCCAACTATGTTCCTTGTGATATATCTGTAATATGGCTGACTATATTCCTTGTGATATATCTGCAGTATTGCTGACTATGTTCCTTGTCATATATCTGCAGTATTGCTGACTATATTCCTTGTGATATATCTGCAGTATTGCTGACTATATTCCTTGTGATATATCTGCAGTATTGCTGACTATATTCCTTGTGATTGTGATATATGATATGTATTGCTGACTATATGCCTTGTGATATAGCTGCAGTATTGCTAACTATATGCCTATATTGCAGTATTGCTGATATATTCTGTGATATATCTGCAGTATTGCCAACTATGTTCCTTGTGATATATCTGTAATATGGCTGACTATATTCCTTGTGATATATCTGCAGTATTGCTGACTATATGCCTTGTGATATATCTGCAGTATTGCTGACTATATTCCTTGTCTTATAGCTGCAATATTGCCAACTATATTCCTTGTGATATATCTGTAATATGGCTGACTATATGCCTTGTGATATATCTGCAGTATTGCCAACTATGTTCCTTGTGATATATCTGTAATATGACTGACTATATTCCTTGTGATATATCTGCAGTATTGCCAACTATATTCCTTGTCATATGATATAGCTGCAATATTGCTGATTCTTGGTCATGTCACAATACTGAAACTTTGCTGACTAAATGTCTGTAATTTAGCTGCAATATTTATCAATACAGATCAAGTCATATATCTGAAGAAGGTGTACATCAGTGTGTACCTGGAATCGTAAACTGTGATAATGGTACAATATTAGCTGCATATTGCTGAAATATTGCTGAAAATGTTCAGCTGTTAAATGTATTTCCAGTTTGCTATCTGCAGTACTAAAGTGTGCATGTATTTCACACTACGCTGAGTCTCATCTTGTTATATCCATTCCAGTGGGCTTCTTCTTTCTGACATTTCCCCCAAGTCTCTACAACCTATATGTGTAAGTATCTCAACATTGTACCATCCAGGCAGTACCCTGACACATGCTTACATCATATAAACCTAAAGGGTGCCTCTCACTATATATTAAGCATCTCTTCTTTTCCCGGAATAACCGCATTTAAGGTTTTTGTTTGCTCTCAGGTTTTACTTTTTGTAAGTAAGACCTCTTCCCAGGTTTTATTTTTTCCTTTTACTTTTTTGTACTCTATTTTATTTTGAACTTCCCACATCTTTTTGTAAAAGACCTGGTTTATATGATTGTTTGAAATCAATTGAAAATATATGATTGTTTGAAATCAATTGAAAAATATCGTCCAAGATCAATTTCAAAGTGCAAATGTTTTCCAAAGCAAGATTAGAACCACATCTATCAGGTTAATAAGCGGACATTGGGGTTGAATTATCTATTTACAGGGGCGGATACAGCTTTTTGAGAAAGGGGGTGCACACTATTGAGAAAAGGAGGGGTGCACACAATGGTCATTTAACAAACTTTCAGCACAAAATGGGGGGAATCCTCTGGATCCGCCTATGATTTATAGTTACTGTCGTTAAATTGATTTTACTTGCTCTTCAGTTATTGGTTATGTAGCTTCATTAAATAATCATCTACATTATAATTATCCATCATTGACGGTTTATATGTTTGGGAAAACACTTCCCCTTGGTTTTGGTAGAAAATGCAAAACCTTGGGAGGAGAGAAAACCCTCGGTTTTACATTCTCTACCAAAACCTCGGGGGCGTGTTTCCCTATGTACATACAGAACAGGACCACCTCTGTGGTGAAGTCTATAGTGACTGGAGAGTGGAAGGTCCCTGGTTTGAAGCTTGGTGATGTCATAACTAAAGATGTTAGAAAGATGTTGTTTTTGCCTTGCCTGGCGCCCAGCAGGAAGGGGATGAAACTACAACTGGTCAATTCAGAGGCTGTATACTTGACTGAGTGTGATATTAATTTTAAACAGCCGATTGGTGTCTCAGTAGGCTAGCATTATAAAACCGACATTAGCCGGGACTGGTACACATGTGCTCATGCATGTGACTATATAGGTTAAGTAATCACTAACACAGAGTTATTCCGATTTCACCCTCAACTTACAGGGAAGTGTTATTATGTGTGGGTTTCACGAGAAGCATGTATATAAATTTATTAGATTTGTTGCCTTGTACATGATGAGACAGACTGCCCGCACCACCAATAAATCCACTGATTTCCAGATGTCTGTACAGAACCGCTGGTCAACTTGAATTATTTTTGACAAGATTGGACTGATCAGTCAGCTTGCAGGACAGCTTAGTGAACTGTCTGAGACTTTGAGTCTAATGTCCAAAGCTCATATCTAGTAAAATTCTTTTTGGTCTTATAAGCTGATGTAAAATTTCAATTTCACTAAAAATGATGCTGAGAGATGACATTGGGCTCGTGGTTGAGAGTAAACTCTTGAAAATAATGTCTAAATTCTTGATCTTAATCACATGTAATACGTAATCATAATACTGCTTCTTGATTCTCTGTTATAACTTGCATGTTCTCCATGTCGGCTTCTGGCTTGTTTCAGATCTTATCGTGACAAGACAGGAAAGATGCGATCCTTCTCTGAAGCAATGCGACCTCTTGTATCAACAGCGCTGCTCTTTACCATGTTATTATTATGGGCCAATGTGTCCACCTACCGAGTATTGGACAACCACCCTAGACTGTTCTACTGGACCACCGGAGCAGCGTTCTCAAACATTGCAGTGTGTACCTCTCTCATACCCACAGTTCCTTGCATTCGTCACATCTTGCGGAGTCCATTCCACAAATTACGTTTTTGTTTTTTATTTGTTTCATTTTTATAAAGTCGACACATTTTCGTGAAACACGTCGTGAAAGGTTCTCTTTCCCAACCAGGCATTAAAAACTCACATGAAAGGTCATATTAGTGTTGTTCCACTGTTGTTCCCGATTTACGACTTGACTCAATAGATCGGTAGTTGTGATGTGCATAGTATCTTGAGGCATATAGTTAAACGTACTATATTTGGTATGACCTATTGTAGTATGGAAGTATCCAGTGTCCTTTAACTTTTGAGGGGTATACATTGTTGAGTCACGACAAGCATTGTATTTCACAATCTTATGTTGAATTTTGTTTTGTTTCAGTGCAATCTAATTATTGCTCAGATGAGCAACACCCGTTGTGAACTGATCAACACACTACTGTTGCCACTATTCACAATTGTCTTCCTCTGTGGAGTGTTTAGTCTTGGAATCATCGAGTTCTACCTTCTCTGGTCGTACTGCATATACGTGACAGTGTCTCATGTTATATTTGGTGTCAGCGTGGTAGGTACCAATTTGCTCATTCTTTGCAGGAAGTATGTTTATCTGTGAGGTGGTTTGAGAGGAGAAATGGCCAGTGATTTGTCTGAAGCCTCATTTCTGGTGTTTCTCGCCGTGATATTGCTGGAATATTGCTAGAAGCGATATGGAACAGTAGTCAGACTCGCCCCTGATATGTCTGGAATATTGGCAGCACAGTGATGGCAACAGTCACTCTCATCGGCATCTTTAAGATACTGTATTGTAAGAAATCAATTATATCAAAAATATATATGAATTCTGTAGCCAGAGATCAAAAAGATATTTCATAATCATGGGACCACACTCAAATTTATTAATTAGTTTATTAGGTGTTCTCTATCACATTTTCTTTCCACAGAGGTTACTTGTAATATCTTCCTAAGAACCTCTGTTCTAATACTGCCATATTTCCTGGTTCTCGTAAAATCCCCTAGCGGCAAAAAGTCGCAACATGAATTATCTCCCTTCATCCTATCCAATCAGAACACGTGTTACATTGACTTAGATCCAACTTGACTAATGCAAGCAAATATGGGGCCACAAATATCCCTCCTCTGCTGGGGACTTGAGTTGATGTGACACACAGGACATTTAATGGCTATCTTGTCCGTTGTTAACGAGAGGCGATGGAGACGCCATTGATCCGCCATTACATGACTTAGGTCTGTCTAGAAGAAATGTTTGCACATTGCGCAGGGGAAGAGGTTCTAGTTTTGCCAAAGCATACGGAAATTATACAGCCTTCAGAATGATCACTTTTGAAACAAAGTTGCTGATTGCACAACTAAATCTGATTGCAACCAATCATGAATACTAAACACTCGCACCATGAAAGGGCCGTATTAGAACAGAGGTTTGTAGGAAGATATGACAAGTAACCTCTGTGGGAAGAGAATGTCTCTATTAGTGAAGAAATGCATTTATGAAATTGGGCCACACGTCAAAGGTCCCGAACTTCACTATGAAGAGTCGTGTCCCTTAGATTCCAGATACTTCTGGTGACTGGTTCAGGTGTCTGGTAGGGTTACTTGGCTTTGGCAGCATCATGCTTCGACTCGTGGGTTTCACCAAGGTTGTAAAACCCACAACCTGCATCACTTTCCTCCCACAAGTCTTGAGCTAATTCTTCTAAAAGCAGTTTTGAAACCAGGGCTCCAGATAAGGGCTGTATCGGCGTATGTATGGATAAAAAATATGCTCGGTACGATAGGAAATAATTTAGAAAACGTAGCAGATACGCACCACAGCAATGGTGCACGGTCTTAGAATCATTTACAGACATATTTATCTGAAAAGGTATTGTTTTATTGTTTATTGAACTGTTTACACAAGAGAAGCAATGTTGTGGTGCATATATGAGACGAAATACAAGATTACTGATACTCCATTAAATTCCATTCAGTAATCTAAATGTACACTTAAGGCTTTCCAGTACTCCTATATTGAGAAAATGAAGAGTACGTACTCCTGATGTTGAAAACCTATCTGGAGCCCTGTGAAACATTATATTCTCTCAATTATACCGACCTCTGAAGATCCAGGTTAGAACTGGTCTTCAGCAACCCATGCTTGTCGTAAGAGCCAACTAGCAGGATCAGGTGGTCACTGACTAGGTTGACACTTATCCCAATTGCGTAGTTTGATGCTCGTGCTGTTGATCACTGGATTGTCTGGTCCAGACATAATATAAAATATTGACCGCCATCATATAGCTGGAATATTCTTGGATGGGAGTTAAACAACAAACAAACAAACAAACAAAATCATACCTTGAAATATCTGATTATATCATTTTATTTCTTTTCAGGTGTGCGAGATGTGTGAGCATTTCAATATCAAGGCATTTACCATACCAGTGAAGAAATCCTGATCACAGCCACCATTTTAAATACTGCTCTTATTTATTGTTTGTGATATTGAAAGTCAGAAGCCATGTTGTTTGTTCAGATATTATGGCTGTCCATCGCTCAGTCCCTGTTGGACATCAGCAGCAAGGAAGGTGTAGTGAAACAGTTCCTCCATCCAGAGTCTGCTTGTTAAACATTTCGTCGAACTTCTTCAATACTTCACAGATTTGTACACACAACATTCCTCTATCTCCAGAAAATAGGTCCAGTTAAAGGTGTTGCCATTTTAAACTAATTAATTAAGCAAAGCTTAATTCAGTAAGAGGTGTTCTCCGATCTATGATATGAAGATGACCTCACAAAATATGTAAGTAAGTCGTCCTGGTTGACAATATAGGTAGAATGTACATAGCAGCCTGTGTCTACAGCCACAGACCTGGACACTGAGTCTGGTTAAATTCTTGCAAAAGTCTTTTAAGTTCACCTTGTAGTAGTAATGAATATATGTAAGAATCTGATAATAATAAATATAGCAATAATTAAACTCCAATGAAATTGATCTCAAGAGCCATGATCATGTAAGCAGACTCATTAATCTTCGGCAACAACTGGCATCCTCTTGATGTCTGCTCGATGCATTGCCTCCATTGTGGGAGAAGTAGGATTCTTACATATATAGAATATGGATATCCAAAGGGCCATAACATTAGCTTAAATGTGTCACTAGATGTGTCACTTCTACATTGCATAGTGACAGTAAGTATCCCTGGATAATGATGGAACATAGCATATACGTGACAGTGAAATATTTATGGTGTTTACCATGCTCTGAGAATAAATGTAAGAACCATTCCATCATGTTTACGGACATGCAAATCCTCGTTTCACATGATTGTCAGATAGTCCAGGATTTAAATTTTTTATTCAGAACAAGTTTCCTTTCTTTTCCCCTGAAGATGAATGGAGTTCACTTTGTTGAAAGATGAGATATTGATGATTAGTTGTGAAGAAAGTATAATGTGTGAATGGCTGCCTGTTACAAGTCTTATCATTAATCCTGCTGAGCCCCATGGCAAATTCTAGTCTTTATGGAAATGATGCCGCCATTTTCTTTTTCAAATATATTTATAAGCATGAATGGCATTTCCATCTAGTTAATCTGTCATGATTGGTGGGTATCACGACACACACGGTTACAATTGTGGATGTTTTTAACTGGTTTTTAGAAGTATATAAGTATCATACAGGCCACAAAGTGTTAGCTTATAGCATTCACAAATTGGTACCATCAGTGCACAGTGTATTTAAGTCAATTCATATGCACACAATTAATTTCACAAGTAATAAAAATAGGTTTTGTAGTTGGAATTAAATATCCATTTTCAACAGGATACCCTGATTTGAATAATATGTGACCGATGTTGGCAGGGGAGATAATATAGATTTGAACTGATGCAATATGAATTCAGTATTCTTTACAGAAGTTGCATTATCTGATGTCTGTGTTGTAGGAGGACTGTAATTAGGATTTGAATTATTATAATTATGAATGACCCTGTTTAAGCTTCATGAAAAGGAACATATGCTGTGGTCCAAACACAATAGGTCCGTAAGTAGCTCATGGCACTTCGCGAGACCTTAAGACTTCCGGTGACAAACAACGTTTCATACCTTTTCAAATGGTCTCACGGTTGTCTGTCGACAGTAAGGAACTGATAATCCTCGCAGGAATAACAAATTTCCGATCTAACCATCCCCAAATTAGCCAAGTATTACGACTGTCAACAGCTGTGACAGCCAAGCATGGTTGTACACTTAGTCCGGTATAGTAAAGTTATATTTGGCAGTCACTCAATCTGGAACCAGAACTGATTCTTGAATATACGCTGTCGCCAGAAATCTGGTACCGGAAGTAAGCTGGGCCCCGTCTCGCATATCGTAAGTTGATGTGCGTAAAGGGAGCCGGGAACCAGCTTAGTACTGGAAATAGTGCCTCATGAGACTTACAGGCCTTGTGCCCCTAACATAGTGGTCCAGTGCAGGGGTCGGAGCTTCGTTGTCCCAGCATGATGGCCTAAGTGTTACGGTCCATGCTGTGGTCCCAGTGGTTCCAGCAGAATGTCTCAGCACAGTGGTCCAAGTACAGGGGACCACTGCTTCAAAACTAGTCTTTGTCCAATGTCTACAGAATATGTTGGTAATACATCTCAAACTAGGGAAGATATTACCCCTGGGTGAATGATGATATGTTGTATTATTACCAACGAGGGCAACCATATCGGGGTTCATATTTTAAATACAATGCCCTAGGGCAAAATATGACTTTGTCATGGTGACGTGATGTCATGAACAAAGTTATGATGTCACGTTTCTTCTGTGACGTTGCGTTCTACATGCGGCGACGGCGGGTAGCCAGCCTGTGTTTGAAAGTAGATTTGGGTTTATTTTCCCCAAGTTGACGACTTTGGTAATAAACAGAATATTATATTCGGGTCCATATCATACTATGTTTACAACACTCGCTTGGGAAATACCAACATTTAGGCATTCATGTCGTAAACATAGTATGACGTGGGCAATCATATGATATCCTCTATATATAGCTTCCAAAGGTGGTACGTATCTGAGATACCACCGAACAAAACATTCAGTACTTAATTATTGTGTTTACTGCAAGGAATGTTTCTAAATGTATGAAAATGAAACATAACCTTCCCAGTTCTAATCACAACATGTTTTACCTTTTGTCGCAGGTGCTTTGTTTAAAATCTTCAATTGTGCAGAGTTGAGTCCCTTGGGCGTGCCAGGATCCCATGATTGTTGCCCCAGGTTTCTTGGTTTGTCAGAACCCTTTCTCATGGGTTTCAGCTAAGTGGGAAATGCCGGAGACCTGCATCTCATAGGGCTTTTAACCACATAAGCTAACATGCTGTGATATAACAAGTACTATTTAAAGCCTATTCACAAAAAACCTGGATGAAAGTCTATGTTTTACCACCATTACAATGTCAGATACAACTCTTGGGACAGAAACAAGGGGATATTTGGTGATTTTTAAGTTGGACAATCTATCATAGGACAATGTGTAAATGTGTTTATTAAGTCTTGAAACAGACTGACTGGGTATTAATAAATTGCTATTCTGTTAGATGACTACAGATCAGTAAACTCTGGATGTCTACAGTATTACAGCTTCTGTCTAGTCATTGAGGCTGCAATGAATCCTCTATGAGGCGAATATGATGCATATCATGAAAATAACAAATTGAATTCCTGGTTTAATTCGGGGCGGTGGGGTAGCCTAGTGGTAAAAGCGTTGGCTCGTCACGCCGAAAAGCCGGGTTCGATTCCCCACATGGGCACAATGTGTTAAGTCCATTTCTGGTGTCCCCCACCGTGATATTGCTGGAATATTGTTAAAAGCGGCGTAAAACTAAACTAACTCACTCACTCACTCCTGGTTTAATTCACCGAATATGTGTGTAAATCTTCACACCTGTACTAGTCCATTATTGGGATATTACAATCTCATTAAAATCATCTTTTTTCACTCCGGTATGATTGTGTTTGTTTGAAGATTGTGTGAGACCTTTTCTGAGATTTGTCAGTTTAAATGAAGGATGCTTGAGCCCATCAGATGCAAGCTTTGTTAGGCCTTTCGGCTGTACTTCTTCATCTTGATTCAGAAATTTATTCATGCCAGGTTTGTCAGATGAACACTAAATGAAATTTCACAGCTCAGTTACACTTAACTATCTATGTATTCTTCAGCCGATCCACTTTCTAAAACTATTCAACTTCATTTCTTTGTGACCTCAATTGTGAAGCTTCTAATTTATCACAAAAAATACAACAAATATTCCTTTGATCGAACTTAAAGGTGTACATATTATTACATTCAGAAATTAGCGGCTGTATTAAACATCTACAAGATATCGGTGCAGCTTTAATCACTGACATTTTTTATCTGTACAGTTTATATATACAGAAATTGGACAGTTGGGTGTCAGTGCTTCACTCACTTATACCAGGAATTAAGAATCCTCAATACTGAGTAGCTGCTTAGAAAATTCACCCAACTCTGTATGGAGATTCACCATTGAGAGGCATTATATTGGAAGGAAAGACATAATATTAATGAGACTGCCAATATTTCACCATTGTAGCAATGGCCAGGATAATCATCATATTGACCACTGCCAATACACTGCCGTGGTCACACTGACCAAGTCGGAGCGATGTCTGTACAATATTACTACTGAGGGGTCGGTGGGGTAGCCTAATGGTTAAAGCGTTGGCTCGTCATGCCGAAGACCCGGGTTCGAATCCCCACATGGGTACAATGTGTGAAGCCCATTTCTGGTGTCCCTCCCCGTGATGTTGCTGGAATATTGCTAAAAGCGGCGTAAAACCAAACTCAGTCAGTCAGTCAGTATTACTACTGAATGGTTCGTCTGGAAATTGGAGATATAAATTTTTTTAAGAATAAGAATAATAATGTGTTTGCGATGTGATAGCTAACAGGGTGTGTTTGATATGTCTTGACAATTATCTCTGAAAATATATATGATTTTGTTAAAAACTACTAAAATTGAACTGAAATAGATCATGGACCCGAAATATGGAGAGATTGAGAAGCAATAAAAATCTAGACTTGCTGTATTTGGGGATTTAGCATTACACTAAGTGGGGAAGTAAAATAATTTGTTTTTGGATATAGGACAAACTAGTGGGGTCTTCAGCTGTTTGTGGCCCATTGAGTATTTTTTAGGGATGTAAAAAATAAGGGTGTGCAGGTTTCATAAGTGAGGAATAGTCAGATTGAGAAATGCTTCTCGACTGTCTGTTTTGGGGGAAATGGTCACATTTGTGTTGAGTGAATAAACACTGCTGTTTTAATGCATTTATGATCAGCACAGAATATATTTTCATTACAATTTTAGAAAAATGAAAGGCTTTCTGTAATGTTGTAGTATCAGGCTTTGTTCAGTGATATTCAGTATATAGCATTTACTTCACAATATTCCTTTGTATTAACATTCTGTAAATTCCCAGTGTAATATTTCTTTGGTTTGATGACATGTTGTTTTGAAATTGCTTGTAAAAATGTTTTGTAAAATGTTTAGATATACAAAAATGTATCAAGAAAATCATGCACATAGTTACATGGTTTCAAGCAGATAAGATACCACATGGCATTCAAAGGTGGTACTTGGTGGCCCATTTGTCTGATCACAGCAGTTTGCTGTGCGGAGTTGTGTCCCTTGTGCACACAAGGAACCTATCATTGTGGCTTCAAATCCTGGTTCGCCCCACCTATGTTTTAAGGTTTCAGCTTCATGCCCATGCTCATGGTTAAAAAGAAAGGGGTAAACGTCCAACACTTCGCTTCAGGCTTTGAGTCCACATTAAGCTCACGCTCTGAGAAGTAAACAGAATACTGTTAAGAACAGTGTTAAGCCATAGTCCCAAACTCACATCATATTTGTTTGACCATGGTAAGATACTGAAATTTAGCTGTACTGTAATCAATGTGTGGAAAATATTAATAGCTTTTGAATGTTTGAATATTTATTTCTCAAAATGTATTTTACTCAATTCTTGGCACTCTTTAACTTGAAAGTGTCCTCTAGCATCAATTCATGCTACTGGAATAAGTCAGAATCACCAGATTCTTATATTATTATTTTTACTTTGCTTTATTATGAAAGAAGGAGTGATCCTTAATATTTTTAAATGATATTGAAAACAAAGTACATGTTGTAAGATCATTTTAGATCCTGTTTATGTGTTTTCAATGGAAGTTAGTAGAATTACTAGGATAAGACTATGTCACAACTTCATGTAGTTTGTTTAGGGCTTTGGGGTAGCCTTGTGGTTAAAGCGTTGGCTCGTCACACTGAAGACCCGGGTTCGATTCCCCACATGGGCACAATGTGTGAAGCCTATTTCTGGTGTCCCCTGCCGTGATATTGTTGGAATATTGCTAAAAGCGGTGTAAACCCTCACTCACTCACTTCATGTAGTTTTACCTATTTGAAAACTAGGCACAGTCTATATGAAACTGTTTAGCTTTACTGTCAAAGACGACAATCTTGTGTGTTTGTGTCCATTTTGAGTCACACTGCCTGTTGTATTTGTTTTTGTGTGTTATGAATGATGATTTTATTAATTATTTTTATCTGTCACTGTATTTGGACCAAATTCAGTACACGAGCAATTTTAACAAGTTTTTATTTCTTTTTCTTAACTACTCAGTTTAAATATTTTCTGTTTCAGGGCACAATTAATCTGTTTTCACATTTTGCTGGTGTTTTGGTGTAAGTGCCATTTTGTCAGTAGTTCAACATTATTTTTGTATGTAATCCAAAGACTGTTGTAATTGATAAATGTGATGAAGTTGCCGTTTCCATTGGTCCTTGTGTAGTTGGTTGTAGATGGAGCTGACTCAGTGACCAATACAAAGACATCTCCCATCAAACTCCATCTTGCTTTACCCAAACTTGGTGCTGTACTAAAGCCCTGTCCCAACACAGGGGGAGTCAGTGCTTTTAATGCACTGATCTACTGAAAAAAATGACCCTTCCCAAATGCTTGTCTTACTTATGGATGACCAACCCCAAATAAATAAAAAGCAGAACCACTTTATATTTTACTATATAATGTTCATTTTTACATAGCCCTGCCCAAATATGAGTATTATTTTTTATGCTTTTCTCTGTGTTTTTATTCATATGTTTCATCAGAAACTTCTAAATTTAAGTGCTTGTAAAAGTAGCAGATGTTGTGAATGCTAAACCCTTCAATATCCTGTTGTCTATGAGGAAGAGAAATAGGGTTGTGTCATCGCAATTCCTAAACATCCTGCATCAATTTGGGCTTTCCGCCCACACGAAGCTGATATGTGATATAAATGAAATGCAGTTCAAAGCAATATGCACTACTGATCACATGACTGATCAGCCATGATGCAGCGCTTCAGATGTCGTCACCATATGAAAATCTCTGATTGATCATTCAGGACTGTATTGCCTTGTGTGCAATACAAATCCATATTCATAGTATTATTTTATGTTTATCATTGTCTTATGCTTTAAAGAAATAATCTAGTTATAATTGAAAGAGAAGAGTGGTCTTGCAGTCGTGTGATTCATTTCTCATGAAGGGGGGACTAAAATGTTCTGTTTCATACAATTCCTGGCAGATGAGATGAATCAGATGATGAGATTTGCCTTGAGGTACCAGTGATCAGAGTTTCATTTAAGGGTTAAATGTATGCTTTTTAACTGAGACACTATGCACGGTGATAGTCATGGGCTCCATTACTTGAAGTGATCTTAGTGCTGTGACAACTGTGTCTCAGGTTCTTTAACACAGGTTTCTAATTGTCATAGTGTGAAGATCTATTTCAGACAGGGACCTTGTGATCATGGCTACCTGGTTCACAAAGAGATGTTGGCAATAAAACATGCAATTCCCATACTTGTACAAAGGTATTGTGATCCTCCACGGCACCACTTTCAGCAGAAACTTCTCAATCCGTCTGCACATGGCAGCTCAAGCTAATATCTGAATTGTGTCAAAGTCGAATTTTGCAAATCAAAAATGCATTGTGGGATCAGATTACCAGTCATGCAGGGGCGATGGGGTAGCCCAGTGGTAAGCGCTTGCTCGTTATGTCAAAGACCTGGGTTCGACTCCCCACATGGGTACAATGTGTGAAACCCATTTCTGGTGTCCCCTCGTGGTATTGCTGGAATATTGCTAAAAGTGTCATAAAACTAAACTCACTCACCAATCATGCAAACAGGTATCAGATAATTGAAAAGATCAGCATTTAATGAGATTAACATTCCAGCTTTGTCCTCTGCTTGCTTCCCAGTAGCCTCTCTACTCTACTGCATCACTAGGATAATGTTTGCTTCTTCAGTCTATTAATGGTCCAGTTATGCAACATACCTATGTTTAGGATTACACTTCCTCAGTAAAGTGCAAATTCTAGTACTCTCTTGGGCTGGGTCCCATTCAGGATTCAGACCCTCTCATGTGTTCCATTTGACCACTTTCTAAAAAGGATTGTTTTTGGGGTCCAATTATAATTTGCTTAGATATTTTGAAAATTTGTAATATCATTAAACTTGTTAACTTTAAAGATACATGTATTCTTTAAAATGTTATATCTTACATTTCTTTAGTTTTCATTTGATTCTACAATGGTTTGAATACATATATCACACAAACATATATTGTAATTTTTATATGTTGTTTTTTTTCATTGACAAGTACAAAAATAATACTTCCCTTCTGACTAATCGACATTGTAGGTGTTATATTTTCAACAGGTTTAATAGTTAATAGGACTTTCTATTTTTTGTATATTTGTTACGTTGTTAGGTTGGAACCAAGTTATTAATTATTAAGTCTGGAGTGATGGGTGCATTTAGAAAATGTGATAGGTGTTATTGTCTTCAACCAGCACTGTTGATGGAGGCATTCCTTCTGTTAGTGTTGCTCAATACAGGCTGGTCTCTACAGTATGTATGTTTGTTGTGTTAGTCATGTTGTAGGATTTTATCATATGTATCATTGATTGAAATAACGTGTTGATGGTTTGATATGCACGTTTGAATATAATTGTTTTAACAATAAACTGTGAAGCTGTTGTAGATGTGTTTTGAATGAAGCATAGAGGGTGCCACTTGAAACCCAGTCCTCTAAGGCGCAAAGTGCAGAGTTGTGTCCCTTGGAACGTCAGGAACCTATTGTGGCTTCAAAAACTAGTTCGGCTGGATTAATTGTCAAGGTTTGTGAGCACCATACCCTTGCTCTTTGGCTTCACCAAAGTGGAAAACATCTGATACTCGCATCTCTTTGGTTGATTGACTGACTGATTGATTTATTGTTGTTTAAAGCACTCAGCAATATTCCAGCCATATGACGGCAGTCTGTAAATAATCGATTCTGGACCAGACAGTCCAGTGATCAACAGCATAAGCATCGATCTACGAATGACGGATACGATGACATGTGTCAACCAAGTGATCGAGCCTGTGGTGTTAGTCGCCTCTTAGGACAAGCATAGGTTAGTGAAGATCAATTCTAACCCGGATCTTGACGGGTATAGTTGCTGACATACAACATCAGTCGCTTGATATGAGGTGGGTTTGTTGTAGAGTGGCCCAGTATTTCAGTTGTATGCCATCCTCGGGGTAAAGGGAAGACCTCAACTGTCACATGGTTGAAAGAATGGTTCAACCCAAATATAGTCCGTTTGCTGTAAAATCGTAAAGATGGAATGACAAATAAATATACATTCTAAAGCAACAAATCGTCTTCTTTGGCATGACCGTGACAATGACAATGAAAATATTTCAGACCAGAAGATTTTGATGTCTTTCATTGGCATTTAGAAGTTGCACATTGATGTCCAAAATATTTTTATTGATTAAACTTCTTTTTAATCTCCCTCACGACGTTTCGAGACCAGTCCAGGTTCCTTCATCAGGTGAACTGACAGGAATATGACATGGTTGAAAGAATAGTTCAACCCAAATATAGTCCGTTTGCTGTAAAATCGTAAAGATGGAATGACAAATAAATATACACTCTAAAGCAACAAATCGTCTTCTTTGGCATGACCGTGACAATGACAATGAAAATATTTCAGACCAGAAGTTTTGATGTCTTTCAGTCCTCATAGTCCCAACTGTCAGTTCACCCGATGAAGGGACCTGGAATGGTCTCGAAACGTCGTGAGGGAAATTAAAAAGAAGTTTAATCAATAAAAATATCTTGGACAGAAGTTTTGAGTCTATCCCTGTGTTCCGCGATAACCTTCAGATGTTCTGTTTATTGTGTTTATTATTTATAAAACGGACAGTACCTCAGGTATAGGAATGGAACAAACAATGTGTCTGCATGTTATTATAGTAAAACAGGACAAGGGGAATATGGCATTGTTGATATATATTTAAATAAAATAAGTAAAGCATTATTTCAAAGCAAATAAATAATACACGAAGACAGTGTTTAAAGCTTCCGAATCATTAACGCAATACAAAGGGAAGACGTCTATGCATTACAGTTGTCTCCCTTGACTCGTATTTCAAACCTCCCTCACGACCAATCCACAATTATACAGCACTTACGTACACGGTATATAAGAGCCTTTCCACAAAGTGATTTTAGTTGCAGGGTTGTAGTTACCCCGTATACCAACATAGGTACGACAGTCGTGGAAGAAAGATCGCTTTGTGTAAATGAGGCCTACCAAAGATGGTCTTGAAAGGGTTGGTTGGTTGTTGTTTAACGCCGCACTCAGCAATATTCCAGCTATATGGCAGCGGTCTGTAAATACTCGAATCTGGACCAGACAATCCAGTGATCAACAGCATGAAAATCGATATACGCAATTGGGATACGATGACGTGTCCAACAAGTCAGCGAGCCTCACCACCCGTTAGTAGCCTTTTGCGACAAGCACTGGTTGCTGAAGACCAATTCTAACCAGAATCTTCACGGGTTAGGGCTAAAAGAGAGTGATGTTGAACAGATACATAATTTTCAAAAAGGTGTGAAATGTTTTTACCGGTACTCTAATCATCCTTATTTGCGGTTTTCTCCATTTTGTACCGACATTAAAGTGTATGAAGGTCCCTCATGTACTTGTGGTACAGATCTGGATCTGAGGCGCTGTGCTACTATTTTCTGTGCTGAGTTGAGCCCCCTAATCATGCAAGGATCCGCTTACATTGCGCACAGTTTGCGGACACATCCTGGTATTGCTGATAATATTGACAGATGCAATTACACTGATGTTTCTTAAAAACACTAACATATCACACAGATTTGAACAAAACTCTGATACAGACAGTTAATTTTGAACTGAATTTCATTGTTATATTCTATATCCATTAGTTCAGTCCGTGGTAGTCTGAAGGCTGTGGCTCTGCAGAATGAATGAGTCCAGGAGTGTTGTGTGAGTGTATATCGTTTAACGCCGAACAAAGTCCTGTAAATAATCGAGTCCGGACCAGACAATCCAGTGACTAATGCTGTAGCCAACGTCCACACCATCAGGATAAGATGTAAACGTGATTAACCAAATCGGACACTTACGTGACCAGTCGGCACAACTCGGCCCTTTCCGGAACTGCAAAGACGGACTATGTTTAGCAGAAACTGCCGATCGTGTTCGCAGTGTGACCACCCGTTAAATGTCGTTGTGTCTTCCGACCAGCATGGGGTTCAGTTATCCACCGAGTGTTTTAAGTATGTGTCTAGCCAACAATGAGGCGGACATCACCGCGTGTGAGCAGCAGCATCCCGCTTGTGGGTCATGACCACGAGACACACCGTCCCCATCTTCTGTTGAATGAGCTTGCCCACGCTCTTGTGGTCCATTCGAAGCACGTTCTTTCCGTTGACAGAGTGGATGAATTGTCGCACCTGAGGTGAAAACGGGGACGTGAGGAAGAGACGTGTATATTACAAACGTGATAAGGTGAGGTGAGGTGAACTTGGGTTTAACGTCGTGCTTGAGAATATTTCGCTCATATGACAACGTGCATGCGTGTGTATGTGCGGCTGCTTGTTCTAGCCCAGACTGAAGCTGGTTTTATAGTGCTAGCCCACTGAGATACCATGCCGCAGTGAAGCATGAATACCCCACTCAGACACATTATACTGACTCCGAGCCGACCAGTCCTTGTTGTACCCATTAATGCCGAGCGCCAGGCAGGGACCAACACGTACCATATTTTAACGTCTTTTGGTATGACGCGGTCGGGGATCGAACCCGCGACCTTCCGCTCTCCGGGCGGACGCTCTAACCACTACACCACGGAGGCGGTCACAAACGTGATAAGAATATTTGTGACTTTATGCTCGTTATGGAAATGGCGTTCAGATTTTAGAAGGTTGGTTGGTTGGATTTTGTTTAAGGCCGCACTCATGAAACAGTATTGCAGCTATATGGCGGCGGTCTGTAAATAATCGATTCTGGACAAGATAATCCAGTGATCAACATTATGAGCATCGATTTACACAACTGGGATACGATGACATGTGTCAACCAAATTAGCGATCCCGTTAGTCGAAACATGGGTTACTGAAGAACAATTCTTACCCGGATCTTCACGGGTCTCTGTTAGTAACATGTTCAGATGCGTTAGAGATAAGGTAAGATATGTCGGATGGCAGGCGCGTAGCAAGCCAATTTGTTTCGTGTAAGTCCAATAGGTTGCAAAGCTTTATATTTAGATAGTATTGAGAGCTTGTCCAACTTTTTTAGTAAACACCATGTGTAAGCCCGGGCTTTTTCTTGTAATGGTAGCTACGCCCCTGGATGGGGCTGGGTTGTATCACTCCAGAGCGAGATGCGTGCGTAATTCTATGCTCTAGAGTTATATGGTGCTCGACCAATGAGATAGCATGGGGCATGTTAACTTGAACAACCCATTAGATACATTATTCCGACCCCCACCATCCATGACGTACCTTCATCCCGTCATCCGGACAGACGTGACGTACCTTCATCAGGTCATCAAGTCCGACATGACGTAAATCCCACCACACGGTCCGACATGACGTACATTCACTTCGTCATGTCATACGTACCTTAATCCCGGCAGCGGCAGCGGGGCCGTTGGGGTCCACAGTCTGGACGTAGGCGGGACTGTTCCCACGGATGACGAACCCATATCCCACCGAGTCACTTATCATCTGCAAAGATGATACGCATGGTATGTGGAGTGACACACCTGGGGCACAGAGTGAGTGAGTTACGTTTTACACCGCCCTCAGCAATATTCCAGCTACTAGTATATGGCGTCGGTCTCTAAAAAATAGAGTCTGGACCAGACAGTCCAGTGATCAACAGCATGGGCATTGATCTACGCAATTGGGACACGATGACACGTGTCAACCAAGCCAGCGAGCTTGACCACCCGATCCCGTTGGTCGCCTCTTACGACAAGCATGGGTTATTGAAGGCCAATTCTAACCCGGATCTTCACGGGTACCTTTTGAAGAACGCTTTTTTGTTTCTAAAAAAACATACTACTTCAGTTGGACTTTTTCTCTCTAAACTGCATCATATTTTGATCAATGCCATAGGGTACATCAAACGGCTACCTTCTCCGTGGTCTGTCCTGAAGGTCAACGGTTCGATACGTCATACCGATGACGTTGAAAGAATGCACTATTCGCCTGGTTTTCGGTATTACAGCGATAAAACATGAACTGATCTCTTTTGAGGCAGTAAGCAGTGCTTGAGTTGGGCGCGCATGGTATTTCAGTGGATGGAGACGCACGCACCCACGCATGCACGCACATGGCCAAACCTACGGAACCATTCCCCCTGGGGTTCAATGGCGCTCAAAGAGGAAGACCATACCAGCGTAACCACATCAACAATATTCTATTGGCGTTTGTATACGGATTCTTCCATCACAAAGGACTGACTGACTGAGTTTAGTTTTACGCCGCTTTTAGCAATATTCCAGCAATATCACGGCGGGGGACACCAGAAATGGGCTTGACACATTGTGGGGAATCGAACCCGGGTCTTCGGCTTGACGAGCCAACGCTTTAACCACTAGGCTACCCCACCGCCCCCCATCACAAAGGAACCCAGAGCAGCCAAACGTGTGGAGTGTTAACTATTTCCCCTATTTCAGTCGGCACCCACAAGCCGACCCGTTCATCCCCTGGGTACTGCCTGCCTGGACTCACCTTGACTGTGTGTTTCATGTAAGGCGTGTCTGGGTCTTCGAGTTCCTGCACCGTGACATGCCGTAACAACACTGCAAAACAACAAGGTATGTCACTTGAACCAGTGGTCGAAACAAAACAACATGGTATGTCACCTGAACCAGTGGTCGAAACAAAACAACAAGGTATGTCACCTGAACCAGTGGTCGAAACAAAACAACAAGGTATGTCACCTGAACCAGTGGTCGAAACAAAACAACAAGGTATGTCACCTGAACCAGTGGTCGAAACAAAACAACATGGTATGTCACTTGAACCAGTGGTCGAAACAAAACAACAAGGTATGTCACCTGAACCAGTGGTCGAAACAAAACAACAAGGTATGCCACCTGAACCAGTGGTCGAAACAAAACAACAAAGTAAGTCACCTGAACCAGTGGTCGAAACAAAACAACAAGGTATGTCACCTGAACCAGTGGTCGAAACAAAACAACAAGGTATGTCACCTGAACCAGTGGTCGAAACAAAACAACAAGGTATGTCACCTGAACCAATGGTCGAAACAAAACAACAAGGTACGTCACTTGAACCAGTGGTCGAAACAAAACAACATTGTATGCCACCTGAACCAGTGGTCGAAACAAAACAACAAGGTATGTCACCTGAACCAGTGGTCGAAACAAAACAACAAGGTATGTCACCTGAACCAGTGGTCGAAACAAAACAACATGGTATGTCACCTGAACCAGTGGTCGAAACAAAACAACAAGGTATGTCACCTGAACCAGTGGTCAAAACAAAACAACAAGGTATGTCACCTGAACCAGTGGTCGAAACAAAACAACATGGTATGCCACCTGAACCAGTGGTCGAAACAAAACAACAAAGTATGTCACCTGAACCAGTGGTCGAAACAAAACAACAAGGTATGTCACCTGAACCAGTGGTCGAAACAAAACAACAAAGTATGTCACCTGAACCAGTGGTCGAAACAAAACAACAAGGTATGTCACCTGAACCAGTGGTCGAAACAAAACAACAAGGTATGTCACCTGAACCAGTGGTCGAAACAAAACAACAAGGTATGTCACCTGAACCAACGAAAACAAAACAACAACAAGGTATGTCACTTGAACCAGTGGTCGAAACAAAACAACATTGGTATGCCACCTGAACCAGTGGTCAAACAAAACAACAAGGTATGTCACCTGAACCAGTGGTCGAAACAAAACAACAAGGTATGTCACCTGAACCAGTGGTCGAAACAAAACAACATGGTATGTCACCTGAACCAGTGGTCGAAACAAAACAACATGGTATGTCACCTGAACCAGTGGTCGAAACAAAACAACAAGGTATGTCCACCTGGTAACCAACCAGTGGTCGAAACAAAACAACATGGTATGTCACCTGAACCAGTGGTCGAAACAAAACAACATGGTATGTCACCTGAACCAGTGGTCGAAACAAAACAACAAGGTATGTCACCTGAACCAGTGGTCGAAACAAAACAACAAGGTATGTCACCTGAACCAGTGGTCGAAACAAAACAAGGTACGTCACTTGAACCAGTGGTCGAAACAAAACAACATGGTATGTCACTTGAACCAGTGGTCAAAACAAAACAACATGGTATGTCACCTAAACCTGTGGTCGAAACAAAACAACAAGGTATGTCACCTGAACCAGTGGTCGAAACAAAACAACATGGCATGTCACCTCAACCAGTGGTAGCAACAAAACAACAAGGTATGTCACCTGAAAACGGTATGTCACCTGAACCAGTGGTCGAAACAAAACAACATGGTATGTCACCTGAACCAGTGGCGAAACAAAACAACATGGTACCAACCAGTGGTCGAAACAAAACAACAAGGTATGTCACCTGAACCAGTGGTCGAAACAAAACAAAACAACATGGTATGTCACCTGAACCAGTGGTCGAAACAAAACAACATGGTATGTCACCTGAACCAGTGGTCGAAACAAAACAACAAGGTATGACACCTGAACCAGTGGTCGAAACAAAACAACATGGTATGACACCTGAACCAGTGGTCGAAACAAAACAACATGGTATGACACCTGAACCAGTGGTCGAAACAAAACAACATGGTATGTCACCTGAACCAGTGGTCGAAACAAAACAACATGGTATGTCACCTGAACCAGTGGTCGAAACAAAACAACATGGTATGTCACCTGAACCAGTGGTCGAAACAAAAACAACATGGTATGTCACCTGAACCAGTGGTCGAAACAAAACAACATGGTATGTCACCTGAACCAGTGGTCGAAACAAAACAACATGGTATGTCACCTGAACCAGTGGTCGAAACAAAACAACATGGTATGTCACCTGAACCAGTGGTCGAAACAAAACAACATGGTATGTCACCTGAACCAGTGGTCGAAACAAAACAACATGGTAACCTGAACCAGTGGTCGAAACAAAACAACATGGTATGTCACCTGAACCAGTGGTCGAAACAAAACAACATGGTATGTCACCTGAACCAGTGGTCGAAACAAAACAACATGGTATGTCACCTGAACCAGTGGTCGAAACAAAACAACATGGTATGTCACCTGAACCAGTGGTCGAAACAAAGGTCAAACAAAACAACATGGTATGTAACCTGAACCAGTGGTCGAAACAAAACAACAACAAGGTATGTCACCTGAACCAGTGGTCGAAACAAAACAACATGGTATGTCACCTGAACCAGTGGTCGAAACAAAACAACATGGTATGTCACCTGAACCACCAAAACAACATGGTATGGAACCAGTGGTCGAAACAAAACAACATGGTATGTCACCTGAACCAGTGGTCGAAACAAAACAACATGTATGTCACCTGAACCAGTGGTCAAACAAAACAACATGGAAACCAGTGAAACCAGTGGTCGAAACAAAACAACATGGTATGTCACCTGAACCAGTGGTCGAAACAAAACAACATGGTATGTCACCTGAACCAGTGGTCGAAACAAAACAACATGGTATGTCACCTGAACCAGTGGTCGAAACAAAAAAACAGTATGTCACCTGAACCAGTGGTCGAAACAAAACAACATGGTATGTCACCTGAACCAGTGGTCGAAACAAAACAACATGGTATGTCACCTGAACCAGTGGTCGAAACAAAACAACATGGTATGTCACCTGAACCAGTGGTCGAAACAAAACAACATGGTATGTCACCTGAACCAGTGGTCGAAACAAAACAACATGGTATGTCACCTGAACCAGTGGTCGAAACAAAACAACATGGTATGTCACCTGAACCAGTGGTCGAAACAAAACAACAACAACAAGTATGTCACCTGAACCAGTGGTCGAAACAAAACAACATGGTATGTCACCTGAACCAGTGGTCGAAACAAAACAACATGGTATGTCACCTGAACCAGTGGTCGAAACAAAACAACAAGGTATGTCACCTGAACCAGTGGTCGAAACAAAACAACAAGGTGGAACCAGTGGTCGAAACAAAACAACATGGTATGTCACCTGAACCAGTGGTCGAAACAAAACAACATGGTATGACACCTGAACCAGTGGTCGAAACAAAACAACAAGGTATGTCACCTGAACCAGTGGTCGAAACAAAACAACATGGTATGTCACCTGAACCAGTGGTCGAAACAAAACATGGAATGTCACCTGAACCAGTGGTCGAAACAAAACAACATGGTATATCACCTGAACCAGTGGTCGAAACAAAAAAACATGGTATGTCACCTGAACCAGTGGTCGAAACAAAATAACATGGTATGTCACCTGAACCAGTGGTCGAAACAAAACAACAAAGTATGTCACCTGAACCACTGGTCGAAACAAAACAACAAGGTATGTCACCTGAACCAGTGGTCGAAACAAAACAACATGGTATGTCACCTGAACCAGTGGTCGAAACAAAACAACATGGTATGTCACCTGAACCAGTGGTCGAAACAAAACAACAAGGTATGTCACCTGAACCAGTGGTCGAAACAAAACAACAAGGTATGTCACCTGAACCAGTGGTCGAAACAAAACAACAAGGTATGTCACCTGAACCAGTGTTCGAAACAAAACAACATTGCATGTCACCTGAACCAGTGGTCGAAACAAAACAACAAGGTATGTCTCCTGAACCAGTGGTCGAAACAAAACAACAAGGTATGTCACCTGAACCAGTGGTCGAAACAAAACAACATGGTATGTCACCTGAACCAGTGGTCGAAACAAAACAACATGGTATGTCACCTGAACCAGTGTTCGAAACAAAGAACATGGTATGCCACCTGAACCAGTGGTCGAAACAAAACAACAAGGTATGTCACCTGAACCAGTGTTCGAAACAAAACAACATGGTATGTCACCTGAACCAGTGGTAGAAACAAAACAACAAGGTATGTCACCTGAACCAGTGGTAGAAACAAAACAACATGGTATGCCACCTGAACCAGTGGTCGAAACAAAACAACATGGTATGTCACCTGAACCAGTGGTAGAAACAAAACAACAAGGTATGTCACCTGAACCAGTGGTCGAAACAAAACAACATGGTATGTCACCTGAACCAGAGGTAGAAACAAAACAACATGGTATGTCACCTGAACAAGTGGTCGAAACAAAACAACAAGGTATGCCACCTGAACCAGAGGTAGAAACAAAACAACATGGTATGTCACCTGAACCAGTGGTCGAAACAAAACAACAAGGTATGTCACCTGAACCAGCGGTCGAAACAAAACAACAAGGTATGCCACCTGAACCAGTGGTCGAAACAAAACAACAAGGTATGTCACCTGAACCAGTGGTCGAAACAAAACAACAAGGTATGCCACCTGAACCAGTGGTCGAAACAAAACAACAAGGTATGTCACCTGAACCAGTGGTCGAAACAAAACAACAACACTTGGTCTTCTACTTTAGAAGGGAGGTTAGAATTGATCTTCAGCAACCCATGCTTGTCGTAAGAGGCGACTAACGGGATCGGGTGGTCTGGCTCGCTGACTTGGTTGACACATGTCATCGTATCCCAATTGCGTAGATCGATGCTCATGCCGTTGATCACTGGATTATCTGGTCTAGCTTCGATTATTTACAGACCGCCGCCATATAACTGGAATATGGGAGTGCAGCGTTAAACAACAATACAATCCCAACCCAACCAGAAATCTCACAACCTGTCTAATGTTTGTCATAAAATACTGGAATGATATTATTTTGCTTCGGGTTTTTAAAAGAATATTTTTTCGTTGAAACGGCGAGAACAGTACATCCCTACGTTATATGAATTTGTATTTCCAGAGAACCAATGAATCTAAATTATACATTGTGAGTGACTGTACTCAGATTTATTTTTCGGCCATACCTGACTTTGGCTGGAGGGAATCGGTTGAGAAGGAGCCAGAGTGAAGTCTGGAAGACATGTCGTCTACCGACTCGAGAGGACTGGGGTTCGACATGGGAAGCGAGTTCCGACTCGAGTCTGACGAAGAGTCATCGGCAGCAGATCTAAGAGAAGATGTCATTGATACTGGAAGTACAGAGATAGATGGTCCTTATACAGAATTGTGTGTTCCTGTAAAGTAATAATATTTTATCAGCTTTTTAATGATCAAAAAATTGCTAAGTGATGAATAGCTAGGAACGGTCTGATTTAGCTCTGGATTTTTAATTCTGATTTTTAAAAAAATATTATGTACAGAAATTTAAGACAAGGGAGAGATGTTTACCGTACAATAAAACACTGAAGGCAGAATAAACGATGCGGCGGTAATTCTTTCCCATGATAGTACCAGAACAACTCGATCCCCATGTTTTTTACTTATATTTGACATATTAACACTATCTATACAGCCCCTTTAAGGAGGATGGGGGAGTGGGGAGTTCAGCTTCATCTGCTGTGAATATTCTGACAAATCCAAGTCATTTAAATGTTAATGCATATTTTACATTCTCAAACATACTCAATCTCACCGGGAGTTGAGCGTCTCCTGAGCGTCGTCATCTCGACGGAGGACCGCGTGTAGCCCAAAGATGAGGATGAGGATGAGGTGCGACGGAAGGAGAGGATGTCGGAGAGGAGGTAGGGTTGGTGGAAGTCCATGGAGAACTGGTAGATCAGGTCGTCGTCCCGGAAGTGGTAGTCGTCTGTCACTGGAACAGGAGTCAGAACAGATGGTAAGTTTGAATGAGTCCACTCTGAGCATAGAGCGGCAAATGTGCTTGTTTCTGCCATACGGTGTTTCTGTCCATCATGTATGTGAAGTTAGGATGCAATGTCCAGGAAGGCGGTGTTTTCTTTAAACGGATCCGGACGGTGGAGTAGCCTAGTGGTTAGAGCGTTCACTCGTCACGTTCAACCCGGGTTCGATTTCCCACATGGGTACATTGTGTAAAGATCATTTTCTGGTGTTCGCCGCTGTGATATTGCTGGAATATTGCCGAAAGCGGCGCAAAACGTAAGTCACTCCATTAAACTGATCCGACCTTCGACAATCTCTTTAAAATGAGATTTTAGTTCTTGGTACCGTTTAACTGATTTAACGAGATTGGACCCAATAAAGCAGAAATATGAAATTGTTTTGTTATTTTAAAAATCCACAAGGTTCAAATGAATACACGTAGCAACTATAGACGATATGAATAGCTTCATCGGAACCCCAAGCAATGTACGTGTTGCTTTGCCATTTAATACTAAGTATCAAATGAAAGACGGAGCAGACGTGGCCTTTCTCATCCAACAGACCCGTATATGGTTTTGTTTACCTAGCCACTTGTGCCTCAACCTCAGACTCGAATGTCTACAGACCGCCGCCATAAAGCTTGACTGTTGTTGAGTGCGACGTCAAACAACGCACAACAAACAATAGATTGTTGTTCAACGCTTGAAGTCCAGCTCACCATGTTTGATGACGTCATTCTCCAGCAGTTCCCTGCAGTCTTTGATGGCCACATCCCTGGTGAAGGACAGCCCGCTCTGGAGCATCCAGTCAATCAACTCGCGCCCCATGAAGCTGTCTCGGTACACGACGCCGGGGGCGTGGAAGTCGCGCAGGACGGCGCGGCTAGCAAATAGTCTGGAACCAAAGGAACGTCGTATCACAACCACCCTCGATTATCCAGCTTATATGAAACCACCATGGAAAACAGATACGTGAACACGCTGGATAATCGAGGATCCGATCAAACCATGGGATAAGGGGATTAACTCGATCTCTAGACTGGGTTTGAACCCCAAAAGAAACATTGAAATCCATTCGTGTTTCCTTGGTGACGAACCAACTAAACTAACTCGCAAAAGAAATGATATCAAGTCGAAATCACTGATATTACAAAACGACAATCCACCATTGTTTAAAAGGAAAGTGAATTTTAACAACAGGTGCATGGGCAACAAGTACATGCATATTGCCCATACACCTGTTATTAAAATCAATAATCAGGGAACTGAGATAGTAAAAGTCTGTTCAGAAAACTGGAGTTCGATGGTTTACCATGGTCAGCTAAAAATTTTCTATCAAGTACAGTAGTTATAAGTGAGTAAATCTAGACTGAAATGCTATGCTCAAGTCCCATTGAAATCCGCCATACTGCCTGACTGACTGAGTTTAGTTTTACGCCGCTTTTAGCAATATTCCAGCAATATCACGGCGGGGGACACCAGAAATGGGCTTAACACATTGTGCCCATGTGGGGAATCGAACCCGGGTCTTCGGCTTGACGAGCCAACGCTTTAACCATTAGGCTACCCCACCGCCCCGAAATCCGCCATAAAACTTCATTATGCAAATGAGCTCACGTCAACAAACCACTCCTAGCCTACACAACTAGCAAACAAAGAACGGTAAATAAATACGATCGAAATGCGCAGACAGTCGAATGGGTGTCAAAGACAGTGCAAACCAAAACATGAGTCTCATTAACCCATTCAGACAATGACCTACTTTTCAGCCGATCCGAATTTTCTCGTGTGAAAGTGAAAATAGACATCACAAACAACTATGGTTACACTGAATTCCAATTCCTTGTTTCATAAGAAAATGGTATTTACAAATGTATATTATTTTAAACTGTAATGACATCGTATTTCTGTATGTGATGGCGAGGTGTAGGCAGCCTGACCTTAACTGAGACGTCACAGACAGTCCCAGGTTGATGAGGTCGTAAAATGATTCACAATGCATCTGGCACACTGGTTACACCTGTTATGTATTTTGTGCGCTTATTCAATGTAATTCTGGAACGCACAATATGATTGATATAATATCAAGTCCGTACCAGACCGCCAAACGTTTCTAGCGGGAGAGCCTCGTTTTGAGATTTCCACAATTTCCAGGTTTCCGTTTGTCAGAGCTCGCTGTACGACAGAGCACGCTGCACGATGTGTTTTGAAGGATTAGAAGGAGCGTAGTGTTGCAATATACAAGTGCTTAGATGTATCAAATAATACTCATTGATAATTATGTTTCCAGTTAAATGAATTGGTCTCAAAATACTGGACTGGTTATTGTACTATGTTGCGCAGTAGGACGGGACCCAGTCAGTAGGAAACGAGACTGTTGTGTAATCAATGTTTTGACTTGTATCTTACAGTGTCAACATAAGCACATACATACAAAATAATTTCAAGGAATTATACTACCTGTATACTTACCTAGAGCATGTACTTCCTGGGGTAGCATTTTGTTTAGGGTAGGGAATTCTTTTTATAGAGTATATACGAGTAAGTAGAATGATGATAATTTTATGGATATGTTTTGACATAGATCTTCTACACATCCTGCTTTGATCTGAAACCAATGACCGGCTACCTTCAAAATTACTTCTTCATCTCTGTGGAAGGTTGCAATAACGACCCACTTGTGAGTGAGTTTAGTTTTACGCCGCTTTTAGCAATATTCCTGCAATATCACGGCGGGAGACACCGAAAATGGGCTTCACTCGTTGTACCCATGTGGGGAATCGAACCCGGGTCTTCGGCGTGACGAGCGAACGCTTTAACCACTAGGCTACCCCACCGCCCGATCCACTTGTATTCCTTCATACTTGATCAATATATCACAACGTTATGCAATATCCGTTTCACAGTAAGGTTTGACTATATTTTGATTACTTTGACGAGTAACGCACTATATAAAGGTATGGTTGACTTTTGAGTTTGTTTGCAAAATATATTAACTCTTTGTTGTTTGCTAGTGCTGCGGGTTATTGTTTACTAATGTTTCGGGCGGGGGTAGTTGTTTGCTAATGTTCTGTTAGTTGACATTACTTGCTTGCTAATATACTTTGAAAACAAAGTAGGCGAACTTCATTTTTAATTTACGATTAAAAAATGTGAAGATATATGAGTCAAACAATGTTGATACGATAATGATGAATGTTTTTGAGAGTGTTTTAATGTCGTTGTCAAGCAAGTGAACATGAGAACAAATTTGAGAGAATATACATGAGGTGTTATATACAATCTCTCAAATATGTTCTCATGTTCACTTCCTTGATAACATTAGAATCTATGTCGTAACGTCGCCTTTCACAATAAAGAAGTTGTATATCCATAAAATTATCATCATAGTTCATCACTTCAACTTTTAAAATGCCCATCAAAGAAATATATAAGTATTTTTTGTGGCAATTTTACCTTATCTCAGTATACCACTCTGGCTCATCACGAACTGAAGAGATCAGATGATGCACTTATCTTTGAATACAAATATCTACTTCGCCCAAGAATTGTCGGCAAACCACACAGGCTTTACGTGTATGGTTTTGGGACCACGGATACAATTAAAAGCAAGAGTTAAGTGATCTGTTGTCATGGGTTATTGTAACCCATATGTGTAAGCAAAGTACCACTGTAAACTGTGTATCTGATCGTAAGAACCGCAAAGTATAATATAATACCGAACTACTGACCACAAACACCGATCCATTGTTTGGTTAAAGTTCTATTGGTATGCCAGTACCCCTTATCTTTTGAAGTCTCTCGAATACAATCTCACTTCAAAGAAGGCGTAGCTTATTATCTGGTTCGTGCGGCATGAAAAGTAAACCCGAAACTCTCCCAATGAAATGTTTATTAGGCGTGTTTTTGTCAACTGAATGGGAATTTGGAGTTCTAGTGGTAAAATTCAAACACACATCATGAAGTTATTTCCAAATAATTTACGGAGGAGATATAAGTGAGTAGACCTACAGTCCGTTTGAGTCAGAAACGGACCGATGAATTGCAAATTTTATCATTGTACAAAATTGCCACATAAATAAAAATAGTACACATGTTTATCATTCACTAATACCCAACAGCTTTCTTATATTTGAAAATTTTCCGGACTCCACCAAAAAAGTTCTTTAAGAAACTATCATTAAAATTTTGACACAGTTCACTATTTGTTACGAGGGAGGAGTGCAGAGAAAGGGACAGCCAGGTGTTAGAGAAGCACGTGCACAAGTGCCCACCAAGTTATTGATTCATTAGCCTGTGCTGTGCTGTCTCCATCCTTTCTCGCACACCTGGCTGTCCCTTTCTCTGCACTCCTCCCTCGTAACAAATAGTGAACTGTGTTTAAGATGTTGGGTATTAGTAAATGATAAACATATGTACTATTCATATTTATGTGACAATTTTATACAATGATAAAATTTGCAATTCATCGGTCCGTTTCTGACTCAAACGGACTGTAGGTCTACTCACTTATAACTTCTCAGTATTGTGTCCCTTTCCCCACACCAGGATCCGATGATCGAGGGTTCGGAATCCAGATCATCATAATTGATCATTTGAGAGCCTTTGCCCGTAAACACAGGTTCCATTAAAGCTGTAGGCTTCTATGACCTTCGACATTTCGGGCTTTCATCTCTTACTGGACTGACCCGCCGCGACGTATATAGAATAAGGGCATAAAACAAATCTGATGTTTATATGTAACTTTATGAGACAGCAGGTATCGGTACAGCAGTTTTGACCACAGGCAAATTGTAGCGCAAATAGGGTTGCGCAACAAAGAGAAAATGACCAGTCTTCCCATATGCGCGTGAAGCGAGCAAATTGGGTTGCGCAACAAAGAGAAAATGACCAGCGCATATGGGAAGACTGCTCGGTTCGCGCGCATACTCATTTTCTCTTTGTTGCACAACCCTATTTGCGCTACAATTTGCCTGTGTTTTGACTGTTTCATTATCTGACAGTAGCACTCATGTTGAAGATTGAAACGTACCTGTCAAACAGATGTTGGCCCTTAAAGAAGGCTCTAAGATCCTTGTTCTGTAAATAGGTCTCGTCGTCCCTACGGAAGCGGTAGAAGAGGTGCTCGTCCTTGAACGAGTGATCGTCGCACACTGCAATAATATAACAAGTTGAATATGAAAATAGGTGTATCGTATATATAGAAGCATATTAGTGCCACCGTCTAAAAAAAATCCTTGCTTTTGTTCACTCAGCAGAAAAAATGGGTACCCGGTGGGATAAGTCATGTGACTAGTAACTTTCTAGCGCCTCACAGGCAGCTTGGGATATCCGGGGTAAAAATGATAGCCCTTTGAGGTGAGGTGAGGTGAAATTGGGTTTTACATCGTGCTTGAGAATATTTCGCTCATATGACGACGTGCATGCGTGTGGGGCTGCTTGTACTAGCCCAGACTGAAGCTGGTTTTATAGTGCTAGCTCACTGAGATACCATGCCGCAGTGAAGCATCAATACCCCACTCAGACACAGTATACTGACTCAGAGCCGACCAGTCCTTGTTGTACCCATTAATACCGAGCGCCAGGCAGGGACCAACAAGTACCATATCTAAACTTCTTTTGGTATGACGCGGTCGGGGATCGAACCCGCGACCTTCCGCTCTCCGGGCGGACGCTCTAACCACTACACCACGGAGGCGGTCGATAGCGCTTTGAGCAAGATATTCATCCTGGAATGGCTATAAAAGTGGACTATTATTTTCATATTATTATAATTCATCGTCCACATAAATATGCCGAAAAACATATTCTTAATTCTTAGTGAGTGAGTGGGTTTAGTTTTACGCCGCTTTTAGCAATATCACGCCGGGGGACACCAGAAATGGGCTTCACACATTTTACTCATGTGGGGAATCGAACCCGGGTTTTCGGGGGGACGAGCGAAAGCTTTAACCACTAGGTACCCCTCCACCCCATACACTTCTTAGAGTATAAGACATGGAGTAATTTATACTCTGACGTATTTACGAGCAGCACATGATGAATTCAATTTTCGGTAAAGAAAATACTATTTCTTTATATACTGCTGCTTGTACATGATCTCAGTTCAAATTGGTTATTATAGCTAAAATACATGGAATTATCATGAAACGGCCCTCCCATTATCAGAAATTTGCGAGCCGCTGCAAATGATATTGGACCGCTCAACCTTAACGACGGGCCACTATCAGTTCTGTTGTCAAGTGACGTCATAGTGGATGCGTGGGCTTACGGTTCATTCGACATTAATTGGCTTTCGACTGGCAGATATTCTGGGTCAAACAAGTCAAAGCAACCCGAAATCCCGCTTTAAATAGCGGTAATACTGGCTTTCTTGTTGGTGCTAACCTTAACAATTGCACTATTAAGGCTGTTGATGGACCAAAACCGAACACTGACATATTTTGACATGTTGCAGGCTATGGTCTTGTCAAAGGCCAAGGTCGAATATCGTCACTTTCTGTTGTGACGTCACTTGAATTGTTCGATGACGTAATTGCATTCGGGCAGTCAACCCAGTCAGAAGTTGATTTGGGTAAACTTACAGTCAAATTTCTTCATTGTTTCCTTTTTCTTTTCAAAACAAATTCCATGTATTTTAGCAATAATAACGGTAATGCTATTTTTGAGGGCATTATCATTTGCAGAAGCCCTCGGTCTTTTTCAACTGCCCTCCTTCGTCGGGCAGTTAATGGAAGACCGAGGGCTTCTGCAAATGATAATGCCCTCAAAAATAGCATTACCCTTATATTAGTGGTGAATTTGCTACTAATACGTTTCTTAAACCTCACCGTGGTGAATCACTTCCTGGTCTTGTAATAAGCCCATGCACATCATGGCTTCCTCCCTCGTATGCGCATGTCTGTTGAGGATTAACCAATCAACGGCGTCCCTGCCCACGAAACATGCCTTGTAGTTTCGAAAGTGGAACCTGCGCTCTTCTATGACGTGTTGCACATGCATCTGAAACCTTCAACGATTGGATTCATTTACGAACATCCGATACACACTATACTCCATTCTTCTTAATCCAGAGTGAAGCCAATTTCTGGTGTCCTAAGCCGTGCTATTGCTGGAATATTGCAAAAAAAGGCGTAAAACCATATTCAGTCAGTCAGTCTAAATCCAGAGTTGCAGTGGGGTAATCCAATGATAAATGTTTTGACGCGACATGCCTTAGCACAACCTTTACATTGCCGACCAAAAATGCATGTTTTTATATTCTTGCATTTCACTGAATCTCATTTTTCAATTTACCTTTCGACTTAATATCTTTAATTTCCATCATCAGTCACCAGTATCTAACTAAAGCTATTCTTCCTTGATATTTATAATAAAAAAACGTCTTTCAAGTAACAGAGGTGAAATGGGGTGAGGGGAAATGGGGTTTAACGTCGCACTTGATAATATTTCGCTCATATGACGACGTGCATGCGCGTGTATGTGTGGCTGCTTTTACTAGTCCAGACTTAAGCTGGGTTTATAGTGCCAGCTCACTGAGATACCATACCACAGTTAAGCATTAATATCCCCCATTTTTCATCTCAGACACATTATACTGACTCCGAGGCGACCAGTCCTTGTTGTACCCATTAATGCCAAGCGCCAGGCAGGGACCAATAAGTACCATATTTTAAAGGCTTTTGGTATGACGCGGTCGGGGATCGAACCCGCGACCTTCCAGCCTCAGGACGGACGCTCTAACCACTACACCACGGAGGCGGTCTTCCAGTAATAGATTGTAGGTACTGTATTTTACAAAAAGGTGACATATGTTTTATCTTGTCATTGGTAAACAGTTAACAACTGTGTTTGGTTTAGGTATCTCTTTTATAAGGTACATAGTTTTACAAGATGAGTGATACAGATGTGTTCATCATGTTTTGGAGGGTGTTTCCATTTTGTCAGGTGAGTGAGTGAGTGAGTGAGTATAGTATTCCAGCAATATCACGGCGGGTGACACCAGAAATGGGCTTCACGCATTGTACCCATGTGGGGAATCGAACCCGGGTCTTAGGCCTGACGAGCGAACGCTTTAACCACTAGGCTACCCCACCGCCCCTTTTGTCAATTTAAGTAGGGTAAACTTGTGTGAAGTGACTTTACAATTATGTAATTCTGTGTTCTTCGTAGTTTGACAGTGCGCGCGTTAAGCATTGTTATTGTCGAAAAGCCACTTTCTGCATACATCGTGTGTTTTACCAAAATATGGTTTACATCTATATGGAATCAGTTTATTAAAGATACCATATTTGTTTCAAAGTCGGCGTCTCCATATTCACTTACATGTCCATTAACAGTTGTATATCAGATATTTTGCTTTCCAATTTAATTTATGTGATGTGGACTTGAAAGTATATAAATAATGTCCAAATGGTTTGCTTTCCGGATAAAATATATTTGTTCACATTCCGGAAACATAAATGTACTTTTGTTCATGTAGAGCGACGGTAACATCGTGGTAAAGGTTCCAGGCCGCGTGACTAACTTTTGATGTGCGGAAGTTTGGGTTAACGGTTCAAGTTTACGTTAAATTTCAGCTACACCTACAAATGACATACGTTTTAGCGTGTCTCAGATTCACTATGTTACCTGATTCATGTGACAAATTCAAACCAGGCAAAGAAACAACAGTTGATGTATTTAAGTTGCGTATACAATTTATGCTGAGGAGCAAAAGAAACTATACAGTTGAATTTATCATTTGGTTTGTTTTCTGTTGCAAATTTCTTAAGTTGGTGAAGGAGACGTTGACAGAAGACAATGATGTCGGCAAAAAAATCACGACGTACATGCATATGCAATAAATAAGACCATTTGAGTATGGGTTTCAATCCAAGATTCGCCCAGAACTATGTGAGTTTCTGATTGTCAGCACTAGACTTTGAACATCATCAAAGTGGCACGACATGCATCACTTTGGGCTTTCCCCCCACATCAAACTGACATGCCGTGATGTAACTGAAATATACTTCAAAGCGGCGGAAAACAAATCTGCAACTCAAAATGCTTTGATCTTCATACACGTCATTTCATTTCATATACGTACCACTGAAGCTACCAACCCATTTAGATATGTATTTAACTCCGGGACCGTTAACAGTATTCGGGACTCACCAGTACTGGACGCAAATATAATCGTACTTGGTTCGCAAACTAGTATTAACTTAACAGAATTTGTAATGGGTTACTTGCATGTTTCCTTAATACATTTTGTATTGCTCGATATTTGTTTGATGACATAACTTCAATTCGCACCCGGGGCAGTGGGGTAGCCTAGTGGTTAAAGCATTCGCTCGTCATGCCAAAGACCCGGGTTCTGTCCCCCACATGCATGGGCATAGGCGGATCCAGAGGGGGTGTGCAGGGGTTCGCACCCCCCCTTTTGTCCTGAAAGTTTATTAAATGACCATTGAAACTCTCGTGAATATGAAGTGTGCACCCCTCCTTTCTCATTAGTGTGCACCCACCCCTTTCTCAAAAAGCTGTATCCGCCCCTGATGGGTACAATGTGTGAAGCCCATTTCTGGTGTCCCTCGCCGTGATATTGCTGAAATATTGCTAAAAGTGGCGTAAAACCCATTTCACTCACTCAAATCGCATCATTTCCCAATGCTTTTGAGATTTGTGCAAAGTTGTATTCTGGATTCAGTGAGTGAGTGGATATTGCTGAAGGCCACATCAGCTAATTTGCAGCTTTTTCGGCGGTTGGGGATTACGTGGGGAGCAATGAGACTCAATAGTGAAAAAAGGATCGCTTTCAGAATTCAAGGGGAGGTGGTTTGTCCTGAAACAAATATGTCGAAAAAAAGCCCATACAAGTCTAGAATGTGTGGCATTCTTTCTGAAGACGAGGAAGATCTCTGGGCTCCTTTTCATTATATCTTATGATTATTTTTATGAGCAATTTTTTCTGTAAAATATGTTCATTTCAGAGACTAGATGTTAGTCTAGGAGGGGGTTAGCATCATCGAATACGTCAGAACATAAATTCCCCCACCCCCCAATCGTCTACCATCTGCGTCTCCAATCCGGGAAGTTATGGTGTTATCGTGGGACGGCTTTTAATAGCTTCGATAACAAGGCGTTTTCTTCAAGTGAGCTCACTTGTATGCACTATAGACAAGTGGGCGTGTTGTGTATATCACTGTATACATATCATATTGACCACTGACTTACTGATACAGACACCTACTGTCAAACAGATAGAGGAACTTTGCAACGTGATTCAGCAGTTATCAAGCCGATTGTTTAATAAGTAATCTCCGCTTTAGCTGGTTCCGGCTCCCTTTGCGCACCGTCAGCCTGCGCCAAAGCTAGTATATTGCGATTTGAGAGACGGCGCCCAGCTTATCTCAACCTTGCATGAACCCATGAACAATGCATGTCGAAATGTTTGAATAAAGGATGATAAAGCTTATCGGCTTTCTGACATGTCGTCCGGGTCTTTAGAATCTAGTAGTATTATGTCAGATTATATACGAATTACTTTGACAAATGACGATAAACAAATACATAAATTCCAAGCTCCGAGTACAGTGTTTCTGTAACAACTTTTTCATGCACAGGTTATATCATATGTATTATGAACATCAAAGCACGAAGAGGTGAGATATTGTTCGCAGACCCAGCTTCGATACTCCTCTTTGGTACAGTGCGTTAAGCCTATTGTGGTGTCATCTAAAAAGCTACCAGAGCTACATATAAATATTTGGGTCATTGAGTTATGTACCCGCTTGTGTTCATCTCAATTGGGTATCCCAATTTTCCTTTGAGCAACCAAACAAATTGTACCCACCTCACTCAAACTCAATTGGGTATTTTGCCATTTTCCATTAATTGTAAAAATATGAAAAAAGTTAAAATGCTGCTTTACGTGTTTGTTATTTTTATTTGATCTGTAAAATGAGAAACGTTAAGAAAGACTGCAAGTAGCCAAGTTCATGTGCTGAAATAGAACCTCACAGTATACCTCAGTTATTTTATTTATCCACCGGTACACAACAAGATTTGACATTTTGGTGTGTATGCATATATGATTAAATTTATTGAGTATTTACAAATATTCAAGCGCACTTGTACGCAATAGACTTAATAGGAATTGGGTTTTCACATAAATATTTACGTATGCAGATACAAAGCTTATCTGTACCTCTGGTTACTGAAATAAAGTGAAGTCAGCGTAAAGGCATACTTGTTCGTTCACTCACTCACGCACTGACTCTCAGAACATGCTGTGCATTTCCAAAGACATTCCAACTGAGTGATGCATTAAAAATGATAATTCTATAATGGTGTCTCAATGAATATTGTTTCCCTGTGCCGAGAATGTATATTTCAAGACGCGTGTATATAGTAGTAAATTTGGGTGTATATACCTAGGTCGAATTACGAGGTCTGCACTAATCTAATCTTTTGAATTTGAGATTATTGTCATTTCTTACATTTGAAACCAACCCGACCCCAAGCAACGCAGAGTTACTACAACATTCGTTAGAACTGGAGTACATTTGTTTCGTGATATGACACGTGAATAAAATCTTAATTGATGTAATTATATTTTCATTCCGAACGAAGAATCACAAGCTTCCTTTATTTTTTTGTTTGCAAATCAGTATGAATAATTACAACTATATATTATATTTTCGTGAAACCACGTCGCCATGATGTTTGCTTGGATATTGTTTACATGAAAGTATAAACCGAGATCGTGCTACGGCCTCATTTACTTCACGTTAATTATACTTAGCATATTCAAACTGCTTTACCATAGGGTCCGCGTGCCATTAAGAATGATGACGAGACCATTACGTGTTCAGCCTTATTTCAATGTGGTGTGCATGTTTTAAGGCAGAATTTAGTCATAGCAGATATTTGTTTCCTTGCTCTGACGAATAGAAACAAACCACTTGACTTGTTCTTGCCTGCAGGAAGTTTTTCAGATGAAATTTGATATACACCTTTTGCTGACATTGCTCTCAATACCAGGAAACAGTTAATTGTACATTAATATAAATTTCATCTTTGTAATTTTTGTTGATAAATCACCCTTTACAATAGTTATGAATAAATGTGCTCAGTCTTCGTTACAAACAATATTCAACATTTTAATTGCAGTTTCTGTAAACGAAAAGACCCAAACCCGAATGCATCGAGACACAACTTGATAACAGACTTTGAGTCACTCAACCTACGCATTTTCGCAATGATACTGCACGCAGATATTGCATAAGAAAGTACATGTAATATAGTGATCATGATTTGGAGGATGTTACACATATTTTCTATTTCTTTTCTACCATTTAGCATGCAACATAACTAAGAAATGTTTAGGTTACCTTAATTGTTCACCGACTAGAAGTATTTTGTATTTGCAAGCTTCAATTCTTGATCTCTGTCTTCGGAGCATGTTGACCGCACGAACACCTACCAGCTGATAACAAGATCATTTGTAAACAATGCTCTTACCTTTGACCTTAGTGGGCGGTTTATTGTAGTTTCGTATTTAGAGGTTTAATCTGTTTCACAGTTTAGTCAAGTACTTGAATGTTTTAACACTGCATGAATTACAATATAAAGTTTTGTACAAAGAGTTAAAGAGGAACACGACGTGTGTTAGCTTTACACGAAACGTGTTTACCAGCCTGCTAACGCTCAGTCATTCGTGACCAACTCGTGTTATTCCGGGACGATGGAGGTTACGGAAAGAGGCGAGTGGTGACGAATGACGCTCAGTGTATTAGAGCAGGCGCAACAAACCCCGGGAACCAGGCTGGATGTTTACAAATTTGGCGCGAGATTGTGGAAAATGGAAGTGGAGTTAGAGAATGCAGATTCGGAGATCCGCGGTGGCAGGTTTGTATATATATTTTTGAGACCAGACACATGTCCGAAAACTATTCAAGCTAATATATCTTCAGATAAGCAGTGACTCAATCACTGGTCGAGTGAATCGGAAAGACTGAAGTTGCAGCGCTTACATTGATCAGGAAAAGGTAACTCTAAACACCTGCTATCTTAACTGATACGCTCTTGATATCATACTCATAGTGTCAGTATCATACATTTTGGGGCATGAATAATATACCGAAGACGTATATTTTGTCTTTGAAGTCAGCATCTTTATACAATTGACCAATTATTTTCTTTCCAATTTGACGTGTAAATAGTTATGTCCGTGTGGATTTATTATGTTCGTGTGAATGTATGATGTTTATATGAGAAAACTGTAGTTATTAATATCAGCATTAATAATTATTATTGAATAATGAAATAGATTCCGAAATATATATGGCAGTAGTATTTGTTTTGAAACTTATCCCAAAGTACAGAAATATATCTAAACACCACATGTAATTAAACTAAAGTACACAATCTAAACTGTGTCTGTCTATTAATGAGATACTTGATACATACATTGCATCATCGTCCATAGGCGCCCGACTCTGATATATTTATAAGTATGACCTATATGTATAAGATATATCTTATACATATAGGTCATACTTATATATCTTATACATATAGGTCATACTTATAAATATATCAGAGTCAGGCGCCTATGATTGCATCATGGACATGACTATATTCAGAGTAGCAATGGTTAAACATGCACAAGCTAAGCATTTTTATTGAAGATATTCATGTATTATACAACAGGGGTGTCAACACCCTACACCCAAAATTGACACTACAAGTATACAATCATCTGAAGAAATACAAATTTCTGAAATGGTGTTATGTGATTATTTGATATTATTAAGACCACAATGTTGGTGATTTTGTGGCATGAACATAATTAATTAACTCTATTGTCCATCAAAATTCTCATTTTTTACAGGAAAGCTGTGACATAACTCAGAGCTCCAGATAAGATTTAGCTCATGTGGGTATTTAAAAAATAATTTTGGAGTGGGTATTTTGAATGTTGAGTTGGTATTTCATTTTCCGTTACCCACTGCTTTCAAATATGTGTATTTCAGTCATTTACTCACCTAAGTATTACGTCATTGAGTAAGTTCACTAAGCAGGTATGTTCTGCCTTATGTCTTACCAGAGACCATATACCGATATATCGGTATATGGTCTCTGGTCATACCTAATCAAAACCAACTTAAATATAATGGAAATGATTTCATAAAAATCACTCATCCTATACTGACAGTACAACACTTGTCCTATACTAACAGTACAACTTGATAGCAATCAATGTCTTTTTCATTACGCAGCGATTTTTATAAATATATTCCGTGACGCATTTGTTTTAAACTCTTTATGCGTATGTAACATTTTAAATGCGTAATTAGTAATGCTAACAATTATTTTTCAATGCGTATTGGAAATTTTCTATGCGTATTTTACCTCGGATACTGCAGCTTATCTGGGCCTCTGATAACTATTAGCAGTAACAGGTAAATAGAATTCTATTACTGATTGGTCAATATGTAGGAATCCCCTAAGAAAACCCTATTTCTGAAAAAAAAGGGAGTATGTTTTCGCGAGAAATCCTGTAACTATTGGCAGTAGCAACTATACTAATTATTCGAGGAGTTACTACTACAGTTTTGCTGCCATACTGCTGAAATACTGCTGAGTGCAGTGTTAAACAAGAAACAAACAAACTAAGCTGTACTTTTAGTGGACTACAGTGTCAAACTCGCTACATTTTAATTTGGTACGTGTAATCAATGGTAATACATGTCTTTTAATGAACATATTGTGTACTAAAATGATCAAACAGCTGACTTGTACACTGATATTCCCAGCACGTTGATATTTAGAGATTTTCAATGTGTTAATAGGATTTTCATAAAACACTACTCAATGTTTGCCATTCTGTTTGACCATACACCTGACATATTAAAAGAATTAGTTTTGTATACCATCGAAGTGAGAAATATATATCCTTACCAAATTTAGAGTATTATCTGTTTGGTATCATAATATAAATAGAAGTTGTTATCCATAAAGTATCATACCTTTCAAATTTAGTGTAGAATATAAAATCATCATATCTGTGAGATTGTTTGCAAACATATATACAATATTTATGATAAGCTGTCAACTGTTCAGGTTTGTGGTTTATGAAAACGTGAGTGAGTGAGTGAGTTGAGTTTTACGCCGCACTCAGCAATATTCCAGCTACATGGCGGCGGTCTGTAAATAATCGAGTCTGGAGCAGACAATCCAGTGATCAACAGCATGAGCATCGATCTGCGCAATTGGGAACCGATGACATGTGTCAACCAAGTCAGCGAAGCTAACCACCCGATCCCGTTAGTCGCCTTTTGTGGCAAGCATGGTTTGCTGAAGACCTATTGTACCCCGGATCTTCACGGGTCTGAAAACATGTGAAGTGGTCATAACATGTCAGTGTTCTGCCATGGGAATCGAACCGTTGACCTGATCCAAAGTCAGACACCTCATCCACGTGACCAAAAACATTAACCCTGTAAGCAAGTTGATGAGGTAAGAATGTCATGTGGTCTCAGGGCTCGATTTAGTGCTTTGTTACTTGCACTCGTGCACCTAATATTACAAAGTGCAACCTAGGTATTAGTCTAACTTGCACCAGGTGCAAGTCAAATTTTGAGAAAATAAATCAACGATAAATCTAACATCATAAGCATAATAATGATAGCTGCTTTTTCTTCTAAATGTTGAATAGCCATGGTACAGAAACATAACTTTAATTATCCAAACCATGAATGAAAATAACCATAGATAGCAAAGTAAACAACAGGCAAGTATTAAAACATTTTTCCTGAAGAAATCAAGTGAAGTAGCTGACAAAAGTGGTAAACAAAACTCGGAAACTGAGAAACATGCCAATACGAACACGAGTGATTCCATAGCATGCGTGTGGCATTCGAGGCTGGGGGATATAATTACAGATGATGAAATGAAACGTAAATTAGAGACAAACGTAAATCCAGCCAAACGCAATGCTAAAAAAATTAAGACTTACAAATTTAATGAGGAATGGAATTAGTTGCCAGGGATTATTTGCAATATGATGAGATTGAAAACATCTAAATAATTCAAAAGCATACTAGTATTTCTTTCATTACATATTCCAATAAACGCAGGGCAATTGGAATTTGGCTGGTGCAACTAGGTCTTTATGTTAGGTTGCACCTGGTGCAAGTAGGTTAACATCTCATAGATCCAGTCCTGGCTCTGCAGGGGTTCAAAAATCCCATCGCCCGACGCCCGGGACAAGTCAGTTTTCATTTCGGGCAATCAAATAATGGTATCTTACTTGTCCGTGGGCTACTAGATAAGTTCCACTTATGGTTTCAAACCGCAAATAAACTTGGATTTAATTTCATATCTGCTCAAAATGTAGCTATTACATTTCGCAATGATAATAAAGTAGAGTTATCTTTCTTTGCTATTTATCACTTTTCAATAAATAGTCCAGTAAAATTAACATCAAATACCATGTTGATTTCTTCTTTTATAATTACATCATCATAATTATGTCATAAAATCAGGGCAAGTGGAAAATTAGTCAGGACAAGTTACTTTCTTAAAAAAATTAAAAAATTTGTTGAACCCCTGCTCTGATGTGTCTGCTACAGTAATGTGTCTTTTATGTGTGTTTATTTAGTAATCCAGTCAGACAAAATGCCATGTTTGTTTCTGTGAGCAGATCTCAAGAAGATGTTTTGTCGGTCCTGGAGTATGCCAAGTTGCAGGCATGTGACCTTCGGAGCCGTACTCAGTGTATCCTGTTCTCTAACACACTGGACAACGAACATATAAAACTCTTGGAACTTGACTCCAGCGTCTTGGACACAATCATGGCGGGAGACAGGTCAGTGAACTGGTTGCACTCTTGATCAACACAGAGTGAGTGAGTGAGTGAGTGAAGACAATCATGGCGGGAGACAGGTCAGTGAACTGGTTCCAGTCTTGATCAGCACAGAGTGAGTGAGAGTGTCAGGGGTGGTTTTAGTGTCAGGGGTGGAAATAACCCATTGCCCGGCGTCCTAGTGTTGTTTTGTTGTCGGGCAAGCAAATTTGTATATCACACTGTACCGGTGTCCAGTTGACTTTCCAATATTAATTATGTTGTTTATTTTAAAAATCAACAAGAAAACGGCCGGTATAGTGGAAAAATGATCAGGGCAAGTGATTTTACATGTGTCACTGTACCGGAGTACACTAGCAATTTTAAAGTTATTTCCACCCCTGTAATAATGTTGTTTATTTAAAAGATCAACAAGAAAACGGCCGGTATAGTTGAAAAATGATCAGGGCAAGTGATTTTACATGTGCCACTGTACCGGAGTACACTAGCATTTTTAAAGTTATTTCCACCCCTGAGTGTGAGTGAGTGAGTGAGTGAAGATATAGGTATCGCGATGCTTTGTTTACAGTACTGTACATATATTGGTATTCAAATCACTGCATTTTTGTCGGAATATTATTTTTCAAATGGCTTAGCACTTGGCAATAGCATGAATCTATCTCAATATTGTGTCTCATATTTGAAAATATCTGATTTAGTCCATTGTGTATTTCATGTTAAACTGCTGTGTCAAGAAAAATATTTTCTCTTATTGATTAAAAAGGCAATCTGATTTTTAATCTTTAGCCCTGATGTGGTTAGGTCCTTGGAGGTATCTCCCTTGATGATGTGTGCGTTGTGCTTTCAGGGTTGTTATCCGCGGCGACAAAGATGACAGTGCTGTGCTGTGCACACGAGACAAGACCTATGAGGTGAAGGAAGCTGAAACGTCCAACTCATTGTTGATACTCCCCAACCTGCACCATGGTCCAGACCTGCCGACCGATACTCCCCACGAACTCCAGTACAGAGAGGTAGGATGGATCACTTGGACCCCAGAAGTAGATCCCTCTTAGCTTGATAATGGTGTGAGAATCTACACCGAAACGTTGCTCTTTGCAATAAACAAGAAGTTGTTATCCATAAAGTCATATATGCTTTTATGTTTACTCACTGACTTCTAGAATGCTGATTAAATAGCAGATCAAGGTCTTATTGGTCTCACAATATACATATTTTATAACACATATGTAATACATACATACATACTAACATTTGTATAGCGCCGATATCCAGCTCAGCTCAGCTGCTCAAAGGCGCTTTGTTTTTCCCTCGTTCACTGGATGTCAATCTCAACGGCACATCGTATTGTCAATCTCAACTCCCTGGGGAGCATACAACTCTTGAAGCCACTAGGCGCACCGAGTTATTGTGGCATTCCCATCCTTACGAGGTACCCATTTACAGCTGGGTGGACTGGGACACATAGTCACAGTACTTTGTCCAAGTTTACTGCATGTTGCTGTACCCGCAACTGGGTGTTTGCACGTATTCATGTGGCCACCATCTGGTCATATACCAACGGATTTGTGGGTTCTTTTAAGTGCACAGGGTTGTGTACTGTACACTAGGGGTTGTGACAACACTGAAAGAGTCTGTACACAAAGTTGACTCCAAGGTTTTTCCACCCGGTCACAGGTGGACTCGATCCCGTCACCTCAAGCTCGCTCGATCACTAGCCTGACGCTTTAGCCATTTCGCCCACCGCGTAATGTGCCTTGTTTACTAGTTGATTACTGTATTGTCTGGTCCACACTCGATTATTTACAACATATAGCTGGAATATTGCTGAGTGCAGCATTAAACAACAACCAAACCAAACCTTGTTTAGACAAAAGTCCAGTGTATTGGTCCAGTGTTCTTCACAATCGAGGATGAAATGGAAGCAATGTGTTTTTGTCTATTTCATTACAACCTATCCAACCCCCTATCAATGCTTTTTAGATATGTTGTCATTTCGTTGCCTTCATGAACCAGGTGAGCATGTATCATTTCGTCCAATTGTTTACTGCAACATGATGAAATGTGTTATTTTCAATTCAAGGTTATTTCTGTGCTGGACAAGTATTTTGAGTTGCGTCCATGCAAGCCGAGGCTGCGGAAGTTGAAGTCGTTGCTGCAGGAGAACCAGTACAGCGGGCGGGAGTGTGAGGAGGATGAACACCACCAGGGCAGAAAGGTCTGTCTGGGGGTAGGGCTAAATGCAGGGGTGGAAATAACTTTAAAATTGATAGTGTACTCCGGTACAGTGGCACATGTAAAATCACTTGCCCTGATAATTTTCCCACTATACCAACCGTTTTCCTGCTGATTTTTTAAATAAACAACATAATTAACATTCGAAAGTCAACTGGACACCGGTACAGTGTGATATACAAATTTGCTTGCCCGACAGAAAAAAACACTGGACTCGGACGTCGGGCAATGGGTTATTTCCACCCCTGAAATGGGGAACGAAGTTTAGACTTCTGAGGTTCTTGAAACACTTGGGAACTTAGTTAGATTAGTTTTACACCACCAGGGATTTACCTTGAGTCCTCTATTTGAGGGTCCCTCATGCTTATAATTTTCAGGGGTCCAAGACACTGGAATATTATTACTAACACTAACATTGTATTGTGTATCGTGATCAACACTTTAATTGTTACAGTAATGAAATAGCAAATCATACCATAACCCAGCCATTAGCAAACTCAGTGATAACTTATTGTTACTTGATTGGAATTTTTTCAAAAATATTTGGACTTTTTCTGCATCCCTGTGGATGTGCTAATAAATTTTGTTGCGTCCATTTGTCAATTTTTATGAGTATAGGACGCAAGAATTCACGTCCTGTAAATCCCTGCACCACTTTTAGCAATATTTCGGCAATATCGAGTTGAGGGACACCAGTAATGAGCTTTGCACATTGCACCCATGTGAGGAATCTGGCCTAAAAAAAATATGTTGTGGTTCCGATTACCCGACCGACTCTTAAATTCTGGTGCCGACCCTAATTTTCTCAAGCGGTATAAATGAAATAAGCTTTTAGATACCATTGTTTTTTTCCCGGCATCAACAGATATCGGTCATTCTGATAGAGAAAGTCGACATGATGGCCGAAACCTTGATTGAATAAACAATTATACATTAATAAATGTTCTATTAGTTTGTACTTAGCTTCTGGAAAAAAAATGTTAAAAAAATAAAATCCTACCTACCTACCCTAAATTTTAAAGAGGTGCAATAGGAACCACAGGTTTTTTTTTATTTGGCCTCTGTGAGGAGCTAATGCTTTAACCACCAGACTGCTCGTAAACACGGGGGAGGACAGTCGGTATTCTGTGATAAGGGATTTAGGTCAGCCTTTATGGGTGGGGATTAAATATCTGTTAGGGTCGGGGGAGA